AGTGATACTTTCTGTTGGTTTACTGTTAATGTTCTCGGCAGTTATTTCCATAACTATAACTCTATGCAACGATACACTACGTGATGTTATCGGTTATTATATGGTTTGTTGATATTACAATTTTCTTAATAAACTGCCACATTCGGATTTTAGATTGTGGTTGTTGAATGCACATTCTAGGTTCAGTATTTTGCTTTTACTTGCTTGAGTGGTCAAAGGTCATTCATAACAAAGACGAAATTTTTTATTGTCAGATTAATATCTATTACAATTGGGCTTTTACTTATACTATTATTTCTTGAAGCCTTAAAATCACACAGTGTCCGAATAGTTTGATTTTATGTATGTACAACAAGCTTTTCCCTCTTTCTCTTTAGGATATGTATTTATTCTTAAAATTCTTACCTGTCATTGAGTGTATTTCAAAATCCATCTAGTGAGTTCAAAGAACAAGAAAGGGTTCATATGGAGTCAAATTTATAAAATGGAAACTTTTTATTAACTTTTTCATTTTAATTTCCACAAACTGCTAGAATTTAAACAGTTTTGCAGGTTTCTTTGTCTGCTGCAGATTTACTATGTTCAGTGGCAATAATACCCGCTAGCATGTACAGTGCTTTAGCACCAGATTGGCAATTTATGGGTGATAATTCATTGGTTTGTAAATGCTCAGTATATTTAGAAATAGTTCTGTTTGCTAATACTGCCTATACCCTCGCATGGATTGGCATAGACCGATATGCTGCTTTAATGAAACCTCAAAGGTGGATTAATTGTTTCTATCTTTTAAATTTGCAGTTAGTACTGTCCAATTCACCTCTGAAAGTAGCGCTGAAATGCGAAGAATTCTTTATTGGAAAGTTGATTTTTTTAGAAAAACTCTGGTATCTTCATCACTAGAACTTCCGTTTGCTTATTTTCTTTAACAAACTAAGCTTATAGACCTGTTTGTAACCTATATTTCGCAGAATCAACGAATAATAAGTGTAGGTACCTTTGTAAGCATCATTGCTTATACATAAAGGCGACACTCTTCCTAAACATTCACTTAGATTTCAGTATACTCAAAGACTGAGCACTGTAAATAACCTGGTAATTTGGAGGTAAACCTATATGTTTACTCTCTTACCGTTAAATTGTTTTATCTTTTATTCTGTACAGATACGAGGCGGAGCAAACCATAACGAGGTGTAAATGTTGGATTGCGTTCACGTGGAGTAGCACCGTACTCTTCTCGTTGCCTATTGTTGTTGCTCGCATGAAGGTATCATTTTTATTTTTATTTTTTGCAATGCCACGACTACTGTTTCATGCATTTTGTAAGTCTATATTGAACTACATGTAACCAAAAATGATTTTTAACAGTCAGGATAGATGTCAATCACCATTTGATAACGACATGTTATATTTAATGTATTTTTATTTTATTGTAATATATATTCTAGGGTTATGTAAAATTAGATTGGATTAAAGTGAGAAGACAGTAAGTGCGTAAGTGAAAAACAGATCAAAATTTTAAATTAAATAGTGAAAATTGTTCTCCGAACACATGCTTCATAGTTGGAATTTCACACTTAATCCTTCTAGGTCTCTTATTATCACGCAGCCGAATTGTGCCTGCTTGACTGGTCAGCAACAACAGCTTACAGTGTAACATTAGCCTTACTTATCCTAGTACCTTCTACATGCAGTATATTATTCACTTATTGTTCAATTTTCTGGGCTATGCGAAATTCACATATGGTTAGTTTCTTGTTTCATTTAACATTTCTTACATTTTTTGGGAATAGCGTGCTCTTGTTGAGGCATGCAATTAGCATTTGTCCATGGATGAATAACTACCAGTCTTGTCATCTTATGATTCAAATATTTGAAAATAATAAAATATGGTCGTCTGCTGGTAGCCTAAAATCTAAAGTAGCTTTTTTCTATTTCTTCCGAGGATTTCTGCTAAGAAAACTGATGTATTCTCTAGTGTAAAATGGTCGCATAAACACTTCCAGATATCGGCGTTTACAAATTTAGATTTTTTCTCCCCCCTGATGCAATGAATACTGTAGTTTGAAAAGTATTTAATCTTCTAGAACTCAAAAATTGTGCCGTTTTTATTGTTCACTGCTTTTTTTTTTTTTTTTTAAATAGTAAGCAAACATTATATGAAGTGCATTCAAAAGAATACTGCATTACACTGGCGAAAAGCATCCACATCCAAAATCCGAATTTCTAAAAATATATGCCGTAATATTATAATGTTATAAAATTTGGAAAACTTTCTGATTATTGGCAGTTATATATATATATATATATGAATATGCGTACCATTAATACATAATGCATAACTGTAGGAAGGATAATAATCCAAAAAATATTTTTGTTAAGATGAACTCTTGTATCATAATTTACAATTTTCCTGTGAGAATTGATACAATTTGTTGTTGGTAAATATTTAGAAAGATGCTCGAACATTCAGAAATGACCACCCTAACAAAAAATGCGTTAATTTTTTTTCCAGTATCCTATATTAGCATAATTAAGGTACCGAAATATGAATTTTCACAACTGTCACCACATTACAATGATATATTTAAATCAAGTGTTTCCTGGAATTCTCGTTGAAGAATTTTAGTTGTAGTGGAGATGTCATGTGAATATCATCGGTTACAGATATTTTTCAGTGAAAAATACTTGGTGAAATTCTGCAAACTATTATTGTCTCTTATTTCTTTTTCTTGTGAATTCATGTTGAAAATATAATGGTAATTGCAGCTTGAAGACAATCAACGTTTGTTGCTGGAAACGGATCACAATTTTGCTCTTTCCTTTTTCGTGCTCGTTGCTTTCATTCTCTCTTGGTTACCCGTTATCATGGTTCGTTTCGTCCCGCGATCGTTGCTTAGTCCAGCAGATCTATCAACGGTGGATTTCGTTTTTGTATGGCTTGCGATTGGTGGACCCTCCTCAAAATTGCTCATTTCATTGTTCATAAATCAGGAATTTCGTTCGGCACTTGGTCAATGTATCTGTTCTCTATGTCCTTGTTGCTGTTTAGCACCACCAGCTGTTCGTCAAAGGCGCCGACTGGAATATAGGAGCCTTTCTGGCCGACGAACCCATTCTAGCTAATATTTTAATTAAAGTTAACTCAAAATCTTTCAGATTTTAAAGTTCATGTGAATTATATTATTGTTATATGGCACCTTAATGTCTCTACCCTTTTGTCTAATCACTTGTTTCCTGTATGAAAGATCTAAGCAATTCCAGATATATCGCTGCTGAATTCTCAAAACGAGAAGGAAGAATATCGGCTGCAAATTTCACCTTTTACCTTGTTCCAATATATTACTGTTGTTGTCGAAATCCTGCTCATTCTAATTGGTCTTTCCAGACCGAAGTTCTTTCGTATTACTTTTCTGATTAAAAGGTAATGAAGACTAGAACATTTTCTGGGCATTGATAGATAACACTTACTTTTTCTCTCCGTTTTTGCTTTGGAGGGATTGTGGGAAATTTAAATGTCAGCATCCATGGAAAACCCCTATTTTCTATCTCGAAACAGCTTTTCAAAGAACTGTATTTTTTAATTTATAATATTTAAGTTGCTATAAAATTGGTCACCACAATTAAATGTTAACCATTGAATGGTTTGCTAACGTGTCTGCAATGGAAATCATTAATTTCTGTTAATTACATGTCTTTAGTGCAAACAGAAAGCAGAAAGACTTGAACAGTAGGATGTAATACTTAGGACAATTCATTATCCAGTTCAATTCAGAAATTCAATACCTCCATTCCCATCTAGGTGAATGCTTGTGCGTAATCTATTTATTTATCCACTTCGCTTATTTTTTTGCATTGGTTGGTATATTCCTCATCGAAATTCACTTTCTATCTCTATAATTCTTTATTATTTTTAAACTAAGATTTTTATGGTTTTTGTAAAGATGCTTCGTATGGGCTTGAGAAGGTACTTTTGTTAAAGCGGTTACTCCTTAGCAGATTTCATCTGGCTTAAATATATTTATTAAAAAAAATAATAACCTGATTAAACCACTAACATTTATGGTACTATTTTGAATATCCTGGAACGTTTCTGCTCTCTTTAAGATTTTTCAGTTTTTTTGATTTTCTGCTAAAGAAATGTGATTAGGAATTATAGTTACTGTTTCATTGTCACTATTTGTCATGTATTCTATTCCGATCGAAGATAAGAAACTTTGTTGTTATGGATTTAAAGATGATGTGTGATTCTCGTTGTGTCGAAAAACTCGTTAATTCTACCTAGAATCATATTTACAAGTTTGTGTGTTCGGAATAATTTCCCAGACGAGACTGTTTCTGCTTTCAAAAATGAACTATTTAGAGCGTGATTCATTCGAGGTACTGGTTATTCTGAAAATATTTGCTTTCATGACTTCGAATTAAGCTTTCACTGTTCGGAACTAGTTGCACTTGAAAACATTCTCAAAATGAATATATAGAGCATCAAATAAATCAGAGCGATGTTTTAAAGTTGTTATTGTACCGCACATTCAGTCTAGATTTCATGAGGACCGATGTTTCGTAGAGGAAACCAATCTCTGCCATTCCAAGTTTAGAAATCATCAATACGGGATGTTGGGCACTACTATTAGCAACAAATTTTCTTCTAAAACTAGTATGCCGGAATCGGGAAAAATACTGAACCATCATGGGTACTGTATAGCTTGCGCTTGCATGCATCTAGTCAGGTATACGGTACAAGCATTGCACACTGTAGAACTTCTGGTCTTTCGCTTGAGGCCTTAATTTTTCATTAAGTGTCGACAATTTTTAACGAAGAAGTTTAGCGTAGTATTGTCGCGTGGTCAGTCCAGTTTTTATTTTTAATTTTTCTTTTTTGACTTTCAGGGTTGATTCGGGATTCACTTGAAGGTGACATTTTAGCTTGTGTTTGTTGTGGACTTTTCTGACTGGATTGTTCTATATAGTGCTTTTCAGGATACGGTGACTTAATCTGTATTATGTTGGAAACGCTTGTTGAAGGAGAGCCTAAAATATCTGGTGATGACAGTTTGCTTGAAGCAAAAGGAGAATTGAAACAGCAATCAAAACCAGATTTAGTGCTATTAGTGGTTTAGCTTTACTTATTTATTTTATCTTAAATTTCTTGGAATCAGATGTTTTTCATTTGCGTGGAAAACATTCCCTATTATTCTCTAATCAACTTCATTTTGGCGAGGTGAGCTGCTAATGTACCTGACGTAGTGAACTTCCGGATTTTACGAATTCTCACTTTTTTTTTCTTTCCACTAGTGATTAAGGGATTATGCACCAAACATGAGTTTTCTGATCCAATTTTACAGCTAATCTTTAGAAACCCAGTCCTTGCAATGACAGTGAGCATCCCCTGGAATTCACCTACGTGTTTTCGTATTTTGTACGTCCACAAGGGAAATTTGATCCAGAAGATTATGCTTTATATGTGCAACCAGTGGCTTCGTTTAATTCCGTGGAGCAGTTCTGGAATACATATTGTTTCTTGAAACGTCCAGCTGGTTGGTTATTTAACCTTAGCAAAGTCTTGGCTTACATCTCCGAAAATTTCGATTTTATTAATCTTCTAAGATTTTATACGTTGTTTTAGATATTAAAATTTTTTTTTTGTGAATCATCTGTGGCATATCTGTTAGGCGGTTGTCACAAGAAGGAATGAAGACTCTGAAGTTTATTTTGAATGGAATTTGGAAATTAATAATTTATCTCATCTTACTTGTACCAGATGCAGATTTCAGATATCAATGAGAAAGTAGATTTCCATATGTTCAAAGAGGGTATCAAACCTGTTTGGGAAGATGACGCAAATCGGAAAGTATTATTTTAGCATTTTTTGACACATTTTAATATTGTTTCATGTTATTAGTAACTGAAGATTACGATTTTTTAATCTATTAGTAGTTTTCTGCACAAAAGAGGAAGTTTCATTATTTATTTAGGGTGGTAAATGGATTCTGCGTTTGAAAAAGGGTTTTTCATCAAGAATATGGGAAAATTTGATATTAGCAATGATTGGCGAGCAGTTCCTTGTAGGTGAGGAAATTTGTGGTGCAGTATGCTCCATTCGTAATCAAGTTAGTTTTATATGCAACTTTAAGAAAAATTTATTTTACCTACTTATACTCTTCATGAGTACAAATATTAACTCCTTTAGCAAGTTTTCTTGCATAATGATTTTCTTTACAAAAAATCGCCTTCATTTTATGTATCCTGACTTCTAGAAATTCAAAAACGATCAGTTTTTGATGTTATGACTGTTGACTACTTATGTTATTGAATTGCTTTTTGGATGTATTATATGTTTTACGTTTGTATTGAAAATTTTTTAGTTCTGAATTTGTTGATAAAAGTTTGATGAAAGTGTTAACTACTATTTAGATTTGTCATTTCTATAATTTATAATTCCCCAGCTATAACTTAATTGTCTCTAATTTTATTTATAGGAAGACATTGTATCTTTATGGAATCGCACAGCAGATAATTTGGCAACAACAAACCGTATTCGTGACACTTTGCGACGGGTTTTAAATCTACCTCCAAATGCGATTTTGGAGTACAAGCGTCATGATGATTGCTTAAAGCATGTTTTTGTTTTTGTGTGGTTGCGTCCTTGCTCAAAGCTAGATAAGACTGCAACTAATTATTTAAAAGCAGGCACGCTTCTGTAAGGTTGCTAAGCAGTTGAGAGTGACCAAAATGTGCCGAAGGTTTTTTTAGGAAAGAATTATTAAAGCTTCTTAGAATGCAATTTTTTTTTTTAAATTTATTGTTTATGGACATTTATGTAATTAACTTTCTTATGACAGAGACATTGAATGAACGTTTTAGTTCCACATTTATAAATTTATATTTAAATCTCACGTTTCACTAATTGTCAAACCCAATCTGCTATTGGATTAAAATCTGCCATTGGATTAAAAGAAATATTCCAGGGACCAAAGCAGTTATCGCCATACAAATGTGGACTTGCCGAGAAGATAAAATGAACTGTTGTTTCTTTGTATATAATGAATAGACATTTCTTGTGCGTACTTTCACTGGAATAAAAATTTTTCATAATATTTTCCTGGTAAATTTGTACTGAAATCCTGCACTCGTCCAAAATACTTTTCAGATTGGTTTCTCACTTCTCAATTAATTGCTATTTCAAAAGTGATGGAAATAAGTTATGGTTTAGGTAACCCATAGTTGAGCTTTGGAAGAAAGAATTAGTAAATGATAATATACGTTCGGTGCATTATTCTCTGTAGTATTCAGATATCCGGTTGATTTTTTACTTTTATTTTTCTTCATTCTTTTCCCTATTATGAGCAACGCAAAAGTATTTAAGAAGTTTAAAATTCCAATCCTTTGTTGAATTGTGAAAGGATGAACATCATATGCTTTATGCATTTTCAGTGGGCTGTCTGCTAACTCTGTTTCAAAATGTCTAAATTCTGGGTTATTTCTCTGTTATTTATTTGTCGATTGTTTCATTGTTTCATGGCTTACTATTTCTCTCTCTCAAAAACAAAAAAAAAAAAAAAACTGTTGTGGGGGGATGATAAAGATAGTTAAGGAGTTTAGCACCGAATATACAGCGCATTATGTTTTTAAAAGATGTGTGTACCAGCCTTTACTGTGTGGTATCATTGCTCTTTTAGTGTTGAGATTGAATTTTTAAGCACACTTTTTCCTGTTGTGATTTTCCTGCACAAGAAAATGCATTAATTAAAACCGATCCATAATTTATTCCAACAATGGTATCATTCATGGTATTGGTTTTATGCATTTTTCTGTAAATACTGAAGTTTACTACGTTGAGGCAAAATGTAATTCTATATTTTTATAAGTACTAATGGATTAGTGAGATAAAGTTTCAGAATTACATTTACACTGATGGAGATTATCTTTTAATTCAAAACACAGTTGGGTGATTTTTGGCTTCTTTTGTTCCGTATTTTTATTTTCGATTTCTTGAAATTCCAATTCTTTTCGGGTTGAGTCCTAAGCTTTCTAAAAATGACTGCTGTTAATTTTAAGTAAATATGGTCTCTGTTGTGGGTCTAATTTCATAAATCTTCGACTTCTTAATGGTTCAGAAAATTTATGAGATTTAAAAAAAAAGTTTTGGCAGTTTGAAGGAGAGAAAACTGCTAAATGGTTTGAATATTATTTGTGCTGTGCAACTGCAGAATCTTATTATTGTTCAACAGAAAACTGCTAAGCAAACATTAGGGACAGTGGTATCGCTATTTTCCAGAAACTTTTGAGGTTCTGTTTGCTTTTCTCTATGAATTTCTATGAAATTCAGATCATTTGAGATCAAAAAATTGCAGTTGAATGAGAAATCTGAACTTTATCTCATAATCTTCGTTCTAGTTTTAGTTAAGTCTTCTTTAGTTTATAAATAGATTTTTAATAGTAATTCAGATAGCACACAAGAGTTTACCACTAGGAAAGTTATTGGATGGCAATACAATGGTTGAATCGCTGTATTTCTTACATTTTAAAGGTATAAAATCACACAGCGAAAGATTTGGATGATTTGATACCAGTTGTGGAAGATAATTTTTACCTCGAATTAATTACTGCTAAGTGAATCCAGTATGTTCATGAAATCTGAGAAGGCCTCGATCTAAATCGTGTTTTTGCTATTGGTATTTCAGCATCGAAACACCAATCACATGAGGATGCACTTCTCTTCACTTCATTTCTGTACATTTCTTGATTTTGTTCCTTCAAATTTACCGAAAAATTTTCAAGACTACGTTATTTTAGATAATATTCGAGTGCACAATGTTTGAATTTTATTGAAGAGCATTTTTCCACCCATTAAACTTATTTATGTGCCTACTTGATTTTTGCAATTGATTATGACCTGCATTGTTGTTCCGTAGAAATGAAATCAGTTTTTATATGATTTTTCACCATTTCAGAAGATTCAAAAACATGTGAAAGATCAGCTTAAAACTGACTCATCTTTAGGTGGAGTTACAGCAAAGATATTAGGAAAGATTAACTAAAAGCGTAAACCAATAGTTAAAGAGGACTTTTTGCAATCAGTTTCAGTTGTATAGCACTAGAGTTGTAACCTAGATTTTCTTACATTTCATTAATTATTTTGTTACTTTATCACTTGTTTGTTCTCTTTGGTTAACCATGCAGAATCAAAGATCTTTAGTTTTGTGTGGTTAACTGTTTTGAATAAATTACCGAAAACTTCCGTTGACAGTAAGACTGAAATTTTATTGTGAACTCGACTGAAGTTTTAAAACCCTTTCAAAGCAAAATTTCAGTTACATCGAATTACGTTGCGAGTAAACCAAGATTCCGTCTGTAATCTTCCGTGCAAATCGTGATAGCATCGAACTTTTTTGTAGTGTTATTTAGACTGAAACTAGGCAAAGTTTTCTATTTTATAAATTGGCAATCTTTTTGCTTTACTTTTCCGCATGTCAACAACTTTATGACTTTACGACTTTATGCTGTAGAAATTTAAAATTTTGATCCTTGAAAAGTTACGAATAATAAAACTTCAGGAAGTTTGAATGTTGAAGCAATTCTGATGAAAAATTCTTTGCTAAGCGAACTGAACGAATAAAATAGATGGGAATGTTAAACTGTTCATTACTCATCATGCTGTTTGTTTGAATTGTTTGGATTTTACACCATGTAGTTGGTATTTCATTTTTTTTGCTTCTTTATGAGTTTGAAAATAGAACCATAATGCAAAAGTAACTTCAAAATATTAGTTTCTTCTTTAAAAAGAAGAATGTTGCATTATATCTCTTCTGTTAAAGTTTCTTAAAGTTTATGTTTAGTGATAATGTTAGATTAGTTTGTTAAGTGCATTTGTTGAGATAGCCAAACAAGAGTTTTATGAGTCGAAGTAGATATTAGGAATAAGTTTTCAGAATACTATTTCTGTATTTTGTCAGAGTGGTGTAGCTTATTTTGTTGAAGATAACCGATTTGAATCGTTAATTTTTGCCTCTATAATTGGTGAGTCTTCCCTACAAAAACTTGCAACTTCATAGAAGTAGCGTGTTTTATCCCAGTGCTGTAATCATATTAAAATGTAAATGTTGCATTTTCTTTCTTTCTGGTGAAACTTTCAATTGGAATGGTTTTTTCTCGACTGAATTCATGACTGAATTTTGCAATGTTACTTCTCGGCATCATGCAGTGGTTCTCTTTTCCGACGTTATCAGTCTGGTTGGTGATAATGGTAATATCTTAATAAAAATATATTTAGAAACTTAGGAAACTTATATCGATATGTTGTTCTTGTCCGATAATTACACTCGTTTATTACCCGCAACACTTTCGCTATCTGTTAGGAAATTTTTGAAAGAAAAAATCTTCTATTAGCTCCAGATCCGTTTTTATTTTTCAGGTGTGAAATCACAGTCCTTTTTCTTGTTACCCTAATTTTAGTTATTAGTTGTACAGGTTTGATTCTATTTGATTCTGCAGGTTGGATTTGATTTTTCTCACGAGAAGTTTATGATCCTTCAGGAACATTACCTCTTTCGCGCAATCAATTATAAGTATATCTAAATTTGGCACAACTACGGTGAATACCAATTTTTAAAGAAAAGACTTTAGTGTAGCATCGGTGAAGCTTTATGATGTATTTTCAAATATGTGGTCATGTTCACGCATTATTATTTTATTACGTTTTTTTGATCTCATTCCTGATTTGTGAAACTCGGATGATGGCTTTCCATTTTTATCGGAGTTTGAGTTTTTTCACTCAAAGTTTGATGAGCAACGACCGGGAGTTGAATTTCATATACCGTTCTAGATTCTAGAAAAGTGTAGGAATTGTGAATATGATTAGAACATTTTCTCGAACTTACTGGATGTATGGTATGTGTCTTTACTTGCTTCCTGCAAGTAAATTATTCTTCCTTCATTTTTCTGGCTATAGATTGAAGGACATTTCTTGCACATTTTGATTTAAATATAGTAACATGTTTTCGGATAGTATCTGTTGATATTTTTCTACATATACCGCAATGGTAAGTTGTCCTAACGATAATATAGGTTAAAAAATGGAATAAAATGAAAGGGAATTATGGTTGTGAAAAATTCCAATCAAATTGGATACTGAACGTTTTCAGATCGGTCGCTATATTAATGGTTATATTCTTTTGCAGGTATCGCTCGGATATGTTTAGTTTACTGCAAAATACCAATGATTTCTTCTTGCATGTATTTCTGCTCAGTTATATTACACAATGGATATGACTCGTTGGTTTGTACAACTTTAAATACAAATACGAATAAATTATGTTTAAAACTTTTACGCTTTACAATTTATTTGTCTTAGATGTCTTGAAATCATTTCTCGTTAATTTATTTTTTGGAAGTTCTTTCTGTTAATTTCTTTATATTTTCATACTTCTTTGCTCAAAACGGTTTTGAGTAACAGTGTGTTTTCTCTTGACATGTTTTCTTTTTGGCATGTGATGCATTCAGTTTTTTACACTGTGGTTTTTAAATTCAATCTTGTAATATGTCATAATATGGCCATAAGGTCTGAAGTTGCGTTTTTTTTTTTTTTTTTTACATATAAGTTATTAACTTGATGATCGTTTCTATGAATTAATTCAAAACATGAGTTTTTCTTCAAATAGATTTTTTTAATTTTTTTTTTTTTTTTTTAAAAATAGTGTTGAAGGAGATTAACTGTATTCTGGTAGGTCACTTATCTTCTTAATTGTCTTCTTGTAATGTTTGTCTCAAATGAAAAGTATTTTCTGTTACCGATTTTTAAATTAGGCAAATTTATGATGATTTTTTAGTGCTCCAGATTCAGTTGTATGACGGTGGTTTATAACTTCAAATGGTATAAGTAAAGTTATTTAATTGGGTTTCTTGAAAACTGGCCTGATAAAATTTGAGATTACAGTTATGCTATAGTGCAAGGCAAGAACAATTCCAGAATAAAGTTGCTCCTTTTTTGTGCTAACTGACTGCCATCAAAGTTGCCATGACTGGATGGTTTGTCTGTTAATAGGTTGAATCACAAATTTATTAGTAGCAGTGTTTTTTAGTAATCATGAAGTGATACATAAACCTTAACACTGGCCAATCATTTTATGCGAACGAGGTGTTCTACTTGGTTGTAGCGGTTACGTCAATTTTTATCGTATCGTTGCACTCGTACTTCTCTACCACTATTTCAAGGACTTTATGCTTCATTTCTTTCTTATCTCTTCCTTATTTTCTTTTTTTTTTTTTTTTTTTTTTGATGGTGTTGCAATTCCATATTCGTCTTTTAATCATTTATGATTCTTATTATTTGTGACAGAAACCATGACTATACCATGACTGTATATCGACGAACTATTTCAAGAAAATTTGGGTTCAAAGACTGTTTTGAGTTTTGAAATCTTTACTGTTCTCTTCGAAGACAAAATCTTCCAGAAATAAACATACTGTAATTAAACTAAAGAAGATTATGATAATTCAGTAGTTCTATTTTTAAATATTATTTCTCTTGCTGAACTTTCATAGAAGAATTTGTTTAAAGGTGTTTGGCTTACCCGTCGAAAGATGCTACCACTTCTGTTTCCTGTCAGGATTTATTTGTTTTGCAGCAGAAGTGATTTATACAGTTTGTTTTGCATTTTTAACCATATTCTGGAAAATTTGAAACCTGAGATTTATGCTGTCAGTTATATGTATATAAATATGCGTTAATAAACATGATTATTTCCTCAATTACTATAATCTATAAGTAAATTTGCTATTATGCAGTCACATTACCTAACATACCTTTTCTAATTTAAATATACACTTTTTCGAATGAAACGGGTTCATATCTTTCTATTAGATTTCATCAGCCATAATTAATCTTGTTGTCATGTGCCTTATCTTTGTCTTGAAATCAAGTCCGTGAATTTTTCAATTTATCGAATGTCCAAACTGCATCGAAGTAGTGCCGAAGTTGAACATTAGCATCAGAAACTCTTCCGGAAATACCACTTGTTAATCTATACGGATGTCTTCCTTTTTCCCTAACTGGAATTGACTTACTCTTTAAGGCTTTATTAAGCATTGATGTGGCATTCCATAATGCACCCGAAAATGCCTTTAAATTCATCAGCTGATTATTCTTTCCAAATTCTGAAAGTTGAACTAAAACTATTTTGGTCTGCTATCTTTAATTTGTTTCATATGTCTGAAACATTTTGATTCCCAGAACAAAAACGCTGTGCGTCTTCATTGTTGTATTTTGGCATAATGGTTATTAATATAAAAAAAGAAATTAAATTAATGTTTCGGAGTTGAACTAAAACTATTTTGGTCTGCTATCTTTAATTTGTTTCATATGTCTGAAACATTTTGATTCCCAGAACAAAAACGCTGTGCGTCTTCATTGTTGTATTTTGGCATAATGGTTATTAATATAAAAAAAGAAATTAAATTAATGTTTCGGATGATTTTTACAGGAGTTTCTTCTTGTGATGACTCGATTTACGTACTCAGTGAGAAATGGCGTGGTAGAGTTTTATAAATTCATATATTTCGACGGTATTTTGAGTGTTCAATACCGTGCTAAATTATATGCAGGAAGTTCCTAAAATAATAGGTTTTTAAATTAGAAATATTCTAATAAGTGAACGGGATTATAAGGAGAACTTATCTTCTAATCCAACCATATGGCTATTTATCGGATTATTTATCGCCATTCTACTTTTATGTTATCTATTTGTGTATAACTTAATTCAGCACATTGTTATATAAAGGACCAAACGCATTTCATGTGAATAGTCAGTTTGTATTTCCTTTAATTATCATTGCAAATTTTCAGTTTTAGTGTAAAAACGTTGCTTTCATTGTCGGTGTGGTTTCTATATCTTGTGTCTTAAGCAGCATCTTCAGTGCCCAAGATGGCCGGTGAAAAGAAAGATTTAAAGAAATACACAATTGCAGAAGTTGCTGCGCATAATGATGCCTCGTCCACGTGGCTAATCATCGATAATAACGTTGGTTTATCAGATGTAAATATATGTTGATAAATTTTAGTTCAAATATCAAATTATTGGAAAAAGTTCCATTTTTGTTTTTATTACTTCAACTTTTTTTTCTAGTCAAATTTGTTGATTGATTTTTTTAAAACGGTTAACTGCAGTGGCTGTCTGACATCTTTTATCGATTGGTATATTACTGATTGACTAGCACAACTGTCAGCTGCAGTTATTCAGTCTAGTTACTTTTACAGGTCTACGATGTAACAAAATTTTTGGAAGAGCATCCAGGCGGGGATGAAGTTCTGCTGGAGCAAGCTGGTCAAAATGCAACAGAAAGTTTCAAAGACATTGGTCATTCACGGGATGCTGTGGAGATGACTAAAGAATATCTGATTGGTTATTTGTGTGATCCGAATGCAACAGAAGCAATAGGAGACAAAACAAACTCAACCACCACACCAGTCATCGCTAAAGGCGACGTGTCATGGGTAGATATTATATTCAGTCCAACCTGGAGTAATTTTCTGATTCCTTTAGCTATATCTGGTGTCATATATCTTCTCTATCGGGGCATGAAAACTGCTTTTTGATTTTATATCTTGTTTTTGTGTCATGCTTTCTAAGCTTTTTTGTTACAAATTATATTTATACTTACACTGTTGCGTTTTATTGTCAGTATATTATTCCTCATTCGTTCTAGATCTTAAAGCAGACCTTTCAGTCTCAAACAACTTTTCTCTTCAGATTATAATCAGTTAAAAGTAAATTCCTTGTTGCATTGAGCTGTATTCCCAATATTACAACTTTTATCACATGATTTTTTTGAAGCAAATGATCTGATGTGAATGCGATGCAATACAACAGTGATTTGTATTGAATGAGAAATTTTAATTTTAAGCTTATGTATCCTTGTAATAGGATTTAAAATTAGGATTACAAAACGATTCTGTTTTATGAGACACATAGTGGTTGAGAACTCAGTTCTGAGCAATGAAAGGAAGATATAAATTAGTGATTATTGTTGAAATGATTAATCGTTATAATTTCATCACCTGTCTACAATAAAATTTGTACTATATATACACCATGCTTTTCTTCCCCAATTTATTTACAATTTTTAGTAACTTTTCATGTTGTACACTTGCCTTCGATGGCAATGGCAGATAGTTCATGATCAGTTTTGCACATTTTTTGTGAATGAGAAATATTGGTCGTTCTTGATCAGTCATAAGATGCAAATGAAATGTTCTGAAAACTACGCTCCATAACTCATTCATAATTTTTATACGGATTATAACTCAATATACGCTTAAGTTATAAAAGTGTAGGTTGAAAAATGGATAGGATATTTTCTTTTGATCCAGCGAAACAATAAGTTGTTTGATGAGCTGTTAGAGGATATATCTGTTAAAAACAGGGCGACCAGAGACTGCATTTTCTCTAGATAGTCAAATGTATGACTTCATATTTGATCTGATAAGTTTCCAATACAGTTTTAAGTCCATAGGCGTAGGTTTACGTATTGGTGAAAAAAAAAAAAAACTTATAATTATGCTTGACAAGAAGCAGTGAATATCACCACTTTGCTTTTTCGTTATCTCTAATAGTGGTCACTACTAATCAAACTTGTAAATATTATTGTGGGTATCGGTCACTGGACATCGAACTGCGGATTTATCAAAGACAAAATGAATTTAAAATTTCGAGACCAGCGGACTTCCTATTTTATTCTACTAGTGGATAACACTACCTAAAAACATCGGAATAGCATTGGCAATAATCTGGAATATCAGTAGTCGTGTTCCTGCATTATGCGCAGTTTGTCCATCTATACGTCATTTCTCAATGCGTTTCCGTATAAAATATTTCTAGCTGCTTAAAAGTACCTTCTTTTTTAAACACTTTTCACTGTGTCACTACTTACCTTGCACAGCATTAATGAGACCAACTTACGTTATATCTTTATTACCACCCTTGCTATCAGTATCATGGATATGCAACCACTTTCGAGAGTTGACTTCATCTCCACCAATAAATAATGGGCCGCATTGCACAGATAGTCAGGTTTCGGATGGACTAATCCTTTTTAGCGAACAGAAAGAAATGATCCGGCAGTAACGTTACATGGTTACAAAGGTATGACACCAACCTAACGAGAATGGGCTTACGCAGACAGACACGACGTTTCACAAGTATCCGCGCAGCCTTTCACGGGCTGTTACGAAGTTGCAGTCTGCAGTTTGTTCCGTTTTTCTGCACTACTTGAATTGGATTATGTTGCTGGGTTTTGCTCGTGAGCTTCTTCTAAATGACTGAAGTAATCGTGATGAACTAATGAACTATTTCTCATCTCAGTCTAGGTTATTTTCCATGGGTGACCTTTTGACTTAAAGTTAGGCAGTCCTCATTTTTTACAATTACTGGGTCTAGTAAGATAAATAAGTGCAGATATTTTCAGATTTTCAAGAATTTTTGTATAAAATAAAAACAACTAGTCAGAACCAAACGTATTAATGATGGATGTCGAAAATCATTTGGTTAATGAAAATGTTAGAAGCTGAATTCGGGATGAATGAATGCATGGACACAAGTACAACGTCTCTTCTAATAATTTGTATTCCTTATGCACAAATAATGTGACAGAATTTCCTCTGGGTGCTGTGTATTCCACCGATTTATGCTAAAAAAATATGAGTTCTAAAAGTGGTGCTGAAATATTAGTTGTTAATAAGGTGTGTGTCGTCATTTTCGTTAAAATGTGAAGTTCTCATTTTTTTTTTTAATTCTAAAAAAAATTTTACCTATTTACATTTTTGGTATAGGTGAATGAAAAGCCAAGTAGTGTGTGGTAGTTTCCAGAATATAAGAAGAATTTTAATGACCGTGTTGTGTTTCGTTTCGTAGTTATTGCAAGGATGTTTTTTCTTTGTGTCATACAGAATTTGAATATTGGCGAGAAATTTACTCGTAGTTAAGTTTTACATTTATATCTTATCGGATCCAGCTGTGCTATAACATTCATTTGATTGCTGGAGTTGAGTGAATATAGATATTATCAGAATTGGAACATGTTTTTGTATAAATGTTTTGACCACTTTACAGATCTATGGGAAGTTCTTGAGTACATCTCACTGTCGTAGTATTCGGTTCACTGGTTGTTATAAACGGTGCCGAAAATGTTTTGTAGATGCAACAGTGGATGTTGATGGAACTCCAACTCATATAGACGAGCCATACAATGTAGTAGATAAGATAGTAAACCGGTTGTTTGGCTACTTGTATCACCGCTGCTGTGTTTGTCACTCTACTGATATTATCACTGGTAGCAAGGAAGCAGCATTTTATTAATGAGTGCGCGAAGACTATCAGATTGTGATCATTCAAAAAGCGGAATTTGTGCACGGTTAGTAAATAATCATTGCTGATTTCAAACTGTGGAGAGTGATTAAATGTTTGCTTGAAGGCGGTGAATCATCAGTGATTTCAAAGTTTTGATTAAGTGACTGAATAAAAATAATTGAAATGAGGGGGAAAAGTACGGAAGTCAAATCAAAACAATGCAGGAATGTAAACAGTGAATATTGTGAACAAAACACAGTAGCGATTTCGGATCCCGCATGAATATTCCGAGAGTTTGAGCTATTTGAGCTTTCTATAAGAATTAAAGTTTCCAGTGGGCTAATGTTATTAGCGTATTAACAATTATTTGTAAGCGCGCTAATATTCGTTTACATTGAGTTATTGGTATGGACTTTTAGTAGGCCACTTGTTCTTAATTTACTCAGTCCCTATGCATTTGATTTATTTTTTCTTGATTCATTAATTAGATATTTTACTTATCACAAATAGGTAATTTGATTGTGATGCTAGTTGTGATATATAAAAAAGAACAAGATATGCATCACTTCTACTTGGCTTATTCGTTCATACATTTTTTCATAGATGGCTTATTTGAAGGAAATTTCATGCTGTACAAAAGATTAATGTTTATTTCTGCCAAAGCTATACAGGATTGAATTCTAATACGAATATTTTAAAGGATATTTTTATGAACATTTTGTTCTTTTTTCCTTCCTTTTGAGTCTATTTTTTATTGCCATTCTTAATCCATTTCTAGGTGTGTTCTTCAAAAAGCCTTCAATTTGTCGAACAATGAAGCTCTCTGTGTCACACAACCACAGCGCCTCTCCTGTAATAATTTGTATTCCTTATGCACAAATAAAGTGACAAAATTTCCTCTGGGTGCTATGTATTCTACCGATTCATACCAAAAAAGTATGGATTCTGAAAGTGGTGCTGAAATATTAATTGTTAGTAAGGTATATGTTGTTATTTTCATTAAAGTGTAAAGTTTTCATTTTTTTAAATTTCAGAAAAAAATTGTCTAGGCATTATAGGTCAGTTGTACGGTTTTAAATTTTTTATATTTTTGATAAAGATGAATGAAATGACAAGTAGTATTTGGTAGTTTCCAAATAAGAAGAATTTTAATAACGGTTTCGTTTCATAGTTATTGCAAAATGCTTTTTCTTTACGCTTTACCGGATTTGAATATTACTTGTGCTATGCAACTGCAGAATCACATTATCGTCTATTATCGCTTATTATTATTTTCTCTGACCAAATTCATTCCGATGAACATGTACTAAAAATCACTACATCGTTATCATATGATATATCAATATGATCGAAAATGATTATCCATTCCGCTAACTTTAATGATTCAAATATTAAAGGAAGGAGCCATTTAATTGCACCACTACTGCTGAGATGAATAATGAAATATTAGTTTTTAGATGTACTGAGTTTGGTTTTTTGCAGAAGAGCAGTACTGCATCACTTTGTGTTGATGATGGTTCAACAGTTGCCGAACTCAGAAAAGTTATTTCTTCTGAAAGTCTAAACTTGGGACCGCGCACTGCAGGTGATGGTGCAGATGACGAAGAAAGTTTAATTGGTACTATTATTTCTGGTGAGTGCATATGGCAGGGAAATTGTGAAAATGATGGACTTACATCCAGATTCAGTGTGTCTAAAGTGGAAAAGCGAAAAAATTCTGGAGCATGTGTTGAGCCAGAAAGCAGAGATGAAATAAATATGACAAGGCAAAATAATGTTAAAGTAAGACTTCTTAAATTTATTATTAATTGGCTTGCGTGTTATTTAACTCTGTGTCATGCCTTTACTGGAGGTATAAAGACGTGCGGTAAAGAGTATATAAGGTTCTTTCTTATAAATTCTCCGTTTAAATTGTTTCAGTTGTCTGTATAGTTGACTGGAAAAAAATATTCGAAATTACTGAAGAATAATTCATCTATACTTTTCGCAGAGCTAAAGGGATTACAGAGTCTGTGCTGAAAAAAAATTTAGGATATTAACTTCATGTTTCATGTTGGATGTTTCGGTTTTTTTTCTTTTATTTAAAAAATTTAATTTTCAGAATTTTTCTGTAACTAATCGAAGTTGGCTGTTGAGGTTATTTGAATCAGATTTGTTCGACATTCGAATAGCTATACGGTATCTGTCCAGTTGTAAGGAAACTGGTGTTTTAAATTACTTGGGTCAGTTACTAAATCGTCTCAGCTTAATTATTTTTCACTTCCTTGAAGTACGGTGCTTAATGCAATTCACTAAAAAAAACTTAGAATTCAGAAATTTAGATAGAAATGAACGATTTAATATGTTTTATTTATTTCTAGGTAATCGACTGTTTGATTTGCCGACTGAGATGGTGGACTTTTATATACCACAGCTTATAGTACTATATATAAATATGCAGGAAGTTGCGGAAGTCATTCATCCTTATATAGTTAAAAGGTTAATCCTTAAATGTGTTCGATACTTGCTTGCGCTTGTAGTTAACAAATTTTATTTCGTAGTGATGCTTATGTCAACTATTAATGATGCGAAAGGAACATTTGATATGTCATTCGTGATTATGAATATTTTAGCATATTTCAGTGTGAAAGTATGATTGGTTCTTAATGTTTTTCTCAAATTCGTTTTCCTTGAATCTCTTCTTACACCATTAAAAAAAATTCATTTTAGATGCAAGGATAGTGTCGAGTTTTCACTGGAATGTTGTTGGTTATTGGATGCCTATGGAATCAATATATTTCGAAAATTCGAACAGAAATCTCATGGACATCATTTACGGCAATCAATTTTGAATGAATTTCGTGAAAGATCAGATGATCTCAAGTCAACGCTCATGTCGTTGTCATCGCCTGCACAGCAGCATTTTCGGACTCTTTCAGAAGCCAGTAAGCATTTCTGAATCGTTTCATTGGGCATCCTGTTGTGCAAAATCTGAATAGTTCGTTACTGAGGAACTATTTCTATTTTCACTGAAAAATATTCTGGCGGATAATTTTATTTGGTGGCCAAGTTTTATTGTTTTAGACATTTTCCTTACTTTTCAGGCGTCATTTGATAGTAGCTGATGTCAAGGATAACTAGTTAAAAGTACACTGTGCAGAAGTTTAGGTTGTTTCCCTTCAAACTAATGTATTCTGGACTGAAACAAATTTCTGGTAGTTGGTACATTTTTATACAGGCTATGCCAACTAATTTCATAAATCGTAGAAATTTTCTTCGTTTTTTTTCTTTCTCCAGACCTGTGCAGAAGTGTTAATAAAGCTCAGCAAGTAATCCCAAAAATGCAAAACAGCGATGAAGTTTTAAGTAATAAAAATATTCATCATGCAGAAATTTTTGGAGATTTAACTAGTGGTAAGTGGTTTTTCATATGCACAGCGTTAATATATTTGCACTCAAAGTCATCTATTTTCTAATTCGTGACGCACATGAATGGATTAACGAGATTTCCACTATCCCTATCTACTATCTAACGAAACCACAGCTAAGGGAAGGGCTTGGCAAACAACTGAGAAAGAAGACCCTGTTGAGCTTGACTTTAAACGTAAGAAACTTCATTTCGTTAACGACGAACTACTTTTTGTATTTTATTAGTCCTTTTTTTAGTCTTTCCATACAGAAAGAGATGAAAAAGTTAATTTTAACTTCCAAAATTTGTCAAAAGTTCTGTTAATCTTGGTAGATGATATTCACCCGTCTTTAATTTGACTTGAACTAATTATTGTTGGAATTATGTATGTAACTGCAGTAACTTCTGGAATTTCATGTATATAACTGAGTGATATGTTGTTGTAAACTGGTTCAAAAAACATTAATTTTTATAGGTGGTGCTTTTAACAATGGTTGTCCTTGTTTTGATGATGAACAATGCATAATTGATAAGGAAAATGTGATGAATATGGAGTGTACGTGTGGGGTTTGTTAAGTTAAAGATCTTTGTAAACTAAACTGGAATATGTCTAAAGATCTTGAATACTCAATATTGAAATCAGATCACCTTGCAATGAAATAGCACAGTTTCTTTTTACAGGCGCTTAAAATTCAGCCGGAACAGGAATTCGTAAAGGCTTTGATGAATATTGGTAATAAGTTAAAAGTTTTTTCAAACAAAGATGATCGAACTCGATGTTTGGTTGATGAATTGTGTAAAATTAATGTCAATCTTCCTGCACGGGTATGGCTGCCGCTCTATGCACATTCACTGAAACATATTGTCCTTCGAATACCACCACTTGCTGGATGCATACTTAATAGTAAAGACAAGGTGAATCAGATTTTGACAATTACGAATGTAGTTTATGAAGAATACACAGAGATCGTTTTTTGGTTGCACCAATTTTTTTTAGACTTCTTTCACCTAAGCTTCAAGGACAAAAATTTCTCGCGAAAGATTATGCACTGCTAACAGTTTTATTGATGCTTGTTAAGCATGTGAATTTTTAGGCTCCATACTGTTTATTTGTGGAAGTGCTTGAAGTAACGGATATACGACAGACGAAAGTGCCCAAACGTATCAGTGATATTGAAGCAGCAGAATATCAGCGCAAAGGGCGCGATATTTTTGCTTCGATGGCGGATACAGCCACTAAATTAAAGATAAGTAATGAAGAAGTTAGTTTTAGTAATTTTATTACATTAACTACAATACATGACATCAGTTACTAGAAGTAATGTATTCATGCATTTGGATGGGTTGTTTTATATTTTCTCAAAAAAAGAAGTATTCATAATAATTTCTTTTAACTGATTTGATATCGTACTCCCTGTAAGTGCTCATAACACATAATGTTGGTCATTTTGCAAAAAACAAAAAAAAAAATCTGAGCATTTTTCTAAATATGACGCTGTAACTTCAAGGACTATATTTCTGTCGTTGAAAAAAAGTTCGTTAGTCTTAAATCAAATTGAAATGAGTGTTGAGAAAATAGTGAAAGAAAGGAAAAAGACGTGTGATAAATGCAAAAATCTGTTCATTGAATTTATTAATAGCAGTTAATCATCAATAATCCAATTTTAGCTGCAGTAAAATTCTTTGTAGACCCGAATAAAATCCAATAATCTGATGGGTGTTTTCCCAGAGTCAAAGGAAAAGGGAAATATGATTGATATTCGGAAACGATTTTCGCTTTGGGTTAAGGATCCCAAGCGTCAAGTAAGTTTTGTAGTTAAATGTTAAAATTATTTTGTTTCATGCAGAAATTTAGACGCAGTGTTATTAGAAAACCTGTGACTTGTTGAATAAATTATCTTTTGTATCACTTTTGTATTATATTTTTCTTAATAATTAATCTTGAAATTCTCAAGTGAAAAGAGTTAATAATGCGCTAAATTTTCTTTTTTCTATATTGGATTTAAAAGTTTTGTTAATGAAAGTTGAAGTTCATTATTCAATGTTTTGCTATCTTTTTTGTGAAGATCAATATGAAGCAGTAACTTTCTTTGGTATTCAGTGGTTTATATTCATTTCGTTTTATTTCAATAAAAAAAATTTTGATTTATAAGCTTGTTTGCTGACACCCATAACTTGCAGCTACGCGACACACCTGATGATCCGTCAGCATCAGCGATGAGTGAACCCTGGGAGGAAAAAGTAGCACGGATAAGGCATTCTTCGCCATATGGACGTCATCCTTTTTGGCGTTTATTGCCAGTAATCGTGAAAACTGGTGACGATTTGAGACAGGAATTGTTGGCTTATCAGTTGCTTTCCGTTTTGCGGGTATAGATTTCACATGTCATCATTTTCTTTATTATTTTGACAAAATAATGTGACTTTAAATTTAATTCAACATTTACTTATTTTTAATGGTTTTCTTTATTGACTTCTATTCCTGCTTTAGTATTTTACATTTATTAGTGAAATGCCATTGAGCTTTTATATTCAGTTCCATTTTTTGTTATTCAGCTTGAAAGTTTTATCGAAAACGAATGAAGAATTTTGTTTTTTGACCTGTCTGCTTTCTCTTTCTTTCATCTCACGTTTTGTGACAGCGTTCATTTCCGCGTTTTGGTCAGGATTCTGTCTCCTATATAAGCAACTATTCAAATTAGGGTCATCTTTAAATGCTTCGTTTCAGAAAGTCTTCGTACAAAATGCTTATTTGAAATGAAACTTTATTGAATTTAATTGAAGTTAATTTTATAACATTATCTCGAAATTAGAAATGAAAGCCAGTACCAATGTCGATAGTGCTGGAAGCTTGGTTGCTTTCGTTTTATGTAATTTATTTTCGTGATTCTAGAATATTTGGATAGAAGAGAAAGTTCCGCTATATCTGAGACCATATAAAATAGTAGTTTGCTCATCAAATTCAGGAATGATTGAACCAATATTAGATGCCTCTTCATTACATCAGGTATAATTTTTACTGTTATATGCAATTTTTTTTCTTAAATTTCTAACTCATTTAATCTACTAACTCTTAAGTTTTGAAAATCTTTTGTATTTTCTTTCAGTACTAGAAACAAAATAACCGCTTGTAGGAGTGGTAATTGTAGTAGCAGTCACTAAAACAGTGTTTCAAAAAAGCTGTAGTTTTAAATAATATTTTCAGATTAAGAAAAATATGATGATTCGTAGTTCAACAATCGGTGCAGTGCAACCAGCGCTACTGACACATTTTTTTGAAACATTTGGTCCTCCAAGTTCTGAAGCATTCCTTGTTGCGCAGCAGAATTTTGTACGAAGCTGTGCAGGATACAGTCTTGCTTGTTATTTCTTACAAGTTAAAGACAGGTTAGATTTTTTTCAAGATAATTTTAATTGTAGAAGAAAATACGTTTATTGATAAGAGGCTTGAGACATTGTATATATATTTTCAGTTTCACATCTTTGCTATTTATGCGACTTTTATTTTTTCTTTAATTAAACAGAAATGCGCATTTATTTCTAATAGGTTAGGCAACCAAGTGTCCGTAGGGCATAAATCATTTCCATTCACCTCTTTTCATACGCCAAATATTCTTCATCTAATGGCAGATCAAATTCCAAGCAACAAAATATGACAAAAAGTCTTAAATTTTTATAATGTATTTGCGAGGTATTTGAAAAATGGGAAGAAAAACAAAACTCATCGGTTTGATGAATTATCTTGGTTTTTCATTTTAATGAAATTTTAATTACAGGCACAATGGTAACATATTATTGGATTCTGAAGGACATTTAATACATATCGATTTCGGTTACATACTTTCCATATCACCGAAAAATCTGGGTTTCGAAACTTCACCATTCAAACTAACGCAAGAGTTAGTTGATGTTATGGGTGGTTTAGATAGCGATATGTTCAGCTATTATAAAATTCTAATCCTGAAAGGTTTGCTGGCAACTAGGAAACATTACGAGCAAGTAGTCAGCATCGTTGAAATAATGATTAATGGTTTGCGTTTCTGTGTTTCTTACTTTTTTCCTTTTTTATTGTCATTAAAGTTTTTTTATTTGATGAAATTTGGTTTCATTTATAATATTTTATTGCATTAGTTATCTTGTCTTTTCACACATCCCAGAAGCACTTGGATCATTTTAAAGAGAATTGTTTGTCTAAATATTTTACATCTTTGTTTAAATATTTTACAGGTTCACAGTTACCCTGTTTTCGTGGTGGCAGCAGTACGATTCGTCTCCTAAAAGATCGTTTTCATATGAATTACACGGAAGAGCAATTGAGAACATTAGTAGACGCCATGGTTGAGCAAAGTCGTGATTCTATTACTACAAGACTTTATGATAATTACCAATATTACAGTAATGGTATATTGTGAAAGACAAAAGTGGCAAGTTATAAAATTGGGGACGAAGGACTACAAAAGTGCATGTATTATAAAATTAAGTATAAGTATTAGTTATATTAAGTATGAAGTACCATTTTTGAATAAGACATGTCATTACAAGGGATTTCATAGGCTTTTTCTTTATTGTGAAGTGTTTTAAATTAAGAGTTTATTGATGTTCAGTAATTTTTTCGGTTGAACCAGAATTTTTCCAGTTCACTGGCTTTTGTAAACTCATCTAGTGTATTTAAAAAATATATCAAAAATAATGAATGTAGGACTAGAATTTTGATCGCGGTGCTTTGTATATATTTGAGTACAATTCCGCTCTTCATGTGGTCTTTTCCCTTATATGGTCTTCATTATTATTATCGCTTATTATTTTGCTGATATATATCTTTTAGTTTGCTTCTAGTGATCACGCACTACTTATATGTATTCGAATTTTAACTTTTGATCACACTAATATCCTTTGTAGTCACTTCTGTGCAACAATTCTCTATCAAGGTCCTTCCTTTTGTCTAGCTATATTTCTAACTAAATTTAGTATGCTTTTTTTTTCTGAGTATGTTTTCGGTTTTCTAATTAATTCCTGTTGAAAAGAATTCTAGTTTGCTGTCCATCAATCTGTGCATAAAATTCGCATCACTAAATTGGAAAGGAATAAGAAATTCCACTTTTTCAAAATAGAAAATGTGATTGAAGATTGTTGTTTTCAAATTGTCCCATTAGATCGTGATGAAATACTAGAAATAAAAAAAAAAAAATTGCGGTATTTTCTATCACATTTATGATTGATCAAAAGAATCGGCCTCATTTGATAGACGAGACGAACATAATTATTATTTTCTATTTTTCCCATATCTACTATCACCTTGATAAAATTGTAGTAATCTTATTAATATGTTTAATTCCCTTTTTCTATTTGCTCATGGTGACTATTGTGTCCGTTATTTTCAATGTGAATTGTATTAGTGGAATTTTGTTGATGTTTATGTTTACTATTTTCAGTTATTTTATTTGGCATCTCAAAATGCATGGTGCCACATTGTTTTGTGAAAGATAGAGTATATGTGTACGCTGTTGATTTACCGCACATCTAGGATCCTTGTGCTTATTATTTAGCTTCACTTTTTTTTATCTTCTATCCCTTTCCCAAACTTTCTTTTCAAATGTTTCCCGTTATAAGGGAAGTTGCAACTTATTTTTGAGACACAAGTAGGGATAAAAAAGAAACAACTTATTTCTCATAACAAAATTTATTGTTTTGCTTAAGATAAGCGATAAAATTTGCTGCCCGATTCCGAAGCTGCTTTGCCTAATAATATCCACTGACCACTCAGATGGTGTGCACATAGCCAGTATACCTACCTATAAGGACACCGGGATATCTCGAGTTCTTGACAAACTCAGGATATTCGATGTTATTTGGTGGTGAATTAGGAATTTCAATGTCAATATTTTTCCTGTCGAAAAATTAACCATTTCGTTTATCTTCATTCAGCTGTTTTAAATTTAGTGATGGGTTTGGATAAGCGCCAGTTACTGGAAACTTCGCTATTTGATTTGGAGCAAATTGTAACCGTGCAGTACTTAAGTAGACATGCTGACTTACCAGTCGATGATGCAAAAGGGTACCTTTTTTATGTGCAATTAGTGGAATTAAAGTTCCAGCAGTATGCTTAAAGTCGCGTTTGATGTTACTTTACTTTTATTTTACTTATACCTAATACTTCAGGTTCTCCATTTCCTATGAAAACTAGTGTTTCAAACTTTCGCTTTTTGCTCTGTTACCTTAAGTTGTTTGTTTTTTTTTGCATATGCAAAGTAACTTCAGTCAAGCATTATTGTACGGGATTGTCTTACAGTTTTGTCAGTTTTTTTTTTGCAGTGAATTAGCTGAATTTCTGAAGCAGAATAAAAATAGGACGGAATTACATTCGGTGTATGTTATAAGTGGTGAACTCATTGTACCAAATCCTGCTAGTGGTTGTACTACAAGTGATATAGCAGCCACTCGTAAGATTCATCGGACACAATTGGTTCGTGATTGTGATTTAGAAGTAACACGACAAGTCTACAGAAAGGTGGAAACATGCGAAATTTATTGTTTACACACGAAACCCATCAAGGTCACTGTTGTTTTTTCTTTAAAATAATTAGGATAGATATATACAATGTAAAAATATGAAGTAGCAGCATAGCTCTGGTATGATATAGTAAAGATAAACTGTCGCGTACAGTTTACAGCGAAATTTACCCCTTTTCCTGCTTAAAATTTCCAAACTAGTTCTTTTACAAATATTTAAAGAAGCAAAAACTTTATAAAATTATTTGGTCTTTGTTTCTCTCAAATTTACCTGCTCATATTGATGATTTCCTTACTTTGTTAAGTTTAAATTGTAAGGATTTTGTCTTTTAAGATGAACACTAGGCATTAAATGCAAACAATTAAGCATTTTAAAAAAGTAATAAAATTACGCAAAGTTCTAGTATTTCAGTGCATGTAGGAAGCTTTGCAGAGTCTTTGTTTGTTGTATTCCGTAGATAGCTTGGAAGATGATGAATATGAACGAACTGATCCTGGACGGAGCTGGCTATTATATCCAGAAGCAGAAGCAAAGGCAAAAGATATGTTAGCACGTTATGGCGCTATTTCTGTGCCTGCAACTCAGGAAGTTAGTTCTTTCTTAGTTTTCTCGATTTTGTGATTATTTAAGAGCAAGAGACCAGTTTTTTTTTTTTTTTTTTTCTTATTTAAGCATTTTCTAACAGCTAATGCCGAGTAATGAAAACCACAAAAAAATAATAATAATAAGCACAAGAAAACAGCTCATTGCTGAGTTGTTTTTCATTTAAAGCATAGAGGGGAAAAAAAAAATGATTAATTGGCTTTTGCAATGGTTGATTGGCTATACTAAAAATACATGAGCGTGTAGTTGTGGATGGCGGTAGATATAAGCGTAAGCGACAGTCAAAAGAAAATGGAATCTTTTGATTAGTTCTTTTGTAACTCATTATAGTTACCATTAACTTAACATTAACTGCTTCTTCATTTTTTAAATCCGACTGGTAGAGTCTAACGCTTCTTGTCTGGAAGAACTTTCATTGTATTTAAAATTATTTAAGTCTTTATGTATCTTGTTTCTTATATCGTCTTTTTATATTTTTGTCCACTAATACGGTGCATGAAAAGAATAATTCCAGAAAAGGAAACAGAAGTTATCCATATCAAAGCTTCCAGAACCGATGGCCAAAAAGGCAAAGGATAATATAACTTCTTTGTTTCAACAAGCAGCAAAGCAAAATAAACAAGAAGGAACGGTAAAATTGAATTTCTCATTCTATTATTTTTGATCCCAGGCACACTTTTCTGAGTACTAGGAAATTTGCTTTCATTGTTTGATGCAACAGCCGATAGATTACACAGGGAAAAGGTCGCACTAAAAATCTAATTTGCTTATGTCATTATGCCGTTAGTTGTCGTTAAACTATGCTGGTGGAGCTCGTGATTTGCATGCGGAATGTTTTTACAATTCCATCTTTGATTATTTGATGTCGAATAATGGATGACTGAAATACAGTAATGTTCGAGCGCAAGACTTTAGACCGCGTTTGTTTAAATTGGCAGTTTAAAGTTGTAATTTATTAGAAATTTTGTTGAAAACTTTATATTATTGAGAAGTGATTTTTTTGATAGACAGTTGCATTTTTTCGTAATTTTCAGCAGCAGACGTGTGTTCAGTTTTAAACTTTCTTTATTTTCCATTTTTTTAAGCGTGAAAAGAAGATTTTATGTAAAATAGGTAAAAAAGGAAGAAGAAATGCAGCGTTAGTTCAATACTATTTCTGTTGGCTTTTGTAGGTACTGAATTAACTGTCATAAAGATAGCCTATTTTCAGGAACAAGAAGATTTTATCAAAAAAGCTGGTATCATGTCAGGCGAAGCAATAAGGTAAGGATTTTTAGTGATTGCTTTGTTCTCATTATTATATATATATGTATATATTGTTCCTTTGATACAACTTTTTCTTTTGTAGAAAGAACTGCATAAAAAACTGCATAAGAAAAATAAGAGAAAAGGGCACATTGTTTTTTCTTTTATATGACGAAGTACGTTTTTACATCAAAGTTATTATTCTAGTTTTAGCTTAAAATTTTAGGCACCGTGGACAACGTATCTTCATTAACAGTAAAGAAGAGGATATGGAAGAAGAACGTAAGTCATCGGAGATAACTGGTGTAAAAAATGTCATGGCGAAGTCAGGAGAAATAACAACTTCGAAAAAGAATCATGTCATTGTAGAAACGAGGAACACATTCTTAAGTTCACATTAAAATTCTATTTTATAAGGGACAAAATAATGAAATTTGGATTAGTGAAGAAAGCAAAGCGCATTTATTGAATTTCGAGAATTGAAGCTAAAAGACTGGATTGAAACTGGATTTGTTAGCATTATTTCGAAAAATTCATACTTTTAAGAGTGAAGTAAAGTTGTTGGTCGTATAAAAGAGAAAAAATTTGTTTAAGTTTAATAATGATATCAGTTATATTGAATAAATGAGTGACTTTAGCCCGAGATGATTTATTTTCTGATAGCGATTCTAACCCAGACGGAATAAATTGTGATGAAACCAGAAAAATGGAAATTACGAAGGAAAGAAGAGATTCGAAAAAAGTGCTCCATTTTTGTTAGTACTATTTTGAATCTTAGAATTTTTATGATTTTTATAGAAACTGCGTACTTTTTGCTTTCTTTTCAGTAAATATTATTTTACTAAAAATAAATGGAATTGATGTTTTGAAGATATCAGTAATAAATTTTCCTCAGTTAAGTGATAAGATATATGTGACACGTTTAATAATCATTTTTGAAATTAACTTTCGTTTTTCGACTCACTTATAAGTTGTGTATTGAATACAGCAAAGCATGAAAGTTTGGAAAACGAAAGTTACGGAAGCCAGAGGAAAGTAATACGAAAGGAATATGCCACGGAAACTTTTCTGGATGTTGATGGTTTCATGGGTAAGCCTTATTTAAATAGTGATGTGGGTTATATTATTTGTATCAGTACGTCTGATGCAAATGTGGTTTAATTGTGAAATTATATTTTTAAAAAAATGCAAATTACGATTAACAAGTCCTGTTGCTGATTGCAGTTACAAAGCAAGTGTTGAAAGAAATCGAACTTGAACCGTCATCGGCTAATACGTGTACTCAAACACATGGTAAAACAGAGAATGCTATACATCTGGATAGTAAGGAGCGAAGAAGCGCCGCTAAAGTACCGCAGGGACAAGCTAAAATCAGTTCATATTTCCAAAGAAAGTGAAAGGATTCCAGTTTTGTTCGTGGAGTTATTTTTTTCAATGCAGGAAAATTTTTTGTCAGGGATATCGGGAAAAAAATCAGCATATCAATGCGTTGCCGAATGAAATGTGCCAATAAAAATGACTTTAACTTTAAATAATTGTTTGCTCATAGAACCATACTTTTTTACCAGTTTAGAAAACCAGTTTGTCTGAATATTCGAAAATAAGGCAAACTTTTTACCTAATTGAATCGTTATCTGCTTATTTAAAAACTCTGGTCTCAGTTGTTTGATATTTTATATGAATCGCCTTTGAAAATAATTTCTTATGGTTTCCAGGCTACTTTTTTATGTTAATGGCTGTGATGAATTGTAGGACATCATGACAATTATAAAAGGAGCAAAAAGTTATACGTGATTATTCTAGAAGAAAAGATGAACGAATCTAAAAGAATAAATTTTAGTAAACTGCAAACAAACAAAGGGAATTGTTCAGACAAAGAAAAATGACATTGACCGTTTTTTTTTTTTTTTTGAAATTTTAGCTGCTCTGTTTCATCGCTTCTCCCTATCGATGTGCCAATTTTATGTAACTGGTTACAAAGAAAATTTTATTTTTGTTGAAAAATTCGTTCCCATTTGTGTTTTACATCTAATCCAGTCTGGTTTTCGAAGTTTTTTCAATAACTTTAATTCTTTAGAAGCCTGCTGCTTCTATCTATTTCTTTCATGTTCTGTATCTTTTGATCAATATCAGGGGTACATTTTCTATTGTCTCCTATAGGTCTTACTGAATAATTTGTTGCATAAAATTTCAGCTTCCGTTAGGGATAAGGATCTTTGAAGGTTCGGAACGATGTCTCATAGACAAATTTTTAAATTTATAATTGAAATCCAGTTTAAGATTGCTGATATAGGGGTTTTTTTGTTATGATTGGTTTGTGTTTGAGTAAAAGATTTGAAACAAGTGTTATCATTAATTGTTATAATTTTCTTTTGGTGAACTGGGTGATAGTGCATTTATTTTGTAAATAAGGAATTCATGCGGAACGAATATTGTAATCATTGCTTGCTTCATTTTTTTTTGCTACTGTATGAGGAAGGTTGTTGGGTGAGTAGATACGTAGAGTTCTTACCATTTGAAGATCACAGTTCTCTACAGCACAGAAAAGCGAGCAATGATATCTGTTGGAAATTTTTTGTTGGAAGTATAATTTAGATCGGAACGAAGTAGGATTCAAAATGACAATCGTGAACACATGTTTTTTTGGACAGCAGTTCAGTTTTTCTTCATTATCTATGGACCTTGTGAGGAGATTATGCTTATAATCTTTGGTTAGTTAAGAAGACAGTTTTAAAAAAAAATGTATTTGCTTCATATGCTGTGCTACTTTATTTTATAACTTATATAGCTACTTTATATATAATGTTAGCAAAAGTTACTTCCTTTCAAATGAATCCTACTGTTTCAAACCCATTGTTGATTTTATGCTTGATCATTTTACCTTCTACTGTATGTTTCAGACCAAGCTGTCTCAAACTCTCTTGTCACTTATTCTTCCAAATCATTCGTTACGAACAGTGCAAATGACAGCATTTGCTGTGCTTGCGGAAGTTTGCATTTTGTTTTATTTAAAGACGTATGATCTTGCCAACATAGCCGAGGGCAGTCATTTATATTTTTTTCCCAGTAATATTTTTTCAGTGTTGAATTTTTCAGTAATATTTCAAGTAATATATTTTAGTAATATTTGATACTCTTTAATAGAAGACGATGTTTGCTGGACTTTATTTTACATTTTAGCATACCGTAATCAACTGAGTGTCTTTCAGGAAATCAGAAGTTTTATTTTGTATATACGCCAAATATTTTACTGCATTATCCGGCAATTATTTCTACTAGTTTAGTTCTAGAATAAGTCTTCATTTAATTCCTCTAATCAATTACATACTGTAATTTTGTTTGTTTTGAGGAGTATATCGTAAACAAATGTATTTTACCAAACGATCATCGCTCAGTAATTCGTTTCTTGAGTAATATAGATCCTTTTTTTTCCTACTTGTCATTAGCCTGTTACCACTAACCCTGAGGTCAGTGATAAGGGAGCTGACAGTGGATAATGAAAACCATCATATTTACATAGAAAAATTGCAAATCAAAATCTTTCTCCTGTTTTTTAATTAATAGAATTCATATTTAAATGATGAAATAATAATGATTGTAAAGTGGTATGATCCACTGGGTAATGAAAAAAGACAAGAAGAAAAGAAGGGGGAGTGTATCGTGGAAAGAACGATCACCCTTGGGTTTGCTTGCAGAGATCATTGCTTTCCCTCTGGTGCAAGTACTTTTTGCTTGGAAGGGTTCGTTTCTTCCGTTCACATTCAACAAGTATTTTGCGGTTATTGCGCACTGTGGCGCCAAAGTCTGTTTTTAAAATGCTAACACTCTACGAGGTTAGTCAAGTTTTCATTTTTAAATCACATAAACTTTTAAAAACGCAGTTTTATTGTTCTAAGAAGTGGTTTTCTGTTCACAGTTTTTTTTTGAATATCTTCCTTCATCACTGCTTTAAAGAACCATAACGATAGTATTCTTGAACTTGATCTGAGATAGTACGATTATAATAAAAGTTATGTAAGTTATAATTACAAAGATTTGCTTCGTTAATTGCGCTTTACACTTCTAGAATTTAGGCCGGTTTCAACTTTAAACTTGTTATGGTATTTTCTCAGATCCAGATCTTTCATAAAACTTCTCAAATGTTTTCTAATTGTTATTTAAAAGCTTTTCGATAATATCGCACACAAAATTTATGAAATTGATGCCTGACACTTTTGGGATTTGGTTATATTCATATCTTTTCTATAGCATAGAACAATCCAAATTTAAAGAATAAAGTTGAGCTCTTACTGACAACTGTACCTTTTAATATTTCTTTACTGCAGAAATCAATAGCACGTTTGAATGGTTTACAAAATAATGCAGCGACAATCCGAAAATCGCTAAATCAGTGTGATCGAATGTCTAATGTAAATCATGACCTAACAAAGTGGTGTCTTGAAAAATGCAATATTAAAGTAAAGTTCCTGTGCATTATTTAAAACTTTTACAATTTCCTTACAAGTTAGGAAAATCATTCTTAAGATTTAATTCGATTTTCCTTTTTACTCTAATTTTACAAATTATTAGGAAAAGAGAAGAAAGGATTGTGAAAATAAGTTCGTGAGGTTATACCTTAATCCAAAATTAATGTTTTTAACAGTCTATATCTGTTTTAAATACCGCGAGTTTGGCATTTTAGCCTATTGTCTATGATGTCAAGAATTAGTTCTAAATGAAGGTTCTGTAAATGCACATTAATTTTCTTCAGTTTTCTAATAATCTTTGCTAACACATTTCAAACTTAAAAATTTGAAATTTTAGCTTGAAGAAATTGACAGATTGAACGTAATACATGTTAGCGGCACTAAAGGTAAGGGCTCGACATGTGCATTCACTGAATCAATCCTACGACAGTTTGGATTCAAAACTGGTTTCTATAGGTGAGTTAGTAAATTTTTGCATGGAAAAAACTTAATTTTTTTTTACACTGTTGATGTTAGGTTGGAGTTATCATGCATTTTGGTATGTTGCGATGGCTTTTTTTTTTCATTCACTGACTGATAAAGCATTTAGTTGTGAAGCTCATCATTAAAACAGGTGGGACACATATAAAAGTGACTGTTGGTTGACTTCTCAGTTGTGTGCGATGGTGTATGATTCTAGCGGTGAAAACAGAAAGAATCAATAAAAATATTAAGGAGATTTGAATTCGACCAGTTCGTCTTCTTTTTATATATAAGCAACATAAAATTGTTACTGAGCAGATTAAAATTATTGAAATGGAAGAAGTTCATGACACCAGCTTCCAAAGAGTTCTATTTAACTCATTCCATAAATCTTTGAAGGTGTAAATGTTTTTTAAAAACTGGGCACGAAATAATCAAGTCATCGTTTGGACATAAGTAAAGAGTGGCTACATTACGTGCATAATTCGAGATTCGTGTTCACTTTTATATAATGAATTTCATTCCCCTTACAGTTCTCCACATCTTGTTCATGTTCGTGAACGCATCAGAATCAATGGTGATCCATTATCGGAGGAAGATTTTGTCAAGTATTTTGAACACATTTATAGTTTATTGGAAAAAGCAGTCGAGGTATATTCAAACAATATACTTTTTATATCGACTTAAATTCTTTAATTTAAATGATGCATTATATGCATTTGTGCATGTATTTTATCTACCAGTAGATGTATTTGTTTTGTGAGATCATTTAAATATCAGTGCAATTGATTTAGATTAGTGGAATTCTAAAGCTATTTCGGGCCCGCCTCTTTTAAATGATTATTTATCTCTAAGTTGTTGTACTTAATTCTGGTAGCACCATGCTGGTGCTGCACTATTTAGTCGTTATCGTTTTTATAATCGCTACCTAATTTGTAACTTAAGGTTTGTGACTTATCGAAGTCATCAAAGCTTTGTATCTTTTGCTATTGAGAATCTGTTGTTATCCTAATGGATCACAGCATAGCTAAAAAAAATATATAATGAATATGCCATATTTATGAAGTTCTTATATGCTACTGTTGTTCTTTTAAACATTTTGTTTTTTCTTTAGGAATCAAATAAAACTGTAACGATGCCTTCATATTTCAAATTCCTCACAGTAATGGCATTTCACGTTTTTATCAAGGAAAAAGTTGATGTTGCAATTGTAGAAGTTGGCATTGGTGGTGAGCATGACTGCACCAATATTATTCAGTAAGTTGAATTGAAAATTATTTGGTCTGTCCAACAGTTCCAATAAAAAAAGTAGTTGAACTGTGTAACCATTATAGAAACCCTGTAGTTTGCGGTGTAACTACTTTGGACTACGATCACATGCCACTGCTTGGTTCGACAATTGAATTAATTGCTTGGCACAAGGCAGGTATTTTCAAAAGTGATGGTATAGCTATCGTTTCGGAACAGCCGGACGGAGCAATGAAAGTATTAAAGGAGCGAGCGACTTCTAAAAATGTTTCGTTTTCAATTCGAATTTAAAAATCAGAGTTTTAAGAAACATTTTTTATTACAAATATCGGTGAGTTCCATTTCCAGTGGTCAGTTGTTTAAATTATATTTTTTTAATTTCATGAGTTGTAATTGGCGCAAAAATATCACGGTGAGAATCTCAATATATACATTATTTTAAGGCTATCTATAGACTACTTTTTTTGAATTTCTAAGTGAATTTTTTAGTGTCTTATGCAGATAGCTCCACCATTCAGTGCATACGCTTGGCCAGTTAACAAAGTCGAGTATGGTATACCTGGTATTCATCAACAACTGAATATAACGCTTGCATTCCAAATGGTCAAGTTGTGGCTAGAAAAAGTTCATAAATCCAGTAAGTTGGACATACAATCTACTGAATTATGAATAACATTCAAATCCTCGACCATAAATTATTGAAAATTCAACTATTATCGGTCTACTGCAAATTCCTTCCAGTCTATATCATGAAACTGGCAAAGTTATTTCAATCATATAATAGTATCAAATTTTCAGTTTTCAGCTAATTTGTTCAAGCATGTTGAAAACATGCAGGTGTCAAATTCAGAAGTGTTGCCTGGTTTCGTTGTACCACAGAAGTTTCTAGATGGTATTCGTTTGTGCCAATGGCTAGGTAGAAGCCAGATAATTGAACGTGGATCGGTGACATACTACCTTGATGGGGCACACACACCGAAAAGTTTAGAAGTTCGTACTTTTGCATGTTGTTGTGTTGAATTTGAAATCTGTGCTTAGAGTTCATATCTAATAGGGGGAATGTTTGTGCTTAGAGTGCTTTTAATTGGGTACTAACTCAGAAACAGGAGTGGGATACATGGAACAGTGCTTTGAAATCTTCCATCTTGTTATTGCTCTTTACCCATTTCTTATTTCAGTGTTGCATGAAATGGTTTTTAGACGAAAATCAAAGTGCGAGAAGATCATGGAAATATGATCCGTTTATGATAATGCTATTTCATTGTACAGGCTGCAGGGATCCTTCTATGTTTCTACTAGAATTAAGCGTAATTTTTTGAAATTTCGTCATTGTTTCTTAATAGCACTGAGATCATTTGCCTACCAAGTAAGAGCTTGTTATATTGTTTTGTTCTTAATTACTTACTTTTTGTTGCACCTTCTCACTTCCTTCACCTATTTCTACTGTTTTTAATTGCCTTTATAGAAAATGTTCACATTTTTCAAGAGCTAGCATTTCTTATATATGATAAAATATATATTATATCAGAGATGAGGAAAGAATAGGAAGAAAGCAGTTGTGCTCAACGTATCCATGAATATACTTTTAGGACACATGAAATTAAATAATCTACTGTATATGATTGCATTTTTACGGACAGATAGCGCTTTAAAAGTATTACAGAAATATGATTTCAAATTGGCATTATTTTGTCCGCCTCGACTAAATCCTGTGATAGATCAACATTCTCATCATGCCAATTACACTTGCTCAAGTTATGAAGAGTTGGTCAGAGTTGCTGATCATGCCTCTATATGGAGAAGTTTTGGATATGCTGTTTGTATCAACCTTCATTTCTACTTTATTACTTACAAGCATTTCCGCACCAATAATTTATGTCATTTCAGCCTTTTCATTTAGCATTTAAATTTCAGTAATTTTCCTTTAGTAAGTACAATATAAATTAGAGAAACTTTTCTAATCCCCCTTAATTCTTGAAATATAGTTTCCTCTCATTTTTAGGATACGGCAGCTGAGGAATTTGACTGTGTCCGGAAGGCAATTGAGAGAATTGAAAAGTTGGGAGTTGCAAAGAATGAAGTTATCGTTTTGGTGACAGGTAGCTTGCATCTAGTCGGTAGTGTCCTTGCTGCTCTTGAATTTGAAGTTTGATGTATTAGATTTTTTAATAAGAATTTTTATCTTAAAATTTTTTGTTAGATTTTAATATGTTTGCCAGAGCTGTTTGTATACTGCTTATCTCAGAACATTATTTTCATATGACAAATCTATAAGTCAAGTGATTCTTTCTTATAGAAAATGAATTTTTTATTTATATGATCAAATTTCACTTTTCTTCAGTTCTGCATAAAATCTAATTGCACTATGTCTGTCAAACGTATAATTAATACCATTTGCGTGAAACGATTCTGAATGATTTGAATCTCTAGCAGCACTTTTGAAAATGATCGAAATTTGAAAGGATTTTTGAAATATATCCACTTACTACTACATACTCTTTCACTTAACATTGTACTTTGCTCTGATGCCAAATAGAATACCAATTATTTCTTCGCAATATTGTGCTGTAAATAAATGTATATTTACTTGTTTTTTTGAAAAGAACATTCGGACATTCAGTCATTTCATGTAGTGGTAGACGAATTTGCAATCCGAAAGATTCTTGGAGGCTACTGGAATGTACTTAGTTTATTACTGTTATCTATTGTTACCAATTTTGTTATTTAGAGACACCATTGTCAATTCATGCCTGAATAATGGACTAACTTCCAGGTAGTGGTTATAGCGATATGAAATATATCCTCTTCCCTGTCCGATAAATCACAATTATAAGAAAGTGTGTTCGGAGAGCAAAATTTTTAATGTAGTGCCTTTAAATTTGAGGTCATGCCTCCTTTAATGTATCAGACTTAAACTGCGTGAAACTCGTGAAAGTAGTCATAAGAGATGTTTAAAATGTACTAGAGAAGGTAACTTTTTTAAACAATGAATTTATAGTCTGGGAATATACGACATTCCATCAGTTTCAGAGTGAAACTGCTTTGAGCAATAATATCAAAATCTCGTTATTTCCTGGCTTGCATTTTTTGTGTCCTTACATTTCTAAATACCAGAGAATCTCGGCTTCTCCGACGTTCTTGTTGGCTTAACACATCAAAGTCAGCAAAAATCAATAACACTATATGAATTAGGTCTGCATGCAAATTTCTAATAACATTCATAAATGGCCTAGTAGTTTTGTGAGCTTTATAACTTAGCGTTGTTGGCTATTCAACAAGTGTTCAATCATCTTGCCTGACGTGACGACAGCTATTTCAATTCGGTGCTTCCAATTTTCACAAAAAGCCGTAATCTTAGTGAGTAACTATTGAAGTGATGGCTCTTTGTTTTTTAAATTTTAAAAACTTCGATCTGAGGTTTGCAGAAAGAGAGCACAATAGTGGAAGTAACAAAAACATTGCCTTCGCTTATATGCTCATTATCATTATTAACAGCAACAAATTTAAAAATTATGGGAAGTAACATATATAAATTTAAATTTTGGTTATTAAATCACTAATATGCAGAAACAGTGATAAATTCTCTTTTTGCTAAGCACATATTCTGTAATTCTAACTTAAATCTTCTTGTCTTTGGTTCTTGGTTTTTTTGTCGAGTTTCAATATCTTTTTAACTCTCAAATAGTATGCTGACCAGTACTTTTAGTTTCTCTCGCAATAGTTTTTGTATTCCTCAATCAGTATAAAACCGACTGAAGTTCCTTTTTTTTATTTTGATGCCGAATGAAATTATTGCCTTAAAGATTATTGGTTTTAGCTCATTTAATTTAAAATATAGCATATACTTCACTGCATTGGTCAAATTGAACAATTGAGTTAGTAAAGATAATAAAGAAATATAAAAAAAAATTTTTTTTTGACATAAAATTCATCTAAATGATAATTAGAATAGATGTATCAGATTTTAGCTCTTCTAGAGAAATACAATTGTTAAAAAGCGATTGAGGAAGAAATCAAAACACACCAGCCGAAAAGTCTCATTGAAGTGAAATGAAAGATGTGCAGTTAATTACAACATCCAATCTTGATTTGTGGGCAAATACTGCTTTTCGAATGTTCTTGCAAGTTTTAATAGATACTTCAAGATTTTTTTTAGGGAGAAATGTATTCCGAAGACCTTGAATTTTATGCAAATTAAAAGGTTTTAGGTAAAACCTTAAGCAGGACAATAAAATAATAATTTCTGACACTTTCTAGGTTTAAGAACATATAAAATTTGCAGTTGTTACAGAGCACTTTATGTTTCACTTACTGAAAGCAATTTTCATATAAGAGTTTCAAATTCTGCTTCACTTTGTTTACAGATCAATTATAAATGATCGAGGGGAACGGAACGATATTATTTGTGTACCGCAGCTGATCGCATTGATCGCTTTCCTTTGCGAGGTAATCATTTTCATAAATGAAGCGGAGGAAAAAAGCCAGATAACTTTTGAGTATACATTAGAAAGTAATAATACCACCTTAGATAACACTTTAAGTAATACTGAGTAAAGTCCCAATGCTGATACACGATAGATCTGCTTGTTGAATTAACAGTAACCAGTGACACTTGGTTCTGTCCTCTAAATTAATCGATAACTCTTAATCAAACTTCTGGCTCATGGTTTGCTCATGGTTTGAAATAAATGTAGGTTGCTGAGCATCAAAGTCGTTTATCATTATCAGAATTTCTTCATTTAAACGGCACAGCCACATTACCGCATCAAATGATACGTCTGGCAGAATATATTCGAAACTGGGAATTATTTATTGAAGCTGCTGTTAAGCCTGGTATGTCTATAAGTGTTATACAACAGCAACAACAATTTAAAAATGCAATAAGTTTCTAATAACGAAATTATGACATAAGGATACGATGTTAATGAGTTTCTGGAAAGTGCGATGATCTTAGATGGAAAGCTTTCATCTATCGTATAAATGAAGAATGCTTATCAAAAAATTTCTCTGCAAATAATAACTTCGTTTTGTCTCGATAAACATTTAAATGCAAAAATCCAAAGGCTATGCATGGAGGAATTATAGTCTAAAAGATTCGATTTAGGTAGTTTCAACTGGAATCGTCGTTTGTTAATACATCCATTACATACCAAAAGTTACGGTTTCGAAACATTTATGGCATTAAAGTATCTCGGGATTGAGCTCAAAATCTACGATGAGAAAACAGGGCGTGCGGAATTAGTAGCATGGCTTCGCAGAACATGCAAAGTAAATTAAATGATAAGTAAAACTTGCCGATTGAAGTTAGTGTATGTGCAGCATTTATATTCACATAAGAAAAAAATTAATAGCAAAAAATGGCATGAATGATCACAACATAAATTTTAAAATAGGAATCTAAATAGTCCGAGGGAATTTTGTCACAATTCATGATTCGTTTTAGAGTGAAGGAGGAGAAGCACATTGTCCAATTTTTTTGTGGAAAAAAGCGGAAACAAAAACATCGGACGTTCAAGAATTGAACAACCAGAAATGTCCAATACTCATTCTTGCATCACATTTTTACATTCCAATGTCCACTAATATTCTTGATACACATAATATTTTTTACATAACATTTAAGGTGAGATAGAACTTTTAAGCTACCGATTTTAATCAAATTTTAGGTATTGTTTAGTTTGGAGCGAAAATCTTGTGAATTTAAAAACATAACAAATTTAAAAACAAAAATTTTTAGTCTAGAAGAAAATCATCATTTTTGGTGCATTTATTTTATTTTTTTTTATTCTTTTCTATGATATTATATAAAATAACCATTTTTTTCACAGCTTTGAAATGTATTGTTGGCGGAACTTTGTCAAGTTGCTACCAGAATATTAACTTAAACATCATGAACTTTTCAGGGTAAAAACCTGAAAGAAGTGCTAGCTTGTCGATACTCGTGCCACGATTTGCTACCATTTCGTTGTCTTCAAATTCAGAAAAGCTTGCTGATCACATTGCCTACATATTCTGATGACATTGCTGCATACTGCATATCAAATGCCGATGACTCAGATATGGCGAAAGATCCTGATTCACTAGTAACTATGATAACATTTATGAGAAGTGGCACGGAAACGGTTCGTATTCTAAATAAAACACTTCCAGATTTCTGGATAACATTTATTGCTATCACTGCTCTTTCTCATTTTATGGAAATATGGTATTGATTTCAGCTTCTGGTGCTAACTTAAAAGTGTAAGCAATTTTAATTTCTGTTTCTTTTTTATAGGAATCTGTCAGAATCCTTCACGAGCTATACGTTCCTCTCTTTCACGGATTACCTAACAAAACAACTAATCTTGCTGATGCGCTGTGTAAAACGGTACCACACATCGACAAGTTATTCCAGCCTGATGGATTCGGTGATTTGGGAACATTAGGACACGAACCATCCTATATTATTGGGCCACGGTTAACCACAAGTATACAAAATATCGATCGTCTAGAAGTTATGCATACCCCTGGTCCTGATGAAATCGAGTAAATAATTTATATTGATGTCATTTGAAAATATTAGTCTCCTCTCCTACCCCTCCTTAAAATTCATCGTCGCTAAAATTTCAGTTATACTTGAAATCAAACGTCTTCAGATTTCATACTTCAATTTTTAAACAGAAGTGTAGGATTACGTTATCATTAAAAGTAAATTACAGGGTGGTAAAGCGAATCCCATCAACTGTTGACAAAATGTCCATTCTTGACATGCCCTTCCTGGTCATTATTTGGGACAACAGCAGAAACGTACCTCTATATATTGCACGCATTGCTGATCCCGTAGCAAAGGTTAATTTCAGAAATAATATATATGTGTGTGGTATATATGTTGCTTATTAGATGACGTAATGTCTGGGTCGTCTTTATTATGTTGTTGCTTGGATTTGTTTTACTTCCGTAGTACTTCACAAGAGAACAAAAACTCTACTCCCTTTGCACATTTCCGTATATTTTATTTTATACATCCACTCTTTTTGTACTGATTTTTGCTAATTTATCCAAATGAGAGTTAGAAGGATTTTGATAACATCAAGATTGTTTCAGACTACAAATATGCATGTTGATGCTACTGAAGAATTAGTGCCATCTGATTATTCTGGAAAATTCTTCTGGAAATTATTGAATCCAATGCGCTACGCATTTAGGCTAGGCAATAATACAAAGAATTTGGATGGACAGTAAACTGCATCCAATTTACAATAAAGCTTAACCAGTATGTATTATTAAATATTGTTAAACAATATTTAGACTGATTCTTTTGAAATTCTTCATTTATATAATTATCAGTACAAGTCATTTTATATGCGGCGTTTGTCGTGAAAGGTTGTCTGATTGATATTGAATAGTTGCAATACAGTAGGAAGATTAATAAACCTTTATTTTCCGAAAAACGTAATATTAATAAACCGAGCAATAAAAAGAGAAGAAATTTATAAAAGAAGACCGGAGGAATTGAAATTGGTTCACAGAGTAATAGTCGACAATAAGGACCATAAACCTCTTATTTTTTAGGATTGAATTTTATATGAGTGGTAATTGGGCGTGTCTAAGATAAAAATCATATGTGTGAAGAATCGGAAATGTTCATGCAGAATTGAGAATTTACGATGTGAGATTACATGTGTAATAAATCTTAAGAAACTAGATTTAAGGAGAGATAATTTAAGATATTGTAAGATTGTTTTACACATGTCTGAAAAGTCGGAAGTGTCTAAAAAAATTGAGAATTTACAATGTGAGAACTGAACGTATCTAAGATGAAAATCACACATGTGAAGAATCTTAAGAAACTAGATTTATGGAGAGATAATTTATGATATTATGGGATTGTTTACAATTAAAGAATGATTAATTAGTTTTTATTAATTTTAGATAGAAGTTTTCGCAAAATTATAATTCGCGACAGCGTTAACGAGACTCAAAATTAGTTGAAAAATTTTTGAAACAGGCATGATTCAGTTAAAGTGGTATTTACAAAAACCACGTGATTACTTCATAAAATCATGTGACATTTCAAAAAATAGCTGCTGTGCTCAACTACTATGGAACACGTATTTAGCCCAATAATAAAAACCCAATAATTCAAAACTTATTTGCTACTTACTTACAGCTCACAATGAATTGAAATGACTCATTGAAGATGATAGAATCCGAGTAGCTCACATCCAATTTCTGACTTTAAATCACTCTATATATAATAATCACAGTGATTTTCAGGAATGCAAATACAATATCGAAATTAAACGAATATAAACCATACAATGTATTTACAAGTTTTCAGTACAATTATGAATATTTATTTCGTTTTTGCTACGAAACAGTACGACTAAAATTAAAATGTCTACTACAAAAATAACACACTATAATTATAATGTCACTGTTTTTTTAAAAGTAGTCTTTTATTTTCCAAATATGAAAGGGAGTGATATTATTTAAAGTGAACCTTAATAAATGGGTTTTTAGTAGACTTCTGAATCTTTTAAAAAGATATATCCAACTTACAACATGCCTGCAAAAACCAATCTTAAAATCACTATTAAATGCTTTCAAAGACTTTGCTGCTAATTCTTCAAATATTTTAAGCGATGCGGTTCCTGCCTACTAACTTTATGGCGGATATCGAAGAGTTCGCAGACATACGTTGTCATCATCAGTTTCATCCTTTCTTAGCAGATAAAATTACTTTGTTTTTGCTCATTTAATCCTAGAAATCAGTGGCCCATATTTTCTTTATTTATTGCTGACATTTTTTATATTGCTTAAAAGTTTTGTTTTTGGGTATTTTTTTTTCTGCGAAAGATTTCTGTCACTTGAACGATTTAATGTATTCAAGAAAAAACGAAGAAATATTCAAATCAAATTATAATTCTTCCTTCAATGTAAAAAAAAGAAAATGGGTCCACCATCTTTAGATTACTTATTCCGTCTTTTTAAAATATTATGATCTCATGTAGATAAATTGATAAAATTATTGCAAACTCTGGATCTCATTCGTATTTATAAAACATCAGGTTCATAGATCAAAGTGCATAATTGTAACTATTTTATATTTTCTTGATTGTGGCTGTTGTAAACAGCTCATCAAGCCAGAGGTAACTTTTAAAATTTCCGTTGTTCAAACATCTTCCGAAAAGGATTGCTTAAGTCATCCTAAAATTTCGGCATTTGTTGAGCTTTTAGATAGAAAATTTTATAATCTAGAGCAGACATCAGCATTTCTTCATGCGGGTGATTTGTTCAGTTTATGGAAAGACTATTCCATCATCCATGGAGAGTTCACTGAAGCTATAATCATTGGATTGTAAAATAAGTACAATTTTTTAGTTCAAATTATTTTTAATATTTGTGATTTACCGTTGTCCAAAATGCACTGTTTGACAAAAATGCCGCGGGAATAAATTTAGTTCGGATTATTACATTTGAATTTATATCCGTATCACCTTACTCGGTCTGCTGCGAGCAATTGTTTACTATCTAAACGATAATTGCACAGTTTTTTGGGATCAGTGGTGGGTAATTCCCATTCTACCTATCACTTACTAAAGTTTTGCTTATCGTAATTTGCTTCTCAGAAAAGTATTTAAAACTGAACAGTTATGATCGCTTTACAACATTAGATATGTTTCTTACCTGCTGTCCAAATTTATGTGATATGAATTTTTGCTTAATTTGTTCAATATAATATATCACATTAAAGCTTTAAAACTTTAAAGGCTCTGCAAGGAATATCCTTTAGGAACGGCGGATGATGCTGCATTATGTCTCAATTCGATATATATATATATATATATATGTAAATGCATCATTAGCACATTAGAAGTTGCCGATATATGGTATTCACTTTTGCAAGGTGAGAAGACATGTCAACTCATGTCGATGTTTCTCTTTGCCTTATTTGAAATAGCAAACAGCAATTTCGAACACTTCGTAATGCTCAACATAAGTGTCAAGAAGGCATATCCTCATATGACCAACGAATTATAATTACCCGCGAGATATGCCAACCTACTCTACAACAGCGGTAGCGCAATTCGTGAGTTAACTTTGTGGAAGTGATACACCAGTGGACCAGATAATTTTCATTTAAGTTCCGTTGAAATTCAGACACTTTTATACGTGCGTTATTGCTAGGGGTATGGTTACTGTTAAGAATGTGACATCTCATAGTGGCGTAGCTCCATCGGTAGTATCTAGAAGTGTGTTAATATTTCACATTCAGGTGAAGAATACTGCACGAATGGGAAATATTAAACAGAATAAACTGGAAATAACGAATATTCGCTCGACTCTGTTCAAATAATAACATAGCTTTCATTCCACCCAAGTATTTTGTGTTTAATACATGAACAAGAATTCGGAAAATCTAGGTTGCATAGTGTGATAAATGCATACGGACCGGAATTATGCTTCCAGGCGGTATGGTCACATTAGGAAACTGTTGAAAGACTTCGTCAATTACGCTTTCATTCTTGAATATTGAATTAGATAAATAGCAATTAGTGATAAATTTTAGAGAAGGGTATGAAGAGCCTGTGGCTATTTATTATTATGAAGAGCCTGTGGCTGTTTATTATCTTATCAGCATTCCCTAAAATGATTCATTCCTCACCGAGCAAAAAATCGGTAATTACATCATTGCATGCAAAATGGTCACAGACCTCATTTATCGCTGAAGCCAGGTGTGTTGTAAAAAAATATGTAACTGTCTTTTTATAGGAAAATCAAGGTTGGCGTCAATTTTAGAAATGAAATTAATGAATTCAAAGTAAAAAGAGTCGGCAGAAGGGCAGATGTTTTCTTCTGATATTTGAATTTTAAGAAATTTAAAGAATGCTTGTTTTATCTTCAAGTCTACTTTTTCTCTATATTGTAATTTGCAGCGAATTTATGGCTCAAGAAAGTGACACTTTATTTTGGGCCTACATAGATGAAATTGTTGAGAAACTTAATGTCGACGAATGGCACACATGTAAGTTGTTCAGTGTCTAAATTATTTAATAAAGCATTGGAAAATTTTATAAGTCTTGTAATTAAAGCGCAAAATAGAAGCGTTGCATTTGTCTATGCTCATTTAACTGCCTTGCATAGTGCATGTTATCTAATCAACTGACTATGTGATTCCCTTGATATCACGCAAATTCAATCAAACAGTCTTTGATTTTTTTAATGGTCTGATTTAATTTATGGAGTTGATTTTTTTCAACTGCTTTTGGTTTAACTCGCCAGATTGATTTACAGTATCCTTTATTTCCCTTTAATTTTAAGCTAAGTAAAAATTAGACAATAGTAATGCTGTATAACAAGGGTTTTGAGATTTAACTGTTATAATTTTAGGTGCAATTCATTCCACTTCGAAATTCTAGTACTTAATTCTAGTACTTAAATCACTGCTATATTGATATATTCATGGTTGATAGTTTTTGGAAATGATTTTATATTATGAACTTTCTTTATTTGCAGTTACAGAGCTTAAGTTTCAGACAGTGATGCCATACAGTATGATTTAGCTGTACGCTTAGCAAGCCATTTATTGGAGGAAACTCGTGTGAATCTTTTAAAATTTGCCTTATCGTTACGAGCTCATTCACCAACTGTATTGCTTTTTCAGAGGGTTATAATTTTTTCTTCTACTTTAGATTTTTTGAGGATTTTATACGTTGTAATAATGCTGTAATGTTATCATTTTGAATTATTTGTCAACTTCTGGCTCAGTCATATTGCACCTCATTTTTCATAAGCTTAGATGTCAGCTGTTAAGAAAAAGGAAACTTTTTTTTTGCATGTTTGACAAAATGCTTTTCATCAGTCTTATGCTAATTTTCTTTTTTTTTTTTTCGTTCCAGTTAGGTACTGAAAGAAAGAAGTCATGTGCCGCGTTTGCAGATGTTCATGGTACCTTAACATGTGATGTAAATGATTTAGAAAAAGTTATCGAAAGTGATGATAGGTATGCTTTTTTTGTATGGTCAAGTTTTCATAAACAGCGTTTATCGTTGTCATCTATATTTTTTTTAGGGGTCCTGTACCAACAGTTTATTCTATTGATCACGTATTCCCGGTAAGTAAAGAACATAATGTTACCTTAATTATATATGGTGAATTGGCGACGCCATCATGGAGAAAGTTTCACTTAGCAGCAAAAGCACTATCGAGAAGCGGGAAAGTCAAGTATGTCCTTCGCCATTTTGTTAAAGTAAGTTTTTGAATAATTGCACTTTATTTTTAGATCAATAGTTGAATTGTTACGAAGTAATCCTTGTAGTTTCTGCAGCTATGATAAATGGTATTTACTAGAGTTTTTTCCATTATATATTTTTTAAATAAGAGAGCGCTAACTTTACTATTTTTTCGCTAGTTTACTGTCTCCAAAATTTGCACCGAAATTAAAACTTTAGGATGTTCGTGACGATAAACCTTTGCTGTCGGGTTACGGCGTCGAATTAGCTATCAAAAGTACAGAATACAAGGCCGTTGATGACAGCAATGCTGTAACTGGTGAGTTAGTAATTTTTTCCATAAATTGCGTTTATTTTTCTTGAATTGGGTTCTGTTTACAACTCATTCTTTAATGAGCCTAATGAATTGGAAATCCAGAAGTAATGTTTTTGCAGACAAGGTAGCGGTGGAGGAAAGTTCAGAAGAATATATTGATAACGAAGAAGACAATTATGGGTTCAATTTCAATACACTGCGGTAGATATGCTTTTTGAAAGCTTTGAGAAGTTTCCAAAATTTGTTTAGTACGGAGAATGTCACATGCTCCATATTTTTTATTAATATGATAATTGGATTTGACAGGTTTGAATTTAGGCTGCGAGAGAAAATCTGTGACAGATGCTTTTAAGTGATACTTTGTTAATGAGTGCCATTTTTCAGTCTTTATGGCGTTTAAAATTATAATGGTTGTAAGTTCAGTAATACCTATGAATTTTTGCAGTCAGAATTAGGAGAATTTGGGAGTTCAGTCAAATATTTCATGAGCTATTTAATTGCAGCAGGTTGCATAGTGACTTGAAAGAATCGATTGGACAGTTTCGGTTACATTTGCTGGAACGTGATGAGCTTACTCCTTTAAAAGTATGGCAGGTACAGGAACTTAGCTATCAGGCTGCTCAGAAAATTGTTCAGGCCGATCCGCAGAAAGCCATTAACATCATGGTAGATTCAAGTCAGAACTTCCCGCTTGCTGCTCGGTCACTTTCACGACAAATAGTACGGAAAGAGTTCATATCTGAGGTTATTTCCAATGATTTTTATTTCCAGAACCGCTTCCTATATGATAGACAAAGGACATTGAGGAGATAATTAGTCGAAGAAAAAGATATTATAGAAATTCAGGCTATGAAAAAGAAAGATAAAAGATTACCTGCAGGTTAGTGCAAATCAGGAGCAGTTAATGGAGTACGGCATATCAGAAGGTGAATCCACATTTTTTATCAATGGTATTATGGTGGATATTGATGCTCTGGATGTGTTCCAAGTGCTTAATGTGTTGAAGCAGGAGGAAAAATTGGCAAATGGATTTTTCCATATGGGAATTAAGGTTGACAGGTCTTGATGTAGTGGAAGTACTAGTTTATAGCGTTCAAATTTATTCTAGTAGTAATCATCTTTAAAATTGCATGTTTTTTTTAACCTTTTTACTTCTTGAATATGAAATATCGATGCACGATACTGTACCATTGTAGCGGTTTAATAATATGTAGGTAATTATTTAACAACAATTCTCGCAGTTTTTCATGATTTTTGGAGTAAAGTACGTCATTTTAGAATGAATACCTTTCCATTCTAATGGACCTTGAATTAAACAGTGAGCGTGTATCATATGCACTGGATTTTAGACCAGCATTTCCGGAGGTAAATTAGCAGTTAAAATCTTTCAATACACAAGATACATTTGCAATTTGATCGAAATTTAAGTTTTGAGGACACTTGTGTTTTCTTCTCGATTTTTCCTATTAAATAATTTCTGGTCTAAGTCACCAAAAGTTTAATGAAAAGCATATCTATTTTAGTACTTGAATAATTTGGATACCGACAAACAATACCGGCAGTGGGCAAATAGTGTGGGTTTGCTATTACAACCCTACTTTCCTGGGATGCTTCGACCAATCGCTAGGAATTTATATACTTTGGTAATTTTTATGATCAGTTTATGATCACTGATTTATCAGAAAAGTGACGTTGTGACAGTATCTTGAAAGTATTTCTCTATAACAAGGAAAAGTTACTAATGCTTTTTGAATTATCGTATTTTGTAAAGGTCGTTTTTAAGTCCAATTTTGTAAGCTAGAACATCATTTTATTTATTTTTTTATTTGGCGCCGCAGTAAAATCAAAAAGAAATAATAGAGTACCCGACAATCTGATATAATACTGCTCTATTGATGGTGGTCATCTCTTGCACGCTCAGTTGCTTCTTTTTTTTTAATATTTGTTTTTATGCTGATTTATAATTCTCAACAAGTTTTGAGGTAAGATTTTTTTCCAGATTTTTATTGTTGATCCATCCCAAAAAGAAACGCGAGATTTATTGCAATATGCACTGCGATTTTATGCACATGAGATACCTGTTAGGTATTTTTTTTTATTTTCTGGTTCCTCAGGATTGGACTTCATTTGATGTCATGCATATTTGTAATTTCAAAAATTACTAGCAACAGTGATTTGGTTCTGTTAGCTATTTTTAAATTCTAGGAACAATAGGATTTCTCTTACTTTTCGATGTACTGTGGAAGTCTAGATATACAAAAAGAAAAATTGGGCAAGTAGCTGATATCAAGCTTAAAAATGCTCTTCTAAATAAATATTATGTTCGAAACGTTCTGTCTTGTTTCCAGACTTGGAGTTGTTTTCGTGGCTAACGATGAAAAAGAAATAACTGGTTTCGATGATGCTTCCGTTGCCATGCTGAATTTATACAATTTTATCAAGTCAAATAATGGTATTCAGAAAGCACTGGATGTCTTGATTGAGGTTTAAAATTATCAAGTTTTTTTTTGGTAAACATCCCAATTTTTTGCTTTCTTCATTTTTCATATGTATGAAATTTTCTACATATAAAAAAATAAAGCAAAAATTTGGGTTATCAATCAAAAATACAGAAAATGTATTGGATTTCTGCATCTGATAATGAAGATGTATTTTACTTCACACAGCAAATGGTCTTTGAAAATGATCTGATTTCAGTTGTGGAATTATTTCTTTTGAGAGTCATCCTTCTCCATTCAGTGTTTCCCTGCTCTTTTTGAATCATACATATGTTTACAGCTTTTGCGGTTTTCCACTTCTATATTATTCGCCCTCTGAGATTACAACTGTTCGGTGTTGTAACATTGGTACAAAATTTTTGGTAATTATTTTGATTCAGAAATCCTAATAGTAAACATTATCTAGAAATTTCATTCTAGGTCCTAAATGTGAAGGAAGAATCCGTGTCTCCGAAGGATGTATTGTCGTATTTTCAAATGAAATATCCTAACCATGATCCAAATAACGTGTTTGGTAGTAATTCCGACTATGATAATGGACGTTCAACAGGTCATAAATTTCTTCGGGACAGCGGGCTTGGTTTAACTCCTAAAGTGCTTCTAAATGGTGTTGTTCTGGACGATTCCGGCGTAAGCTTGATTCTTTGATGTTTTTCATTAAACCAATGAACTGGTATTCGGTTTTTGAATATTTTTTCCCAGCGATAAATTTGTTGGGCTTATGATATTGCTATTAGTTAATCTCCGTTTCTTTCGTGGTTGCATCTCTAGCTCTTTATTCGACTGATTTAATACACTCGAATATAGCTGCTCACATGATTAAAGCCAGAGGTATTGATTAAGGACGGCGGAGTTGGAAATCGAGTGTTATTATTTACAATTGAAATTCCATAGTTTTAAACAGCAACAGTTTCTAATATCTCTTTGAAGCGCAACAAAAAAATGCGACTTTGTTTTTTTGTTTTTGTTTTTATTTTTAATAGTATTAGCAAAAAAAAAAGCGAAGTTTTTTCTTGGCATTTTCAATTTTATCTAAATTCCCTTTTTAAAATTTTTGAGATAATAAGAAAATTTGTACATTTCGGATTGTTCTGTTCTGAAAAGATCTTTTTTTTTTTTAGATAACGGCGGATCACTTTGAAGAAACTGTAATGATGGAAATAATGCGTGTTACATCGCGTTTACAAAAGGCAGTGATGGAAAAGAAACTAAAAGATCAAGACAATGTAATGAATTGGATACTTTCCCAGGTATTCATCAGATGACTTCTCAAAGGATTTAATCATGCTTTTTTTTTAAAAAAAATTTGGGATATTTTTGAACTGGAGTTCAGTTCAACTAACTTGAAGATTTTGATTTTCTTATAATGAATAATTACGTGAGTGGTGTCTCCTAGAAATTGAAAGATTGTAGCATATAAGATTTTCAGCGAAATGGATAGGACTGGATAGGATTTTTTTTTTTTTTTTTTGTTTAATGTAGATGTATGTCGATTGCCACACTTGCATTTTCAGTTTTTAAACTTCAATAAGATTTTATTGCAATGATTTAGTCATATTATAGCCAGAAGTTATGCCACGAATCAACAAACTTATTCTGGATTCACCGTTATCACCTGATGCGTTGTATTTGGATTTAACATCTGTCAAAAAGTGTACAAGCGTATCACCTACACAGTATTACAAACTGCCACCAAAAGAGCAGAATCAATGTATGTTAAAGAGAATGCGATACATTACGAGGACAGGTAAACATTTATTGATGATTATTTGATTTCCTAGGTCTCGTTTCATATTTCTAGTATATTTAGTGGTTGTACTAATAAAAAACTGTATTCATTTAAGATCACATTAATTTGAAAGTGTTCATTGCTTGCAGTAATTTTAGATACTTAATCGTATAAAAATGCGGCCTAAATATTTAGAACGACTTTACAAAAATACAAGAAGAGAACTTTACTTTCTTCCTTACACTCATCGAAGACTTGGTTTTATTATTTCAGAAGAAATGAAAACGTATTTTTCTACTGTTTGGGTAGTGACCGACTTGGAAACTGCTGAAGGACGACTTTTGGCTTATAATGCAATCAGACATCTTAAACGTTCTCATACTATGCGTGTTGCTATCATTAATAACCCCAAAAATGTGAGTTTTTGTGCTTATCACAAGTTTGACATCACGTTCAAGCTCTGTAAATGTGCATTAATTAACTTCTTTTTATTCCAAATGGAATTAGTTCTTTTTTTTTTTTTAATTATTAAACTAAGAATGTGACAAATTATGGAGCTGTAGGTTACTGTAAGTAACAATTCTTTTTTGCAATCTTAGTGGTGGACAGTTTCAGTGCATGATTATCTACTGATGAATTTTGAAGAAAGCACTAGATAGTTCTTTGAATTACATAAGCTTCAAATGAAGAATTATAAAAGATATTGCAGATTGAAAAAGCAACCACTTCTGGTAGTATAACGATGCTTGTAAATATTGCATCACGCATACTTATACCAAAACAAATGAAATCATTTATAACAAAGCTTGTGAAAGAGGAAATTGTATCCGAACTGCTAAATAAACAAATTACATTGGATGACCTTTCTGTTAATGTTTGTTTTTCCTTTTGCTTAAAAGATGTCTAAATATCTAATTGTATCACGAGGAGTTTCGTAAGTAAGTGTAATAGCTTTTAGCACTTATGAAATTTAATTGTTGTAATGGAAATTTTAAAAGTTTCACGCTGCACTGCAAGTTAACGATGTGTTAAAGTATTAAATATACTAACTATGCGATTAAAATATGCTAAATTATTATTTAATGGAAGTTGACAATTTAAGTACTATTATTATCCATAGTACGAATTTGTTCTAAATATTCCTGCAAGTTTCCGTTGTAGGATATGAATATGACACTTTTTTACAAAGAAGCGAAGCAAATAAACAGTGATGAAATAATCGTATATGCCAAGTACTCAAAGAATATTCTTGGTTTAAAACCAGGACAGTTAGCTTTGGTAGTTAATGGCTTACTTATTGGACCATTTGGCGATAATGAAGTTCTGGATGTTGCCGATATGGAATTAATTGACAAACTCACGTTGCTTCGAGGTGGAAAGGTATAAAATCTCTCGGTGTTCAACAAAATTGAAAGTCTTTTCGAAATTGGCTGCTTGACTAAAATTTTGACTAAAAAGTTTACGATATGAACGTTTAAAATTTAAGGTAACTATTTTTAATTTGTAGGTCGTTAAAGACTACATGGAGAAGTGGGGAATACAAACAAGATATGGGGAATCATCAGATATGGTTGCACGCAGCATGGCTTTAATTGGAAGTGTTGGTGTTACCAAAAAACGGCGATTCATTCCACTCTTAAGAGAGAAAGAGAGGTATATCACTGATGTCTTGATGAATCTTAACAGAGCTGATTTGTATTTGGTTTGAATCAATCAATAGTGATAAGTGTTTAACTGAAGTTCACTAATTGGTTACAAAGGTTGAGTATTCACTGTGTTCTTGCTGTATATTGCTGTTCTTTTGGTATATTCCAATTTATTTCATGCTTTCCTTTCAGTTTGACAGTCTTATATCTTGCAGTGTCTTGACGATTTCTGGCAACAACGAAGAAGGCTTGATCCTGGCGCTCTGTATTGTTGACCCATTATCTACTCAAGCTCAACGACTTGGCCATTTGCTGACTGTTATACAAAAAATTGTCAATGTGGAGGTGAAATTGGTAATGAATCCTAGAGCCAAACTTAGCGAACTTCCATTAAAGAGGTGAATTTCAGTTGTGCTATTTTATGAATATAAATGTGCTGTAAATTCTTTTGAAATAATATGGACATCATTCTGATAAAATTTTTGGCAAGTATCATTAAGATTTGATGGGTAACTTTATGGAAGTTTTGCCAGTTGAATTCTTTCATTGGCTTTGCAAGATTCTAAGGATTTTGTTTATTATATTCATTTTTTGTAATTTCTGAAACTATTTGATAACGGATTCAACTTCCTTCGATTTATCTGATGTGGGGATCTGAATAAACAGTTTACAATTATAAATTTATAGGTTTTATCGTCTCGTGTTACAACCGTCGGTGATGTTCGATAATTCAGGACGTATCAGTGATGCTGCATATGAAGCGCGCTTCACAGCGTTACCAAACAAACAGCTGTTAACTCTTGCAGTTGTTCCACCTGACGCTTGGATGGTCCAGTCAGTATATGCCGTTTATGATTTAGACAACATTAGGCTAGAAAATGTACGGCATGCTTTTTACTTTTAATCATTTTTCAAAGTCTTGTTGCTGATATAAAATAGTGGAAGATCAATAAAAAAAAAATTTACTTTTAATCATTTTTCAAAGTCTTGTTTGCTGATATAAAATAGTGAAAAATAATAGTGCGTATGTTTACTAGTATTTGCATCATGCATCATAAACATTTCATACGCGTGCTTCATCATGTGTTATGCGATATGCAGTGTAAAAGGTAAAAATCAGATTTACTGACACATACTTGATGCATAAGAAAGAAGACTTTACAGGTACCAGGAAATGTGCTTGCCAAATTTGAACTTGAGCATATCCTTTTGGAGGGTCACTGCTTTGATGATATGACAGGATCACCTCCACGTGGTCTACAATTTACTTTGGGCACACTAGTTAATCCGAGTCGTTATGACACAATTGTAATGGCTAATTTGGTAAAAATTTTAGTTTTTCGAAAACACCTGAGGATGATGGAAAAAAGTTATGCAGGTCCAACAGTTTCTTTAGTAGTTTAATTGAAGAACAAAAATTTTTGCGGTAATTATTACATTACAGTACTACCTAAAAATGTTGGTTGATTTTTTTTTTTAATGCATTTTTGTTTTGTCAGTGTTTTGGATTTTATTTGTTTACTTTACTTTTGCTATTTTTTTTTCTCTTCCAGGATTGCTTTTATTTGCACAAAATAAATAACTTCTTTTGTTCAGGGCTATTTCCAGTTAAAAGCTGATCCGGGTGCTTGGATTTTAAACCTTCGTGATGGTAAATCGAAGGATATCTATAACATTGTAAGGCAAGTAATTCATTACTTAATTTTATTGTTCATGTTTGTTTTGTGTTACTTGAAAGCATACCTTTTTTAGCGGTAGTATTTTGATCTAATAGTAACAAATATGAAGATGCATAAATGATTTTTGTTTCCGTTAGAAATTACTAGCAAATCGATAAGCGACTTTAACTACAATTTTAAGTATAAAGTGAGCGATTTTAACGATCAAAACAATTTATAAATAATTTATTTTAGTGGGTAGAGGAGCGAGGAGTAGCAGGTTACTTATAACATAGTTGTTAATGTTGTAGTAAATTAATTATTTGTAATGATGCAAAATGTTTCTGCAGTCATGTAAATACGGAATCGGAAGATGAGGCCGGAGTAAATGTGCTAATCGATTCATTCAGTGGTCGAACAATTCGTGTTCGTGTCGCCAAGAAAAAAGGAAAGGAAAAGGAGAATTTATTAAGTGAGGGAAAATCGGAAGGAGAGAGTGAAGACCATCACTCCATTTGGAGCAGCATATCGACGACGTACGTCGTATCTAAGATTAGAAATTATTTAGAAAAATTCCAATAGATTTCTGGAATTTTGTTAGACTTATTAGAGGCCAGCTTATTCGTTATCGTGAAGTCTGAACCTAAAATTCGCTAATAAGGTTAGCCATTTAAATCTTTCACAACTTATTCAAATCTTTTTTCCAGAAGTATAAGTGGTGATGAAAAACATGATGCCATCAATATTTTTTCGTTAGCATCGGGACATTTATATGAACGTTTCCTGCGAATCATGATTTTGAGCGTAATGAAACATACGAAACATCCCGTCAATTTCTGGCTACTTAAAAATTATTTATCACCTAATTTTAAAGTTAGTTGATTTTTGTATAAGCAGACTACAAGTTAATATAATCAATCATATTTTGGTTGGTTTCTGAGCTATTTATTCCAGGAAACATTGCCTCAAATGGCTAAACATTACGGTTTCAAGTATGAGTTTATAGAATACCGTTGGCCACGTTGGTTACATCAACAAACTGAAAAGCAGCGCGTCATGTGGGGGTAAGATATATTAGAAGAATAAAACTGATCAATCCGCGCGAGGTTTAACAGTGCTAGAAATGAACTAAAAACGAGGGAACATTAATTTTATGCATTTATTTCATTTAGATTGCTGATTAGGTCGTTTTGTTACGATTTCGTAAGTTTTAACAAAGTTTATCGAAACTGGTATATAAAACTGTATTCCTTTTTAGTTTGCTTCTTTTTTTATTGGTTGCATTGTGACACAGAGTATGCCTTTGCAGATACAAAATACTTTTCTTGGATGTTCTGTTTCCGTTAGGTGTACGGAAAATAATTTTTGTTGACGCGGATCAAATAGTTCGGACAGATTTGATGGAACTGATGGAGTTGGATTTGGGAGGTGCTCCATATGGTTTCACTCCATTCTGTGATAGCAGAACATCGATGGATGGTTTCAGGTTCTGGAAAAAGGGTTATTGGGCTAATCATCTTGCTGGTCGCAAATATCATATTAGGTCATCTTTTAACGTTTCTTTTGGGCCTTATATTTCTAGTACCTGTTTTGTAATTTGTTAATTTGTAGTGCACTTTACGTAATCGATCTGGTCAAATTTCGTCAGGTAGCTGCTGGTGATCGCTTACGTGGTCAATATCAAGGACTGAGTGCTGATCCGAATAGCCTTTCAAATCTTGACCAGGTGACTTTTTTCTTTCTTAATTCTGTTATGACCGGTTTTTATTCAAATAGCATTTGTTGTTTTTCCCCTAATATTGCCATATCTATAGGACTTACCAAATAATATGATCCATCAAGTGCGCATTAAATCGTTGCCGCAGGAATGGCTTTGGTGTGAAACATGGTGTGACGATGCTTCGAAAGAAAAGGCAAAAACGATTGATTTGGTTTGTTGTTAGTTCTATTTGAATAAGATTTTTAGCCCGTCTGAATAAGGCTTTTTTCAGTCAGTCTGTTGCAATTGACAAATTTAAATCATTTGCAAATGACGTCTTTTAAATTTGGTTTTATCTCCCATATATTCATTATTTGCTTTCTGTTCGTTCTTATAAGTATTTTTTCCCATGGATACCTTCGGGGAGATAGCTGAAGTTTTGTTTATTGACCAATTGATTTTCCAAAAAGATTGTTTGACTCTTAGCGAAATTTGCTCGGAACATGGACTTTCACCACGTCCATGTTAAAACTGCGACACCTTTATGCTATTTTATCTTTTAGTGCAACAATCCCCAAACGAAGGAACCGAAACTTGATTCCGCCATGCGAATTATTCCCGAATGGAAAGATTATGATGCTGAGATAAAGGCATTATTTGAAATAAGATCAAAAAATCATACGGGACAAACGAAGTCTGGGCATGAAGGAACTGATAAACACACCGAGCTGTAAATTACTGTTTGTTGGTGATATCAGAATTGTTCTCCATAAATGGTGCTCTTCTAAATTTTTACTATGCGTGAGACTCCCGCTCAGCCATGTAGAAAAACCTGCACTATAGGTCTTCAAATCAAGGTAAATTAAAGGAACAATGTCTGTGGAAAATATACTGTTTTCATGTTTTAGTGTGTTGTATGAAGTAAACGAAGTTTTATTATAATAGTTCAGTCTTTGATTTGTCGTGCGTGATGGTTCGGTTTTATCTTTACAATAAAAGGTACTTCTTGTTTTTGAATTGATGATTTCGGGAATAGAGGATGTGGATAAAATATGAATAATATAGATATGGCATTTTATATTTCTAGTGATCTTTCATTCTTTTTACTTGTAAAATGGATTCTGTACTTTTCGTGTATTTATCTAACACGGTGATTTTTCTCCTAGTTTTTAGAATCATCTCAACAACAGCGTAATCAGGACGGATTGAGCGAAATACATAAACATTCTAAGTTTCATTTAAGAAGCTAGTACTTGTTTCTATTCTGTGGATAATCGTACCATTGATATTAAATTCACTGAATGTTTAGTTATGTTTGAACTGATTATGCTGGTTTTGAGTATCAACTATTTTTTAAGTTCTGGGAGATGTTTTGTTCTCTCTATAGCATCTGCATTATTTATATTGTTAAACCTTGTTATATGTAATGGTACTCGTAGTTTAATTATTCGTTGATTTTAATTTTTGATTTATAGGGTAATCACTTGAGATCGTATATCTTTTCAGTTCTCTTTTTTGAAATGCTCGCTATTGCGCGTGAATTTTTGGGTCTTTTAAGATCTTTGAGATTCTGAAAATTATATTTTGAAAAGCTAACTAACAAATGTTATCTTAATTTGTGATTTGCTGTTTTGTTGTTGCGCTTATTACTAATGTTATCTGGTAACCTCTGAGACCATTTGGTGACTACTGGGATAATGAAGGCAGATCGATACTTTTTTCTTTTCTATATGGTTCATTATTCATTTCGCAGACATTGTGTTCTGCCATATTTTCGAATCTGTTTTCTAATTATTCCATGTTAAGAGGTCCTGAATTTGTTATGATCTAGTACTAAATTTTGGTTATTTTATTGTGTACTTTTCAAGTTCTAGATTCACTGTATCTTAACGAAAGATGTTTCAGTGATAGTAATAGCAGAGTGCCCGAGATGCTATATTGTTGTATTTTGTTGCTGGTTTATGGGGATAAACTGTTGTTTGTCCAGATTTAGTTCCAATGCATTAAGAGTTTTCGCAATTCTGTTACGCCGAAATATTTTCCAGAACAGTTTTGAATATTCTGTAATATTTTAAAACCACTTTTGTTCTTTTGCTTATTAGCAGTATTACTTTGGGAGCTCAACATTCCTTTGATTTTTAATTCAGCGGGAACTGCTTTTGTCTTCCGATTTCGCAGCATTGACTAACCATTATTTAAAGTTGCATCATTGTCGTATGTCAACGAGAATATATCGTTTATGGCAACCCGGAAATCCGAGCATACGAGTGTTTTTGCCTGACTTCTGGATGAAAGTAGTCGATCCTTACCCTGTTCGTTTACCTAAACATGTTGTTAAATTCGAAGTTGACAAAAGGTTTGTTATATTTGATAATTTTTTAATAATAGGATTGGTTTACTTCTTAAATAATTGAATTCCGGTGAATAATTTTTATACAGGATGACGAGACACGATGTTAGGGAATATTTGGAGAAAATATACAACCTCCCAATTCGTGAAGTGCGCACCTTGGTAAATTTTCTTTGGTCTACCGGATTTCAAAAATTTTATTCGCTGTTCATCCTTCCTGCAGTGCTTGGCTGCTGTAACTGTTCTTTTCTGCGTTAACCATTTCTTTTTCTTTTTTTCTTCAATTTCCCTGTTTTCCAAGCGCTCCAGTCGGTTTGTTTTATTTAAAGTTGCATTTCAAATGTCTATTCCTTTTGTTATTCGTTTTCGCTATCTCAGGCTTTCAGGTAAAAAGCGGTCAAATAACGTATGATTTTCCGCTCGATAAAGAAAAGCGAAGAGCCTTGTGGAAAGAAGACGATAAGAAATATGCATACGTTTTTATGGTAATTGCAGTGTCAATCTTATTATCTCTTTATGGAATGGTTGAATTGAAATTACATTACTCGAAATTTGTTTCAAAATTTTCTTGTATTTCGGGGCAAACGATCATATTCACTATCGGCGTTTGTATTGGTTTGTATGTTATAGTTGATGAAAGATTCAGCATTTAATTGTTCAAAGTTTTAATCCTTTATTTGAAGTTTTACGTTTAACTTTGGTTTTTTATCCTATTTTTGCAAAAAGTATTACAGAGGAGAGGATTCAATTTTCAATTTCCAAATATATTCGAGAAATGTGAAGAACAAGAAATGTGGGATAAGATGAAACAAAAGATGCCGGATGTAACAAATGCCGAGTATATTAATCGCGATCGCGATGGCGTGGGGAGATTCATACCTTAGATTATCAGTTATGTTATGTTTGCTCCTCATATTAACATTATCTCAGCTTAGTTTGTCTTCTATGAGAATTTTTGCCAAAAGTTCTGCTAAAATTAAAACCTTATTAAAGAATTTTGGAATGTGCTGGTTGTTGCCGGTACGATTTTTATTGCGTTTTTCATTACTGTTATAAATGCTTATTGTGTGGATTTTTCAAATGTGATGAAATCATGGACGTTCAATAAACTGTGAGAATAGTTCTAAATGTGTGAAGAAGGAATTTATGCTTTGTTTTGTTATGTTCAAATACTTTTATCTTTCAACCAATTCCAACTAATTAATCTCATACTTTTAGTCACTCACCAAATGCTTTGGGTCTTTTTTACTGATGGGATGAAATTTCTTTACATATAGAAGCACTTCAAAATATATGAATCAAGAATTTCCAAATGAAGTTGTTGGCCGAACAGCATTAAGTTAATTTGAGAGAAGAGGAAGATTGGAAACTTGGAGGTCGTAGGGCGAGGTTATATGTAATAAGCGACAATTCAGTAATTTTAAAGAACTGGTTTTTGTTCATGAGATTTTCAATGTTTCGCTCTTCATTGTGTTTAACAACACATTCATTGCAATAAAACACTTACTAAAGAATTTCCTTGATTTGTACAGCATAGGAGAACAAAATATAAGTAATTGAGCCGATTCCCCTGACTGTCGTAGCTCCCTGTTCATTTTGATTCAACCGATAGATATATTTTATATTCGATAGTTTAATTGATACACCGTGTCGAATGAAATAGTTGAAGCTGCAGGATGAATAACTTGGGAAAACCGAACTTAGTTGATGATAATGAAACGTGGTTTTATGGAGTGCGTGACAGGGATGAACAAGCTGGGCATATAGATGAGACTGTTTCGAATAAAATGCAGGTAATTCCCTTTCTCAAAGTTGTCAGATTTGATCGAAGAACTGAAAACATTAAATTGTAAAAAAAAATTGAAAAAAAAAATTAAAATTGAAATGTTGAGTAATTGTTTGGTAACTTATTTTGGCTTTTGTTTTTAAATGTAAATGCTACCAAACCTCGTACAAGGTGCTCTTCTCGTTGATATAATAACAGAAGAGGAATTTGAATCCCTCAAACTGATACATGTTATCATTTTGAATTCTAATCACAGATACTTATTAAGAAACAAAAACAGAAGCGAAGTCTTTTCGAAGATTCATTGGGTTGTTTTGTGGTTTACAAACGACAGAATGATGCGTTACAAAAGTGTGACCAAGAAGGACCTATGGCACGAGTGTTTGCATTCGAATATTCCACTGATCATCCAGGTTGGTAAAAGTGAATATACTTTTAACGAAAAGATTCGTTCCCTAAGTGTTATATATAGCTTTTGAAATTTGCAAAATTGACTAGTGCCGAATGAGTGCTTCCAATTATGTAAAAACAAATGGTATTTCAGAATTACATAAAATTACGGTTTTTATGTGCCATCTGAATGCATGGCGAGACTGATTCACCGTCTTTCTGGACTAAAAAGGAATAGTTTTTTTTTTCTTTTTATTCGAATCCTCGCATGCGGTCTCTTCACGAATTATTTTCTAATATTCATTTATATGGATGAGTACATTTTTAATTAATAAAATTCTATGCAGGACAGAGGAAGTATCTTGTATCGACAGTAGAACGATTCTGGCAGTGGTACAAGAAACAATACAATGTTTCATTTTACGAATTAATACCACAAAATCGTCCTGCTCATCTCTACTTTGATCTTGAATTTTATCGCGATACGAACCCGAATGTTAAAGAGGAGAACTTGATTAAAGATTTTAATGACTGCGTTAGTGAGATGTTGGCGGAAATGTTTGGCGTTAACCTGAATGCAGAAAAAGTTGGTACTTGGCATTTTATCCTTCTTGTTGCTAAGCTCCTCGTAATAGATATCTGCTGAGATTTGAATTTTGAATTATTTCTTTTTAATTGTTAGATATTCGATATTTGCCATAATCGGTAATGTCACTGAAGGGTTAAGCTGAATGAACGCAATAAATTAAACAGTAATCAACACTAACATAATGTTCAGCAGTAGTGAGTGATCATAATTATGTTCAGTCATTACAGGAAATGTTGGTGCTTGATGCTTCAACAAGTACCAAATTTAGTGAACATATTGTCATTCATTTGGTCGATAACTGTTTATTTCCATCTAACATTTCTATGAAATCCTTTATACAACAACTGAAGGAAAAAATGATGTCATCTGGTCGATGTTTAGTTTGGAATGCCGATGCTACTAAACGGATGACATTGTTTGATGTAACTGTTTACTCAGCGTAAGTTTAAGTTAGTCATATAAGTTTTAAATTCGAGGAAGGTACCAGGTTGTAATAAAAACTTGAATGGACAGTCTTAGTTTACTTTAAATCGTTGTTTTAAAAAACTAGACAGGGAACGAAGGTTTTCGTTTTACCAAAAAAATTTGTAGTGATTGATAATGTGATCAGGAAACGAAGGTATAGCTATTAAATATCCCTGAGATGGAACCTTTAATTCATTCTTCTAGTGTAAAATTTTCTGTTGAATTGTTTGGATAGGAAATATTGTTCTAATCTAAATTATTCTTATATCAGTTAGTTTTGGAATTCTTACAGCTTAGCAGCCTTTTTGTGATTTCCACTTTATTTTCATTTAGTAATAGAAAGTATTGTTTTCAGGAATCGTAATTTTCGTTTGTATTTGTCGTCAAAATTGGGGAAAAACAACCCCTTAGTGCTTGCGCAACGTTGTAATTTTTATGTCCACAGAAAATACCTTCCAAGAAAACAAATTTTTCTCGATTCATTAGTTGTACCTGCCAGGTACAACACTTCGGAAATCTTTTATATCCCAATAGCTAAAAATGAGGAATATCTATGTATTCAAAGGACAGAGCCAGAAATTCATGCACTTCCCACACGAGGTATGTTTTGAAATTAAATTAAGAGATCAGGATAGTATTCATCAAATTTGTGCTATTTCACTGCGACTTTGTTATGCTTCGTATTTGCAGTTAGTTTTTATTATCTGTTAAGTAGAATACTTCGAAAAAAAACACTGTATGGACACCTGAAAACCTTTTTTTTGAACATTAAAAAAATTAAGTGCTCAGGATGATTCCTGTTGTTTCTCAATTATTTAGCTTGATTTAACAAGGGAATAAATACTAATAAATACTAAGACACAAGAAATGGTTTTAGTAATTTTTTTGTTAGTAGTTCTTCAACGACCATTTATTGCTGATTAAATAAGTAATTCAGTTCCTGCATCAAGTGGAAGCGTGGACTGCATGACTGGTCGTGGAGCAACTTCGCCTTTTCCCATATTGGACCAACATATCATTGCCATAAACAGGTGCGCTTTCAAATACTTATTAGTGATTAATACTCTTGTTTCTTTGAATTAACAAATATGCTTCAGAAGATGGAAAGGTAATGCATCCATTCGACAATGGAAGTTATCAGTGGATAAATTTACAATGTCCCGACATATCATTTATTATGTATGTTATAAGTTTAAAAAGATTTCTCTTGTTCCTACATCACTTGACTTTTATAGCAGAATAAGTACAAGGAATTAATCTTACTAACCGAATGTTATTTTTATAAAGACATAGGATGAAGTTATTTTTTTAGATTTCAAATTGTCGTTATTGTTTTAATATTGGCCGAGAGCACCGAAGTAACGGAGTATTTTGGATTGCGGATTTAGATAAATTACACTGTTTTCAAAAATGTTTTGATGTTGATTGCAATGGTATCAGCTCGAATTATTTTCCTTTGCCGAATTTTGTTTGCACTTTTTTACGATGTACAAAAGGTAAAAATTTTGTTCATTCTTTTTTCCGTTTCTCATCATATTGTCTATTTTTCATTTTTCTATTCATTTTGAACTAGATCTGTAAGACTCCTCGTTTTGTCATAAACCTGAAGTTCTGGTTAATCAGTTGATCATTTATTGAACTCGTTTAGTTTCACGATTTCAATATTATTTTCTTTTCTAATTCAGAGTCAACCATATATATATACTTGAATTTTGAAATTTAGACGGTGTCACTTATTGTCGTAGCTTTTAGCAATCATTTCTATAGGTCTACCGTTGGAATCCAATAAAATTAATATACAATCAGAAAATACAGAGGTTGAAGATCAAACAGTTGGGATGGATAATATGTCAAAGCAGCTGTTGCTCGATGTAGTAAGAGAAGCAAGAGTAGTGAATGAGACTGAAGTTCAGAAACGTACATTAACAACTGGTTATCGATATACCACTCCAGAAATGGGCGAGCTGCAAAATAGTCGGAATTTGTTTGAATTAACGGATGAGGAATTGCTAGACGCTTTTGCTTCAGTAGAAAATTAATTATGGTTTAATTATCACTGAATTTTTTTGCGTCATACCGTTGTGATATTGTGTAGCTGTTGCAGTAGCAGTAATGTACTTCTGTCACAGTTCTATATTTTTGGTTGCCATGTAGCGTAGTTTAGGCAACGTTGACATATTGAAGTTTTTCAAAGTGTCGCATATGTATTTGTGAAGTAATGATTGCTGTGCTCATTTATCTTTTATTTCAAGCCGTTTAATTCCTTTCTTCTTTTCTTTTCTTTTTTTTGTACATTATTATCTTTATTTGTTATTATCATTGTTTGAATCAATTAGTTATTACATATAAGTATTTCTGTTTTTGGAGCGAGCTTCCTGTTGTCTTGTGCAGGGTACGAATAATGTATTCAAGAAGATTTCCTTTTTTTGTGAAACCTGCTTCGGGATTCTTACCAACAGAAGGTGATTAACTTTATTGTGAATTATTTCCGTTATAGAAAATATATTATTTATTCAGCAGCACAACACCTGCACTGTTTTCATTTTGTGAGAAAACTTAAAATAATAAAAGATGTAAATAGAATGCATGAAATAAAATGAGAGATGTGGATGAATTATTTTGCATTCTTACATTCTCTTTTACATTTTCATTTTAGAATCTTCCGGGACCATAAAAAGTAATGCTAATGATGCGTGTTAACATCACACGGAAGCATTTGTTGATATGTATTGAGAGGGTTTTTTTTTGTCAAATCTGCTTCGGAATTCTTACTAACAGAAGGTAATTAACTTCCAAACATAAGCATTGAGAGTTTTAAACTTTTCCAAGTGGTTGGCTTCCAAAAACCACCAAAAAATTCAAAACCTTGTACTGGTAATTAGAAGATTTCCCTTCGTCATGAACAAAGTCACGAAGTTTTATAGAATTTACTGCATGGAGTTTATTTGCGCGGACATTTCATTATTCCTAGTTAAGTTTACAACTGTGTTTCTTGAGGTCATCGGTATCATTGTCTTCTTTTCCTGACTTCATTAACAATTAGTTATCTGACGCACTCTCATTCTGTTAGTTACTGGTCGTTGCTGCTGGTCAATATTTCGTCACCATATTATTTATATTACAAAGTTTCATATCTTTGCAAACTTGTTGATTAAATAATCATGCTATTCTGAATATTCTCAACAATTACTCTTCTTTACAAAGCTTCTGTGTTTGTTCGCATTTTTGCATTCTGATATCAATTTTCTTCCCAACTCACAAATATTTCTCCGTTTTCAATACAAAGCTTTGGCGGTCAAATCTCAAAGATAACTTACGTCAATTTTCATTGAAACGTCTTGGAATGATTGCCACGCATTATTCTAGAAATACTCTTTGCTTTCGTAACGAATCGCTTCAACTTTCTCTTCACTCACCTTGTTTACAATGAATTTCATAGCGACGTGACAACGAATAGTGAACATCAGCGGTGGTTTTCTGTCTTCTTGTCACACCGTCCATTATTCCTACGCTCAAACTACAGCTAAGCAATTCGGGGTTTTAAATGCATATGTTGATATACTTTGGTCTTTGCATTCCCACAACCTTATATACTCGCAAAATGCAGATATGCAATAAAGCAAGCACAAAAGACTAAATATTACTGCCAGTGATGGGGTCTGCTCCTTTTTAGTCTTTCCGTAATCAAAATGACATTCTTCAAAATGATTTTCAGTCTTAGAAATTTACTTCCTACCACAAACTTTAAATCAAATATTAAAATTTGATTTAGACAACTCTTACAATAAGTGTAACAAATCATCTGTACTAAGCGTAGTAGAAAGAGAAAGTCATTGCTAACAAACATCCAGCATCACAAAGGTTGAATCTTTTGACTGGGTGTTAATTAAGAAGAGGGCAACTTTTGTTAAGCTCCAATATAGATTTACAATTCAATATAAATAAAATGAGCTTGAGTAATCTTCTCGGGCATCACTTACTGCTCATATTATATTATAGTTTAAGACTTTGTTCGAATAAGGAAACATATCAACTTTAACCAATAAATGGTGAAAAAATAGTCAAAAACCGCTGAATCCACCAAATTAAAACTGATCTGTATTATGATGTTAGGAGAGTTTTTTAAATGTTGTTCGACTTAAATGTGATTCAGATTTCAATATCCATGACTCCAAATTCAATAAAATTCGTGTGTTTATATTTTTTGGTTCTTTCTTGACAAATATTTTGGAATTGGTGTTCACTGCTCAGCAAATTCATCGCATTTTTAACTTAAAGATCGCATAATATAAAGTGGAAAAACTGCTTCAGAGTGAATGTCTTTTTTGAGACGACACTTTTTGCGTTCTGCTTCCAAAAATTGAAAATATCTATAATTATTATTATTATTATTATTATTAATTATTATATTTTAAATGCCTTTAATTCTTTAATTTCAGAAGTTGAATACTCAGCCACCCAAAAATAATGATATCGGAATTCGTAGATAAAATTATTGTGGATGATATCTTACCTTATAATAAAGAAGCAAAACACGAAAAACCATGGTACGAAAAAGCTCTGCTGAAGGATGTCCCGCATCAATATCGTAAATTGAGGTTGTTTCATTTCCAGTACAGAGCTCATGTAAATTTTTTCGCATAAGCGAAATTTGTCTACAAGAAAATTATCAGATTATTTATCCCTTTTTTTTTCTGTAGAAGAAAATCTGTTATGAGTTTTTTGAAGACTTCCGGATGGTAAGCCAGTGGACAATGTGCTAGATGCTATCGGAGGGACACCGTTAGTGAAGCTGAACAGAATACCGCAGTCTATGGGTATTGAATGTAATGTGTGTGAGTACATTTTTTTACGAAGTTGGAGCAATGATTTCAAAAAAAAAAAAAAAAAAAAGGATCTATTGCTAGGAAATAGAAAATGATAATAATCAGTTGCTCTATATTCTTATGATAAGAAAAAATTCAGCTTCTTACCGCAATGATATTCTGAATGCATCCCTGAGATTTGTTTAAATTCCAACATTCCGTTTGTTTTTCATAAAAAGAAAGAAGAATCTGTTAAGACTCCTTTTGAGTTAAAGAAGACTTTATTGCAGATGCCAAAATGGAATTCTTAAATCCAGGTGGTTCCATCAAAGATAGAGTTGCAGAGCGAATGGTTGACATAGCGGAACGAACTAAAATCTTAAAACCGGGCATGACGTTGATTGAGCCATCAACCGGAAATACAGGGATTAGTTTAGCAATGGTTGGAGCTGTTAAGGGTTACAAATCTGTAATTGTGGCCGATAAAATTAGCATGGAAAAGGTTTTCATTTTGTTTTCTTTTTTTATGCATCAAATCGTTGTTTCATTTAGATGCGAACGAATAAGTTTTTACATAAAATAACTTCCATTTCATTCTCTACAATATCTTCAAAATGAGTATTTTATGTTATATTTAGATCACATAATAGCCATTTGAATTTCTCCGTTGTCTTTATTAATTAACACATACCCTTAGATTTTAATTTTAGTAAGTAATTCATTACAATGCATTTCTTAGTGCTGCAGAAACAGCTAGCAGTTGAACTCTGTCTAAAGTAAAGTTCCACTCATAAATCGGTTGTTAGACACTTCCAAATCTTCAATATTTTGATCATATTCTTCTATTGAGGGATTGAAATTATAAAGTATTGAGAAATATTTGTATATTAAAGGCATCGATGGAAAACTATATTTAAAATATAAGTAGAAAATTAAAAAAAAATTCGCAAAACATTGTTGCTTTTTTTACCCAGTTGAAAGTCATGTACCACTGTTTTATTTTCTTAGTGATACATCACTAATCAATTTTTTCATTCCTTTAAAATATTTTCATTGATGAATTTAGTTTGTCCATCATGATAAATAACAATCTTTTAAAAAATATATAAAGAAAAATGATTCATAAGTGACAGAAAGGAAACAGAAAATTTATTTTAAAATTAAATTGGTAGGAATAGTTTTTATCGCTCATCCTTCAGAACTTACTCATTTCCAGACGAGTGTCATCAACGAACTAGGTGGGAAAATAATCCATACCCAAGATAGTGTTCCATACGATTCACCATTCTCTTATTTTGGTGTGGCATTCGAGATGCGGCAAAAAGACAGAGACAATTCTCTGGTGCTTGATCAGGTTAAATTGGTTCCGTTTGATTTCACATCGTTATTCAAATTTTGTTTCCTAAATTAATGTTGGATAAGAAAATACAATTTTTATCATTCCTGTGAAACGATAAGTAAACATATCGTTATTAAGAGAACAAAAAAGTGGTTGTTGAAAATTATTTTAATATAGGAAATGAACTGTAAAAAAGATTGGAATAACAGTGTTTCTTTTAAAGTAAAAATACGTTATAAACATAAATAGTTAGTTGAAACTCAGTGTCTTCTGTTTCTATAGTACCTCAATCCGGCAAATCCTATCGCACATTATGAGAGCACCGCTGCGGAAATATTACATGCACTGGATAAAAAACTAGATATGATTGTGATTGGAGCAGGCACAGGCGGTACTATAAGCGGAGTTGGACGACGTATCAGAGAAGAATGTGCTAATGTCACGGTACCTTACAATTTTTTCGAAATTTAATATTTTTTTTTGCAATATAAATTGCCGAAAAATTTGAAATTTCGAGTACAAATACTTCTTCATTTCTACTTTTCGTTTTTTGGACACTTTTTATAATCTTTTTTCGTCCCCAACCTTTAAATATATGATGATCTTCTCCAATTGATTAAATTCTATATCTATTTTAATTTCTCTGTAGATAGTTGGTGTAGATTCGGAAGGTTCAGTAATTAGTAGTACTGGAGATGAAGAGAAGGCAGCATTTGTTGAAGTGGAAGGTATTGGCTGTCATTTTGTACCACCTTTGCTTGATTACAATATTGTTGACAAATGGATCAAAGTGAATGATGCGGATACTTTCAAGTTCGTTGTCATAACTTCCTGAATTCATTTTAATGCTAACTCATTGAATTTGATTCCACTTTAGTTCTATTAAGGAAAAAAAAAACTTTACTTTAGTTCTATTAAATATTAATCTAAATTGATGAATTTATCCACCCTATCACTTCCCTTTCTCACTCAGAATGGCTCGTCGATTGATACGTGAGGAAGGCTTATTGGTTGGCGGTAGTTCCGGTTCCACCATGGTAGCTGCTATGAAAGAATGTCAAAAACTCAAGAAAGGACAGAACTGTGTTGTCATTCTTCCCGATGGAATACGAAATTATATGTGTGTTTATATTAAAATGATGTTATGCCATTATCATAAATATTTCACTGAAAATAATATCAGCAGACGTTTTTTTCCTGATTTTCGTATTAAATTTTAGCTGTTTAAAAACTTTATCCCATTTCGAAAAAGTTAAAGCTTTCATTTTTTTAATAAAATCTTCAATTCTCTTATTTTTTAAAAAGTATAAAAATAGTTACACTTTCTATTATGCAATTTAAATTTTTTTTTCTCCACCCTGATAAATTTAATCAGAGCCAGTTCTTTCCGTATTTGATTGTGCCAATTAAAAATGATTAAAAATGGTTTGAAACTTATATGAAAATTATTTCATCTTCAGGTCTAAGTTTTTGAACAATGAATGGATGTTGAAACGATGCTTCATGGAACCAATTCAACAAATTCCTATTATGCCTAGCGAGTAATTCATCTCCGAAAATTTTGTATTCATCAAAGTGTTGAAATATAAGTTTTTGGCTCCCTCAAAATCCACTCTGGTTTCAATCCGATTTAAATAAATTATAGAAGAAAAGTAAGTATGTTGCTTTAATAAATAAATTGCAACTTAAGTTCTTCAAGTTAATATTTTCAAATGCTCGCTGAACGAATCTTTGAATTATCGTCCGGACAAGAAAATGAAGTGGAAATGGAGCACGCTAGATCCGAAAAAGAACGAATGTCCTTTTCCATTCAAGCCATGGCGGTAAGCAATTTTATTGTTACTTCAGATAAAAAATAAGGTAGCAAAAATTTTACATTTAGTTATATTTTATGTAAGATAACAAACACTTGCTTTGTCTTTCAAATCACAGAGTAGTAAATATCTTTTACACGTGTATATTTTTAGGTAACTAAATATCAAGTAATTTATCAGAGGAAATGATAAGTTTGATTATTCTTATCATAAAACTGAGAGTGAATATACTTAAGAATGCCCTTTTAATTCCAGCATTTGAGTGAGACTTCTTTTTCAGTACAGCACCAAATAGAGTCAATGGGGAAGCAGCGGAAAATGTGAGATACGAAAAGAAAATGGTCATTGATAATATTCTGGAAGCGATTGGTGAAACACCGTTGGTTCGCCTAAATTATATACCAAAAATGTTTGGTGTTAGATGTCAAGTTTGTAAGTTTTAAGAAATATATAAATACTTTATTTATACATTATGGTTGAAATTCCACTAATGTCAACCACGGTTTTATGGTTAGGTTAATTTTTCACAAAAATAGCAAATGGGATGTGTTCCACAAAGCCGTTTCACAGGAGTTGAACTAATTTCTGAAGACAGATGTTCAAATCTTACGACATATTATATGTGTGAATGCAGGATCTACGGATATTACAGATGTGAAATGTGATTATCTGAATCCTGGAGGATCAATAAAAGATCGTATTGCCTATAGAATGGTTGAATTGGCTGAAGAGATGGGCTACCTGAAACCTGGAATGACAATAATTGAACCTTCTTCTGGAAATACTGGGATCGGCTTAGCACTAGTTGCTGCAGTCAAGGGTTACCATTGCATTATCGTGATGCCGGAAAAAATGAGTCAGGAAAAGGTGATTAGATTGCCTTTGAATATTTTGGACGTTTCGGCATAAGGACTGTAGCACTTTGAGTGGTGGTTGGAGAAAAAGAGAACAGATATGTTTTGGATCATAAAAAACTTTCATAATTACATTTACTTACATTTCAAGCATTATGTACCACAGACGTTGCATATCATTTTATTGAGAATTAGGTTTTATTATCTCTGTAACAGTTCATTATAGCTTTAAATCTAAGTTAATTATATAAGAAATTTCTCAAGAAATATTAATGTGACAAGTTTCTTTAGACGTGACAAAGGATAAGTCTTTTTGGGCACAAAAGTTGACACACACATGAACTGTCTCATTTGTCATAAGATGAATAAGTACACATTATACATTTTAGGAGAAAAATTTTTGAATTGTAAGAGCTTATGCCTTAGATGATCATATGACCTTAGACCCTTAGATCATTTCGGTGTGCTGTTCCTTTTTCAACTTTGGTTTACTATAATGATACAACCGATATTTCCATCCTGTTCTCTTCCCACTGCTTTCTCAGTGCTTCCTACTTCGACATCTGGAGGACATTGTAGAAGACATATTTCTAGATTTGTTGCCTGCTTCATGTACCACAAAATATTTCACTTCGAAGCGTTCATCTTTCGACATTTTTACTCGTATTGTTAGTATATTATCATTTGGAAAGTACGTATTTGGATGATATCATGCTTTTTAATATGTTCAATAAAATTGTTTTGAAAAGTTTAGGAAAACATTTTGCTGGCTTTGGGTGCTGAAGTAGTACGCACCCCAACGGAGGCATCATTTTCGGATCTCAAGTCACATATCGGTGTCGCCTTTAGATTACAGAAGGAACTTCCCAATGCTATTATCCTGGATCAGGTATTACTTTAAATATTATCTTTATTCATTTAAATAGTTACATTTATCCTTCATTTCAAACAAGTGAAATATGAAGCTAAACAATTAATTATTATGATCAGTAGTTCAATCATGGAAGTATTGTAGTACACAAACATCGCTAACCCCTTGGAACATTACGATAAAACTGCGGAAGAATTATTATACGCATTGGATGATAATTTGGATGTGCTTGTAGCTGGTGCTGGAACAGGTGGTACTATAAGTGGGGTCGGTCACAAACTCAAGGAAGTTTGTCCAAAGTGTAAGGTCGGTTATTTTAAATCTCTAAAATCAAAAGTTAAGATATTTTTAAGCAGTTCTTGCAAGAACCACCATTAAATTTGAAAGTAAAACCTGCAATTGGATGATTTTGTGAATAAGTTTCCAGCTAGCTTCTAAGAAAGAAAAAGGAAGAAGAGAGGACGAATGATGGAAAGTAGTTCTTCACTGTTATGTTATTACCGTAATCTAAATAATTTTCAGATTGTTGGTGTTGATCCTATAGGCTCAATTCTTTCTGATCCAGAACATAATGAAGTCTCATCCTATGAGGTACGCGTGATCTACAGTTGAACTTAAAATGATAGCACTTTAGCTTAGTTTTCCTGAATGTTCGGGTTTCTTCGTTCACCTATATTTCAGTTAGGTTTTAAAAAACGCATAGCTGTGTGGGTATCATTAAGAATTGTTTCTGTATGGTTGGTTTTTGAATATGTTAATATTTGAGGCCTAAATAATGCAAGGAAAACTTGATCAAAGTTTTATGGACTAAATATTTTGAAAATTTATATTATTGCAGACTAGCAATAAAATAGCAGGAAATGTATAGGAAATAGCATATATAGGAGATAGAAGAGCTGTACTAAAAGATAATGGTCAGCTATTCCTTTCTTTTTTTTGATTTTTTTCTTATTATGATTATGATACACATTTATACATAGAATTTCTGTCATAGACACTGCTTTTAGGTAGAAGGAATTGGTTACGATTTTATTCCTACAGTGTTGGATCGTGATATTATTGATTTGTGGATGAGAAGCAATGATAAGGATTCATTCGAAACATCTCGTTTATTAGCCAAACACGAAGGTTTGCTATGCGGTGGCAGTGCAGGAGCTAATGTTTTCTGCGCTATGCAGGTTGCCAAAGAGTTAACTGAAAATCAAAAATGTGTTGTCATATTGCCAGATGGAATCACTAATTATATGTAAGCAAATTATTTTTTAACAAAATTATGTTTAGCTTCATTTTAAGTGATTTTTTTTGTCTTTTAAATCACTGATCGGCTGTCATGGCCATGAGATTATATCCTTTTATAATTAAACGAGAAGGTAGCCGCTGAACAGATAGAGCAAGAATTGACGGTTTAAATTTTCTGTTTTTTTTTTAATTTTCGACAGTTTTATTAGCAACTCAGGATTCGTCTCAAGAAATCTTCAAGGCATCATGTAATTTAAATTGCTACTCAGTTATCATTCACCATTCCCGATGTCCTTAAAAACCTGGAACTGTCTGATAAGTAGCAAGAAAATATCACAAAATCGTCGGGCGTTGAAATCTCGAAAACTGATTAAAATAGGAACTGACTATTACATGTTGATTCAGACTATTTGTCCTTTCTTGTTCAAAAACTATGATGACCTCGTTTAAAATTTTTAGTTTTTAAGATTAGAGTTTCAATACTGCTTAAACGATTGCCACTCTCGCACCACCATTATTGGCCGGAATGAATTTTTTCAGAACAAATTACACTTCAGTCATTTATAAATAACATGTCGTACGGACTTTTGTGCATTGCAGGACGAAGTTTGTGAATGACGAATGGATGAAGTGCCGTTTATTCCGCACATGAATTTAAAGAAAAATATGAAAAGGTTGCAACAGAAACAAGTGTAGAATTTATTGCTTACATTGTTTTTTTAGTTATAAGCGTTTCGGTGGTGCACTATAACACATATCTCTAAATAAATTATCACGGCGTTATATTATGGTATTTCTTGGCACCATTTGAAAATGATATTAATAAATCTTACTAAGAAATATCATTCAAGTCAAAAATTGTTAATTACACAAGCTAGAAGTTTCTCATATCTTGTTTCATGTTTAATATAAAACATGCAGTTAACCTCTATTTAAATGTTTATTATGTTGGTGTTGATGAGAGATTACTTGGTTTTGTTTTGGGCGCTTTAGTAGGATATATGAAAAACATTAACAGAAGCAAACCATTCAATACCATGAATGCTCCATTCGCTATCTGCAAAGTGAACTGAAAAAGGTAAACGGGTGTTTAAATCATAAAGTTTTTAGATCCTAATTCCAGTGCAACTTCTCTTTATTAGGAGGAATAGCGGAAGGATAAGAAGATGAGTTCTACAATTTTTATTGTCAAAATAAAATTTTACATTTCAAAGTATAACATTGTAACTAACCAGCAGATGGAAGTCCCTGACCCCAATACTATAGATGACAATGTGTATTTCCAGAACCCATGCAAGTACTACCGATCCAAATGGTATAAAATCCATTACTTTCCTTTTCACTGCTTGATACTATAAATTTTCTTCTAGTTATCAATCTTTCGCCTTTCTATTCTTCCACTCGCAAAAAAAATCAAAATTTCTAAACATTTAATGCTGTACACCTGACAACGATCAACTGCATTTTATATACGTAATTTAATTTTTTTTTGTTTTGCGTTTCATAGACGTAATTTAATCATCAACACTGCCTAATGTTTGTAGCTTGGATGTGCAGCTTTATCGCATGCTGATAAAACGAATTTTACATGTAATGACTGACTTATTTCTTTTGGTCTTTCATTCTTGATGAAATCAAAAGATTGCTAAAGTTTGAAATAACATACAATTAGAAAGAGATAAGCTGATGATCCGATAGTCTGAGAACAAGATGCCACACTACCAATAAATGCTCTACCATCTTCTACTCGTAACATTTGCGCCCAAACAAATATCGTTGCAAGTACTATCGTAATTAAACATAATAGCTGGAGCAATTTATTCTGCAATGTTTTTTAATAGGCCAGCTATTTAAGGTGATAATACAGGTTCGAAACGTGTATTAAGGACAAGATGCCAATATACTTTTCTGGTTCTGTAGAACAACATTGCTATAATAAAAAATATCTGCATGAAAACTGAAAAAGTCTGCAAAAGAACTGCTTTCGAATTTGCTGTATACATCGAGTAGCGAAGCCATAAGGCTGATCTGAAATTCGATGTAATAGGATAGTAGAATAATGAAGTCAAAATTTATTATTCTGTTGGTTTTATTTTATAATAGTAGTTATCATAATGTAAAGCAAATAAAAACCTTGAAAGATTGCAAAACAAAACAGCAGTTCTTGAACAAATGTGCTTTAAATCAAAATGATTCGAAATATTAAGAAAAAAAAAAAAAAAAACGGAAACACAATTAAAACATAGTTAATTAGTTTCGTTTGAGAACTTCTTGAAAAGGTTACAGCAATTTTCTCAAAAGTGTAAGATAATCTGATCGACATAATGTTACCCAACGTATGTGGCAAAATACGGAATTGGAGAATCGCTATCGCTGCTTTTTTGTCGATACCATTTATAAACTGCTTGTCTATAAATTAAAAGAGTTAAACAAATAAATTTTCCCTATTTCGTGGATTTATACTTTGTGGTATATCAATTTAGATTTTATTTCTCAAAATTTCAAACACAAAAGCTTAATATATCACTTGGATTCTGAAGAATTATAAAGTTTGTCGTTTTAAAACCTAATACTGAAAGTTTCATTTCATTATTGCTTTTTAATTCATTTATTCCATTTGAAACTTTACCATTACTTACAAAGGGATAGAAATGAAGAGGATATAGACAATGCCAGTAGACGTCAAAAATAAATTCCACAAGAGATTATTTGTAAAGTAATTGTAAATCTCTTTTTCTAACTCAATTTTCATCAGTTCCAGTGTATCAGCAATCGACATATTCAAGTGTCACTTCTTAATAATTGCTTATAGAGTTCGGAAAAAAAGTAAAACAAGCAAATGATGCAATTTTTTTGGCAATGCAATCCTTTCGACGTCACCAAAAACCGATTAGGCGAAGCTTTTCAAAGAAAAAAGTATCCCGGGAACCGATATTATTTTACTTTAAAGACAAAAGAAATTGAAAATTGGTTAAAAATGGGATAGGAGCATGAATGGTATACGTCAAAATGGGAAGAAATCTTGAACAAACACTGTCCAGTCGTTTGTCTCTCTCAAAACCAGTTTAATTAATCATCCTATATTATTTTATGCACCTTCCAGTGTCCTCGTTAAGAAAATAAAAAAAAAGATCTGACAATTTATTTGTCAATGTTTGTCAAGCATATTAAAGAGTAATGGACTTCCATGCAAAATTAAAAACAAATATAACAGTAACTTTTGTTGTTGTGAATAAGTTGATCAGAAGCAGTGAATACTGAACGAAAAGTAAACTAAATTAATCGTGAAATAATTATAGTAATTGTGATGATATTAAGAACTTAGCTTGCAGTATTTCATTATCACTTACTGAATAAACAAACAGTAGTTCAGCAAGCAATCAAAAAAAACGAGCAAAAGTTACTATTGTTTTTCAATGTGCTTTTGTCACTTTTAAAATCAATGTAATTGATATTTCAAAATGAACAAAAATAGTTCACAGTTCATAAGTGAAACAAAATATCGAATGATCCAAGATCTTGTTTGGATTCTTCTAAAGTTTAGAATTGAAAAAGGCCAAACAATTTTTGAAGTCCAAAGTTTGAATTTGAACTGAGTGATACAGTAGTTCCAAATACAGAATCCGATTCCATCCTTGAAATCAAAGATTTATCGCTTGCTTCATTTTTTTTATCACATTACAGAATGAAAGGAAAAGAAATGACGAGTATCACTTAATATTTATTAAGTTATGGAGAAATTTTATTGATTTTCCATGGCAATGACTCATCACTGGTTCACTTTGAAAGTTATTACTTCAAAGTCTGCTTGTTCCATTCTCTTTCCAAACTGTGATAAGGATCCTAATAATACATCTTGGATTAAAGTCCTTATATTGTATCTGTACTGTCTGATAAAATTTTTGATTGAAATAAAACCTGCCATTAATCATCACATTATTTGAAATCAACTGTATTGAAAGTTTGTATTGACAAATTTTAACAAACTTCTAACCAGCTACACGTCAATTCTAAATTCTAGATCAATTTTAATTCTAAGCTAGTTTATCAATTTTAAAGACTAGACTAGTTCAGCTCAAAAGCTAGAATTCTCGCAATTCCAGAGAAAAAGCTTAGCTTTTAATGGCAGAAATTCCTGCTATGTTTTTCTATCAATGAAAAATCAGGAAGATACAAACTGCAATATATTGAATCAAAACATAATGATTTATTTGAAGTGAAGCCCTCTTGACAAAACTTTTATTGCTTTAAGTATAGTTATCAAAGAGTTTCTTTTACGTTATCAAATTTCAGTCAGTGTTTGGGAGGTACACTGAGGAAAAATGACCACTACTAATCAAACATGGCTTTAATCATCACATTATTTCCATCACAACGTGTTCGCCTATAAAAAGTGGCTATTCCACTTTAAATATTTTGTTTGTTGATATAGGTATGACTACTAGAATGGAGGTATGTTGTAAATAAAAGATTCAGTTTGCAAGTTTTAGCTGATGAATTGTTAATTGTCTTGCCTTGTCCCCTCTGATGAGAAGATCGAAAAAACCTGTGTAACAAAAATTTAATTCCCGAAATGTAAGCAGTAAGGCAAAGAGAAAAATTGGCTTATTAATTGCTTGCCACAAGTAGCAATCAACAATTTTAGTATTACTCACTATTTCAACTATTTCTGTATTGTTTCGTTCTCATTCCCATTTCAATTTTTAAATTAGATTTTAAGCTTTTGGAAAAATTTAATATCCGTGTTTTTGGATTTACTATTCTCCACTTCAGTGCAACAACATAAATTGATAATTCACTTCCACTATTTTCAGTGAAATACAATTGTTTTAATTTCAAAATAAAATTATTTGTTTGAACCTAAATTTTATTCTAATTTCTTGACACTTACATTTAGCTTCGGAAAAAAATCTTATAAAAGTGCTTCGTCAATTAGTTGGATTTGAATCTGGCTAAATACCATACCGAAATATCAGAGTGAAAGCATAATTTCATACCTAGGCAGAATAATACTGATGACATAGACATCTGCATTAGAGTTGAAAATGATGTGAAGTAAAAAAAGTCGAGCTAGAAACAGCTGGTGAACTATTTTTTAATTATTCTTACTTAGAAATATTGCAAGCAGTTTCTGGTTAAGTTCAAAGTTTTAAACATGTGTAACTTAACTTCTGAAATTCCATAAATTTTTGGTCTTAAATTCATTCAACAGAAACAGTAATATTCCTTGTAGAGATGGTAAACGAATTATTTGCCTATTTGATTCTACTTTATAAAGCAACAAGAAATTATTCCAATTAACATATCCAAAACACTTCAAAAATTGTTCTGAGAATTGATACAGTTCTCAGACCAATAATTTTTAATTGCAAATCTATTTATTTATCAGACTAAATACTTATAGCTCAACAATTAGTAGAACAAAATATTGAGGAGATTTGGAACGAGAAATTTAAAAATATGACCGTCATAAAGGAAGGAGAAAAGAGTAGGTGTTTCAAACTTGTAAAATTGCATATACCTGACCAGTTGCACAGTTAAAATGTCTAATATTCTTGCTATTAGAATGAGTATTCAATTCTATTATTAAAATCATTTTTTTCTGTAAATTAATATCGAAAATTATAGATATTATCACAACATGATAATCTAAGTATTAATTGCAAATAGAATCACTATCTTTCAGTCACCTATCTTTGAGTCACCTATCTTTCAGCTTGTATTTTTTGAATTTTGCTAAGCACTGCTATTTTTCAGGAAATTTTTAACTGAGGATAAAAAATTCCTAAACAGACAAACATATCAAAAATAAAGGATCAGGAATGTTACTGTTATTTGCTATTATCTCAATATGCTGGATAACAAATCATTTCGGTATGTTTTTCACTGTACTAATGAAAGTAGTCAGAACTAGCTTTTTATATACCATTAACAATGAAATTTAGATACAACAGACAGAATTTTCAGTTGCAACTTTTCAAAGCCAAATAACAGGAGTAAAAAAACCATAACTTGATATAAAACAATCAGAGATGCTCCGAAAATCTTAAAGCTTGGTGCATTCTTTGTGTTTAGCATAATTGAAAAGAAGTCCAAAAGACATATAAAATATTTTATTTTCTATTGGATTTTTTAATTATATTTACTAATTCGACGAATTACGAATTTCTGCAAAATAAATATATATTTTCCCTCTTTTATTAAATTGTTCGAATGCGAAAAATGCTATGAACAAACTGAAGTGTAACTGAAATTTAATTCAGAAGCAACAGAAATGACAACAAAGATGGTAAATCCGGGCATGGGTTGTGACATAACATGGGACACTGGTTTGATGGAAAGCCCAGATGGAAATTCCGATTTATTCATGCTTTGTACATCCATCGGGTTTGGGTTAGTCAAGCAGTTTTCTTTTTTAGTCAGAAAATGACAACTCTGCAAAGTTCTTTTGTCATTTCAGAACACTGGGCGTGTGGAAACTGGAATCTTGTTTACCTGGTTACAGTTTTCAAATCAGTGAAAAAAGATGTATACCTGAACGGCTCACACTGCAAACAAATGGTAAGCAAACTAATATTTTAAAATTTGCAATTACGTAAATTTATAATCGTTATCTATAAGTGTACGATCATGCTGAGTTTCTTCCAATGGTTCTGGATGCATTACCACTTATCAATTTTAAAAAATAATTGGTCATGATTTACTTATTTAAAATAATTTAGTATTCGAATTTCTGACGAATAAAACTTGACAAGTAAGTGACATTTGAAACTTTTTAGAAAAAAAGAAAAACGGATGGAATGATAAGAAAACAATAGCTAAAAAATTAAAATATGTAATTGTTAGCCTTTTGCAATTGTCGTTGCTAAAAAAAATTATCTCTATCTTCGTCCAATGTAACATCATTCCTTTGACAACAGCGCAGCAGTTATTTTATACAGCCTATATTATTTTATATGAATAAATTAAAAGTATCATTTGATGAACACTTTTACTTCGCATTCTTGTCAGACTCATCAAATATCTTTCATGATTCAAAATTTCTTTCCACACAGAATTTCATTTTTAATTCAAGTCATTTGTAGTATTTCTCAACAATAACTGCGCAAATGATGAAGAATGTATTGAAGGAACGGTCTGTGATCCAAATAATATGCGATGTTCGTGTCCTGTTGGCATGACAGCCAATCTAAATACTTTATCTTGTATTCCAACGTCGTCTTCATTCCAATCACTTCAACAAAAAGTATGTTAGGTGTAACTTTTTTTTATTTTCTAATTAGTCTATTGGCATATTCTCGTTTTTGTTTTAGTTTCAAGATCAATATATTCTCAAACAGATGAAAATGATAACTTTCTCTTTGGTTTCTTGCTCAAATTATAAATAAAATTTAACGAGAAAGAGAAAAATTAAAGTTAAAGTAGAAATAAAACAAAGGACATTAAAAATAAAAATAAACATATCAAATCAACATTTGTTTGTTTAGAGCTTTCACTGCTAAATCCATAAAACACAAAGCTATTTCAAACTTCGTATTGATTGTAAATTTAGAGTAAATCAATAATAGGATTTAATCAATCAATGAAAAGTTGAAAAAAACACGCACTGAAGTAAAATTTCATCCACTTATTTAATGCTTACTAACCTTTTCTGCTCTTCTTTACAACTATAAAATAATAAGCCACTCTTCACACATTTTAACTGTTGCTGAATTCAGAATTTGTTTTTTCAGAATCAATCAGAAAGAATAAAGTATGCAATTTGCATACTTTTCAGATAACATTATTAGTTTCTATCTCTCTTAGTCAGTTATTAATAGAAGAGAAATCAATGCATATTCCTGAAATGTTGTGTTAGTAATTTGATCTTTTAGGACTACAATGTGTATTCATCAAGTAAAAGTGAATCAGTTATGACTACTGGAAAGGACATACTATCAAATGCTTTTCACGGTAAATCAAAAAAAAAAAGGAAAAAACTCTCTTCTCCTTATTCTCCTTTTCCTTTTTCGGTCCCTTCTTAATTCTCATGTTTATCAGTTTGCTAGCTTTTAAAAATTTACAAAGCAAGGGGTGATAGCTGTTGTGTCTCTAAAAATTGCAATCAGACCAGCAGACAATATCTTTGCAACTGTCAAACTTTTATGTATATGTCCTGTTAGATTTTAAGTGAGGCAAGTTAGAAAGTCTTCTTCAAATAATTAGTGATAATGTAATTTGTAGTGCAAATGCCACCAGGAAGCAGCTGTTCAAATAATGAAATATGTGGTGGTGGTTCATTTTGCAGTCTTCCAATGAAATTATGTCTTTGTCCTGATGATATGGAAGATTTTGAGAGTCAATGTCGGATACCTGGGCGACCTGCTGCCTTAACTGTGGGTAAGGCACTATTTTGCAGAAAATAATTTTAGGAGTAGCTATCATAGCTTTAAAGCTAAGGTTAGGAGAAACTAAAGATTCTGCAAAATTCTATAAAGCAATTCAAAAGACTTTACAACTAATTTGATTCAAATCTATTTTGTAAGGTTCAAAAGGATGAATTACCGAATTGAAATAACAAATATTCGTCATCCATACGAGCGTACAAGCGCTACTCTTTACACCTTTTTCGCGATTAAAAAATATTGCACCTCAACTTTGAGGTTCTGTTTTATTTTATTTCTAAATAAAAGAAGCAAAATTTCATTGATTCAATTGGTTCAAATGCTATCTGTAACAGTACAGTGCTTTTTTAACTCTTGCGACATATGTCGGTGTACGTAGGAAAGCTATCAACATTCAGAGTTATTAATTAGCCGTCTTTCTTCGCCAATAAAATATCCTCCTCCATAAACGCTTTCAAAAGAAAAAAAAAAGTTTTTTACTGAGACATGAGGTGACTGATTTTCTTTTATCAATTTTTAATTTTCACAGGTCCCGGTGAACTATGTAACAAAAATCAGGTATGTTCTCGTGGATCAGTATGTCATCCAATTATTCCTGTGTGCATCTGTCCGGAAAATACCGTTCTTCAAGAAAACTCCTGCTTTCCAGTTGGTAATATAGACTTAAGTATTGTCTTATTTTACTCATCAATCTCCTTTCAAACCTTTATAACTTGACAATGACAAGAACTGAATAAATTGACTGATATCTAGTATTTGAGATACTACTTAAAACCTCATAAATAATTTGTTAGGTCAGAAGCTCAAATATTCTTTTTACAGGAATAAATAATCAAACCAAGAATATATGGACAACATCGGAAACCATAAGTACCAAAATGATTCATAAGTTCCCGGCAATACCTAAATTCGATGGAGAAGGACAAGCTGCTGTTGGATTTCCATGTCGTGCCAATATCGACTGCATCACAGGAGCATTCTGCAAAGGCACTACCAATCCAGCCACTTGCCAGTGTCTCTCAACCCATGTCAACATTAATAATTTCTGTGAAAAAGGTTTTCTCTTTATACAACTAGGATACTCGAGATTGTCTCGAAATATTATATATATGAAACGGTTTCGAGAATCAACTCTAGCATTACCTATTGAACTTATAATTGATCAAAAAGTCAAGGTACAATCACAGAAGTGTGGCAGGTTGGTGACAACTGATGATCGAGTGTTATGATTTCAGTGATACATCCTGGACAAAGTGGATGTCATCATGATATCCAATGCTCGGTGACTTACTCTACTTCTAAATGTTCTGCTGGTCAATGTATCTGTCCGAATGGTTTTATTGCTATCGGACAAACTTGTAAACCAGGTTTTGGTTATGATTAATTCAAATCATTACATTTTTTTAAAGTATATTTGAAAAAAAATTTATTTATTCAAATCTAACTGCAAGGAGTGTAAAATAAACTTTGAGGAAAATGTATATTCTTTAGGAGGAACAAAACACGAACTATGTTCTTTACTTGAGTTAGAATAAGTTAACTGAAAACTGGCACTGTGAGCAAAACACTGTGAGATTCACAAGCGAATAACTCCTATCGACTCAATTTATGCTACTTGGAAAAATATATAGACCAATAAAAAAAATGGTCATATTCCCTTGATTTTAGAACGATACAGAAATTTCTAATGAAAATATGGTATGAATATTCAACTTTTAATTGTTCGCTCATTTTAACTTCTAGATAAGCATTATGCAAGTACTATCTGCAGGAGTTTGCATGACTGATGGGGACTGTAAAGGTGGTTCGAAGTGTCAGGATGGCTGGTGCATTTGTCCGGAAGCATCGATGAAAGTGGTCGATGGAAACTGTAAAAAGGTGATAGTGGATTAGTGAAGTTCGCTTCTTCTAAAAATTTTTTAAAAGAGAACGTCCTGACATGACAGTAACTGGACTTGAGAAATGAAAGAAGTTAAGATGGGATTCAAATTGAAAATCAAAATATAACTGAAAATTTCCAAAAAAATATCGAGACAGTTCATTAATAATGAATAGTTTCAGTGTGAAATATAAGTGAATCTCTAACTTCTAGTCATGATTGACTCTAAAGACCGAATTTTTATTGGCTACAGTTCTGATATTTTGAGAACTGGTAGTTTTCAGATCTATAGCGATTCACTCCTCAGAACAATGCAGAATAATTCCACGGCAATAAACACGTTAATAAGCGATAATAAAATGATGACCTCGCAAATAAACTTGTCCGCTTCAAATATTGCACCATCTGCAATAAAAATACCTGGTAGGTAAACTGAATTTTTTAATTAGTTCTACCAATTTTTCATTCTGACTAATCAAGTTGATGATTTCCACTTCACGCAGGATATTTCTTCGAAGTGTGAATCATATTTGAATATACAAGTGAAGGATAAATATGCATCTTCAAGAAAATTGCAATAACCTTGTACGTATCTTCTCCAAAAAAAAATTTCTGTAGTCTTGGACCGATAAAAAAGCTTCTGGGCTTTTCAAGAGTTAAGTTGAAAATACGATTAGAAATAGCTGTTTGACTATTTTTCGAATCACTATTTTCATCAAAAGTTGAAAAGAAAATATAATATCGTCGATAACGTGAACTAAAATTTGGCTTGGAAATGACTGGGAATTCAGGCTGCATGAACGATATGCCAGATATATGAGGACACTGAGACTTACATACTCTACCAAAAATTCTATTGCACATGGAATCACCTGCAGTAAAATAATTAGTTAACAAATCAGTAATACGACTTTAACATCAGCCTTGTATTATGCTTAAAACAAACTAAGATAAAGTAAGTTCTTAAGCTGTGAATTGCAGAAATTTTTGAACCTGCAAAAACTTATGAACACAAAATTTTTTCAAAGCAATGAGTTATAGATGAAAACCAAATATTAAAAAAAAAGGAATTGTTTTTAGAGAGTATATTTATAGAAACGATCGAGAAGCTTTCGACTTTCGAACTTCTTAACGACCCTTTAACTTCATCGACAACGTCGCTACAGTACGTTGGAGATATATTACCTGCTGCTGGCGTCAATCAGTGGAAAGGGACAGGAACAACTACTTCAATTACCAGTGACACTACTTCTGCTATATCAATACCGAATCGTCCTCCAGGCCAACCACGAATCACTGGACCACCATTAAGCAGACCACGTCTTCAGACGATCACAGTGCCAACCTACAAAATTCGGCCTGGAAATGGAATATGTCCTGTTCCAGACAGTGTTGTTCGTGATGAGAATACCAACTATCTGATAGTCTGTAATGGTGAGAAACCGTTTTGCCCACCGAATTCTTACTGTTACGTTACTGGATATGCTAATCAGGAATACAACTGTTGCCGGTCTTGAACATATCTAAAAAAAAATTTACAGAGAAGATGTGAAATTTTGTTTCATTTTCAATAAAAGGAAATAATATTTCCATTGACTTTTGTTAGAGTGACATTGTACTATTCTCTTAACTATTGTTTACTATTGGTTTGTGAATTTCTTTTCAGATTTACTTTCACCCTACAATATTCAAGATTTCCCTTTCCATACACGTACAAATTTATTCTAACCAGTACTCCTCATAAGTTTAATGATTGGTATGAGCACTTCACTCTGTTTCGTTTTCTCACTATTAAATAATTAAAATTTTGTATCTAATTAAATCAACAAAAAATCTAACTGCTAAAATATCTATTCGTCTCTTCCTGTCGCTGTCATAATTTATAATTTGAATTTCACTGAGTTGATGTCATGTCATAAATCAAAAAAAAAAAAATTGTTCACGATCAAAACTGTTCATTAACTTGTTGCGGAGAAATCGTGTCAACCGACTGTGAACTGTTATCATAGAACATTGGCCAAGAAATCCGGCATTACGTTACAATCTGAGCGTTACTGTAGTTGAAAAGAATGAAGGATATGCATTTATTGCTGGAAACGACCAGGAATACCTTACTGGTCTAATGTGAACAACAAAAAGACAAGCGACCGGTATGTCGCGGAACATTTAGTCGGTGTCAGTGGAATGAAAGAATGAATAGAGTAAAGGAAAAGAAAACAGACATGCCAGTAAACCTGAGCAATGATTTTAATTTGGTGACAACAGTTCACGGAATACTAAGTACGAAATGCAGATGATTGAATAAAGAGAGAAAGAGAGAGTGAGAGGAAGAGAAAGTGTTGCAGTGATACAGTCATGGCAAGATGCGTTCGAAATGCTCGAGGTAAGGTAAAGTGATTAGCGCTACTCGCACCTTTGTCACCAACCAAAGTTGGTGTAGTTCAGTTTTTCTGTAATTTAGATTTATTTAGTTTAATTAGTACCGGATGTGCTCCTCATTTCATTGGTAGGTCATGCGCTGCTCATATCATAGTGAATTTGTAGAGATACTAAGAAGAATTGGAATTATTTTCTTTTTGTTGCTGAACATGTCCGTTGGAAGGAACGTCTAAGTACCACTTCTTATTGATAATTAATGAGTCAAGGTCGTGTTGAGGTATGTCAGTTGCTGTTACATTTCTTTATTATCAAGCGACTCATATATTATCTATTCGCTTCAAACGCAAACTGCTGTTTTTTATTAATGTTAGCGTTTTGAATTTTATGAAATGAGTGCTTGTAAGTGTACTACAGTCATGGTCTTTTCTGAAGAGCGGAAAAAGAGGATTGAAACAGAGAGATCATAATGATAAGTAATGGTGAATTAAGGTAATCTGCTCGAGATATATCCCCTGCTATTATGCTTCTATTATCAAACGATTCATATGTCAACTACTTATTATTCGTGATCTTTTAACCAGTATTTCCATCGTCAAGGGATGAGATGAGAAATCGTTTTAGGGTTTTTACACTTCCATAATGTTTGTCTAAATTCACTGAGAGTCTTTTGGATTCAGAATTGAAAGAAGACTTACTCTCTCGATAATCGCAATCTGTTTTACTATTTTTCGATGTTTTATTATTTTTCGGCGGATCGATTTATGAGCTAATCAGTCTTTCTGGATCCTGATCCCTGTCATTTTATATTATAATCTGACTTAATGATGCATAACTTCGGGCACTCATGCATGGTGTAAATGGTGTTGAAATTCATCACACTTACTTTCAAAGTAGCACTGTAAGAATGCGGCCCTCTAACTTCTGCTGGAACTTCCACATCCGGCAGTAACGATAATCAGTTGTCACAGTAATTTTGAAAAAGTGCTGGCAAGGTCGGTGAGAAATTCAGTTATAACATGAAATATTGTTGAGATAATTGAGTTGCTGCAGTAGCGTAAGTAGGTAGACTTGGTGGTTAGATTTGGGTCGCTGTTTTAAATCAGGAATTTATCATTTAAAACACTCACTTGTTAATGTACATAGTGCACTGGCAGTAAATTATATGCGTTGTTACTTCATTACTTTATTAACCATTGAATTAAGTCAACCGATAATGATTCAGACAGTGTAACTGGCGTGGTCAGTTTCCTCTGTTGTGGAATGTTGACTGTAAAGTGATTTTATTCCCTTTCCAATTCCAGTCGATTTTTCCTTTTTCTATTAATCATAACTACCTTATGATTTAACCATATAATTAGCGGTTCATTCTGTTATTAGTGTACAAATTCTTTCATCTTTATTATTATTCTTACTTTTCTGATTAATTTAATCTCTTGAGTTTTGTTTTTATTCCGTTGCTAGAGAAAAATTATGTCACTAACCATTTGGTCAGCTCTAATTATTTCAAATGTGAGGTCGTGTTATTTATACTATCAAGGAGAAAAATGCGTGCATAGAAAGAACCAAGAGGACATAAAAGGAAGAAATTGATAGAAAGATATTATTCCTATGAAGTTTTAGAAGCGTGCCATTCAATGCACAGGTATTAAAAAAGAATTGTACTGTTTAAAGTGAAGACACACAAGTCTTTTCTGGCGATTACTCCTATAGACAGCGAGCAATCTGTTCTAGTGAGATTTGTACTAGTTTTTTCATGTTTTTTAGTAAACTTTCAGAGCGAACAACTCTTAATCCGATATCATGCATCCTTTGCATTATATATCACAAATATTGATTTTAATTTGCGAGCTGAAAATTCGTTTTTAATTTGGCATCGTAACAATAGGAGGAGAATACCTAATTGCTATGTTATCAAAATCGTTATGGTACGTAATTTATTTATTTATTCGTCATAAAGTATTCTGTCTTTTGGCATCCTTAAAGACAGTTCTTTCGCCATCATGTGTTTCTTTGTAAAATATTCAAGTGGTTATTTCAGTAATAAATAGAAGTTGATGAATATAGAGACATTTTCGATCTCTGCTTGCTTGAAGTTAAATGATCTGTTTGTTGGTTCTAAAATTTAAAAAGATATGTACATTATTATTCACCAGAGTATTATCATTCACTATGAAATTGTTACTTCATACTATCTTTTTTTAAGTGCGTTCAAAATAATATGATAACAATATTTGGTGGAATTGAAACTGTGATATCACTTGATGATATCGGCATGAATAATTATATGATTGTTGCACTCAAAAAGTTCGTATTGACCCTAAAAAGCGATTGAACAGTACATTGTTGTTCCCATTGCGCAGGTCAAAGTTGTCAGAATTTTCAGTCATGTTATTTCAAGACTTGTTGAACACATCTATGCCGTTTACGATCTCACATTACTCAGCTATGCTGTATCTTAATGACCGCTTTGGTTGTATTGTTAGTGTTATATTCATATGCACTTGATATATAAAAAATTGGTTTTCTGAGTTCTATGGTGAATGGAACAACCCAATGACACACCATTTCTTGGAATTCCAAAGTTCGGTTCTCATTTCTATGATCAGAAACTGTAAGAGAAATTGTCTTGATGTCAAACTGTTCTACTTTAAAGTTTCTGTCAGGAAGTATTATGTTAGTCTAAACTGTTCTCAGATCATATTTGCCATGGTGGTTAAGCGTTTTTAGTTCAAACAAGAAAAAGAAGTGTTAGGAAGCGTGGGTATTTTGATTCAGATCCTGAATTTCATGTAAAAATTGAAAAATATCACTGCCATTATCACAATTTAAAAGACATATCTGTAGTTCATTTTCTAATCTAAAGCGTATAATTTTTTCAAATATTTTCAACAGAAACTTTATTGTTGATAAATGTGAAGGTCTATTGTTGAATGAATATAGTTACGTATATCTTCTATTGTAGGCGCACTATGATCCCATATTTTACGCAGTTTTAAGATTCTCTAAGTTTAGAAATGTATAACTGAAATTGATATCATTTTATTCATAACTGTTGAGACTTTGAGAGAGCAGTGGAGATCCGTGTCATGTGCATTATAATTCGATTTAGAACAAAAGGTATTGCTTATCCTCTGAATGATGTATCTTATTCAAACAAATGAAAAATGGATGCGTTGCCTCCGATTTATTCATTCATGCTTCTTTATCTTCCTAAGGGATCCGTAATTTGTGGTTGTATATTCTGGTGGAAGACGGTTTTGTTCAGGTAGCTATCTATGTGCATATTTTGGTACAAGTTTGTTTTGAAATGTAAATTTTATTGCTTATAAATATTTCATGCTGTATTATATTATCATATTTATATAATATAACATAAATTTTCGTATTTCTTTCTGGTCTGACAAACTCGATTAGTTTCGTCCTTACCTGAAATGTTCTTTTCCTAGCATTGATTGAGTAAATCTGTTTTCTGCTTTTCTAATATTTAGGAAAACCGGGAAAGGAGATCTCCTGAACTTCAAGAAATGAAATCCCTTGTTTCGATATTTCTCAGATCACCTTGAGTGCAGACTTTGTAAACTTTGGACTCAGGCTTTACAGGATACAAAATCATCGAAAGAAGGAATTAAGGATGGACGTTAGGCAATTGGATGTGAAGATATATCTGACTTGTATAGCTAGGATACATAACTGAATTTCTGTGCTGTTAAAGGCAAGGATGGAATTCCTTTTTTATGGCTGCTGACAAAGTGAGGATGGAACTAACAGTGATCTAGAAGTCTAAAATACAAGTAAAATGAATACTGACTGGCTTTTATGTAGAGAAAGAAAAATTGTCATTTTCAAGGAATTTTCTTTCAAGTGTAAAGGTTTGTGAGGGGTAATTAACGTAGCGTATAAATTATATTCATCAAACTTTTTTAGCAATTATTTAAGTGCAGTTGATGTTTATCAAGTTTTTCATCTTTTTTAACCTGCGATCAATGGTATAAGTTATGGATGCTTTTGATATTTAGCTAATTGCGGACATGTTTCAGTATAGCACAGTGATGCGATACAAGATGACTTGGATTTGTTGAGTTTCTTTTTCCAGCAACTGGTTACAACTTATATTTGTCTACTCCAGAAGCTCTTTTATGATCGGAAGTTTGTGCAAGTTTCTGTGATTCTTTTTTCTTTTCAAGTCAACATCTTCAAATCCTGTTTTGTTCATAGTTTTAATCCTTTCAACAGGTTGTGAATTTTTCCGTTTTGAGAACTAGTGAATGATTTTAGAGAGAAATGGTGATGATTGCGAGACTTTGTATTTCATGGCAGTAAAATCCCGATAGTGGGTGTTAATGATGATAATGTTAGTTAGTAACAGTGAGAAGATAATAATGATGTTGATACTAATATTTACAAGATGAATTTATTGAAACGTTGGAGAAATTTCTGTTTTTGTTTTTCTTAAGTTATTTATATGCCGTCAGTTAGTATTTTTTAGTTGTATCTATGCTCCTTCTATTTTTATATAATTTTCTAGTTAATGTATGAAAAAATAACAAAAATATATTCGTATAAAATATAACATATGTAAATAGTCATCTCATTCCGCATTTCAACGTTTTATTCTGTATTGCGAACTTTGGTTTATATTTTTATGAAGTGATCAAATAAGTACTATCATTTAAAAAATATAATCCATATCAGTCAATTATCTTTACACAGTTCTTAGAACTAGTTCACTTAACCTACACTATAATGAAGTAAAAGTTAATGTCTGTAAAAGACTAGTTGTGTTGTCTGAATGTAAATGTTAAATTTTAGATTTTAAGTATGTGATGAGTGCATTAAAACAATTGATTGTTGACCATATCACAATGATAAAGTAGCACTTTTTATATTGTCTTTCGATTTTAGAAAAAAAAAAAGTTTATGAAACTGCTGCTGTTTTTACTAAATTAGAAATCTGTACTTGTATACGAAGTCAAAATTAAATAATTAATTTACATCATCGCATAATTTATATAAGTCGCTTGTGGTATATCGGTTCATAAAAAGAATGGAATAGCCTTAGATGAAAAAAATCAATATAGTGAAAGCATAGGCATTAGCTGGGTGAAGCAATATCACTAGCATATCATTTGAGATAGAATAACGACATATGAGTTTTACCTGGCTGGATACATGTTTCAGTAGCTGCTTGACTGCTTAACTTTTCCAACTATTGTATCACTTTGTTGAAAATATGTTTGCAGTACATGCTTCTTGGTTATTTAGTTTTACTTAACCTTTTTTCTTGAAAAAAAGCTCGGCAGTTTTGTTTTAAACGTTGTACTCTTCCACAAGATAGACATCTTATTTAAAAACAGAAGAATTCTGTATTTATATTTTATTTTCTGTCAATCGGAACACATCCATATTTTCTGTGTCCATATTCCTATGCTATCTCTTGAAAATGAATAATATGTACATAAATAGTGAACTTTACTGATTTCAATTGTATTCAGTTGTAACCAACACATTATTCCACTGTTTTGGTTGTGACTTTAGATGAAAAAGAAATATGAGCGGAGTTATGGTATAAAAATACATTTTGGAAGAGAAAAATTTTGGCTTTATAATTTTTGTTTATTAAATTGAAATGTGTAACTGCAAAAATGAAACTTACTCATTTTCGGACATTTTTTGAAAAATTTGCTAATCAATCAGATTTTGCAGGCAATGGGTGATGAAGATAACGAAGTTGGTCTTCCTCAAAAGGGTCTCAATATGATTATCAAAGATGTAATACCGGAGATGAGAGTGGCTAATGAATCGCGTGAACTGTTGAATGCTTGTTGTGTGGAGTTTGTTAGACATATATCACGGGAGGCGCAGCGTATTTCGGCAGATGATCAGCGCAAAACTATATATCATGAACATGTGCAAAAAGGTTAGTGATGTTTATTTTATGTGGATGGGAATATGGTGATTGGTTGAATCTGAAGTTTCTTCTTGATTTTAATGGCTTTTCGCTTTTTTTTATTTGGATTACATATTCAATCTTATGCTTTATTTTTTTAGTTTTTTTTTCTTTTTTATAAAAGTGGAAGTTGTTTAAAAGTTAGGAAGGAAATTTTCGAAATTTAGTTAGAAATTATTAGAAATTATTGGTCTCTTTGTCTACTCAAAATGTGTCAAAAAAGGTTGACTACGCTTTTATTGTATTAAAGTGAAATCACACTATAAGCTTATCTAGACTAAAAATCGTAAAAAGAATGGATGAATCTATTTCCTACGATGCAGCTCTTCAAATAGTTAGATTTGCATTTATTTATATGCTAAATAAACCATTCTTGAAATTTATTTGAATGCATACATAATCATGAGATCAAAATTTATGAAAATTCCAGTGGAAAACTGGGGAAGGAAGAAAATATTTATTTCGAAAAATGCTCCGTAATTTTCATCACGTCATTCTTGGTTTTCGAATCTTATTTTATAGTAAAAGAAATTTCTCCCAAGTATACTTTAAACTTCAATTTTTTATCTTCTCACTTCATAAAGGTTATATTGCTGAAACTATATAAGCTATCTTATACTTGTAAAGTCTCTGACATCTTATAAATGTCATAATATAATTTCTCATTTGTTATTACTTTTTTCAGCTTTAATAAATTTGGCTTTCCCATATGATTATGTTGAAGCAGCGGACAGTGTGCTTAGTGAGTGTAAAATAGCAGCGGAAAATAAATTAAAACGAAAAAATTCACGACTGGATAAATGTGGTATTCCGGAAGATCAGTTATATTTGATGCAACAGGAGCTTATTGAAAAGGTGTAAAGCTTTTATTTTCCTGTTTCGAGATGTTCCTAATGAAGATGTGCAGAAGTACATTGACGAGAGATTTATGGCTGTCTTCCGGGAAAATTTTCCAGTTTTATGTTTCAGATTACATTCACTGGAGAGGTGATGTATCACTTTTAAAATGGTTCGTTATTTCATTTCATTTTGATTAATAGATTGATTAAAATGTATTAAAAGGTACTTGTTTAGGCTCGTCAGGAACAACTTGAAGCGGAAGCAGCGGAAATGAATCGACTTCAACAAGAAAATAGAGGACTACAACGATCACTTAGCGAACTGCTGTCGAAGGATGAAGATGATGAAGATTATGATACTGCTTAATTCTTTTTACTTTGCAGGGAATTCATCTTTCTTGGAATTTCGTGAAATGTTTCAATTACAAGGATAAATTAATTTGTGATTCAAAATTTTTCATAAATTTGTATTTTAAGATTTTTGAAATTTTTAAGGAGTTTGAATTTTCGGGGCTTCTAGAACATTTGATCTCATTTTAAGCTTTATAAGTTTCTGTTGAAGAAAGTGTGTTCTTATGTTATTTATACACATTTGTTCTGGAAGAGATTGAATTAAAAAAAAAAAAAAAAATTTGTCGCAGAAATTAAAAGTTAAAAAATTTGTTACTGACGTTTGTTGACTTGTTTGATATTTTTTTTGGTCGGTTTTTGATTTGTTGCCTGCTTAATGATAACAGGTGCCGGGAAAACCGAATTATAATATCATGAAATAAAATTGTATTAATTTATGGGATTAAAGATTGTCTTAATTGAATATTTTTTAGAGAAATATAAAACTTTCAAATTATATGCAAGCAGTCATTTATCTAATACTCATGTTCCAGTTGTGACTGAGCTTATCTGCATTTCTAAGATTTTTCTATGGTTAACAAAGATTATGTGCATCGTGTTAAAAATTACCCCTTTGTACTAAATCATCTTGCGAAGTGTTATCTCCAATCCAACTAGAAACTTTGACCGCTTTATGAGTAACTGATTTAATGCTAAATTCCATCTCTTATTCTACAAAGAGTAAAGGTCATCTAGTACCTCTTTATTTATTATAATTGTGCGCATTTTAAATCAATACCCGCTGTACAAGGTTTAAACTCTTCGCTTGAGTCAGTTTTCTAATATCAGCAAGCTACGGTTCAGTCGCAGTTTTGCGCTCATTTAATTCGATTCATTTAAATTCTTAAGTTCGCATCAGTTTACTTCTTCCTGTTCATCTTTTATTCGTTAGACCTTTAAGTCTTACAAAATTATCATCAGTATGTGGTTGTTATAGATTAAAAATTGTGTGTGATGATTGTTAACGAAAAGTCTGCGACAGACTCTGCTCAATGCGTTCGTCTGTATGATCGACAATAGGTTTGATAATTTCTCCTAAAATTTCTGATAATCGTATGGTGAAAAAGTTTTATTAATGGATAATATGGGCATAAGTCAGGACAGCACTGATAAGATTTACGGATTAAAAAATGTTCGTAGAAATTGTGATAAAGCTTGTAGGGTATATTTTGAGATAATTATTACATTGAATACCAAAATTCATGCAGATCTATTAGCAGGCAATGATCAAAAGTCGAGCAGTTTGCCTTGACTGTTTCATCGGGGAAATAGTGTTAACCAAAAGTTTTACAAATTAACGTTTTCGTTCATTTATATATTTTCGTTCATTTGTTTTCACAGATTTAGAAGTATAAACTTATCAGTCACCTCCAGTTTGTTTTAAAAATGGGATTCGAAATAGATAACAGCTACCAAACTTTTCTAGTATTGAGTCCTCAAACTTTTCTAGTATTGCTTCATGAATAATTGAGTGCATATTGGTCAGAAGTATTCAATTTAAATTCCAGTGAAAGCGTTTTCTTCAAGTTGATCATATTAATATCTCATGTGGAAGTAAGTTCAAAATAAGTCCTGTTTGCATTTCACAACGACAAAGATACTGTAGAGGAAGAGTGGATGGACTAAACAGACACTTATGCATCATATTTAATCAAAAGTGAAGGTAACTTCACATATGTAAAGATAACAATGTTAAGCTTGAATTCGAACTAAATGAAATAATAAATAAAAGTGAATTATAACTTAAGAATTGTAAATGAGCATTTCAAGAGTTATTGGTATTTAAGGTTGTTATCAGTATGACCGGTAAGCAGAATACGGTGAGATCGGCTCTTTTCATCTCCTTTAGATCTATAAACAAGGACGCCAGGATCTGTCGTCTACTCAAGTATATTGTGTACACTTGTGTGTCTCTTGCTAAACTTCCGTCGGTACTGCGGAACGGAACACATCAGATTGTATAAAATTTTGCTCAGCAGATTGTTGAGGAGAGAGAGATGATTGTCGTGCATATTGCGATTGTGGCAAAGTACTCCGGATGACCACTGCCTCAGGTGGTGGTGTTTGGGGACACTGCTCAATATCAGCAATGATACTAACACTGAGGATGAATTTATCACTGCAATGATGAAATACGTTACATTTCCGATGAATTTTTTTTTCAATGTATTTTAGAAGATCTGTACTGAGAAATATCAAATATTCTTCATTCCTTCTCTCCTCTTTTTTAACTCATTATACTTTGACTCAGTTAGGAATCTTATCAGTTTCACTAAATTATTTAAACAACTAATTAAAAAGATTTAACTAACGTTGGATCATATTGACGACACAGAGTAATTAACGATGGCTCTTTTCGTTCTGCAATCAATGCTGCAATGGTATAATAATGGAGTAATTTGTTGAGTTGAAAATTTGCTATTGCTGACCAACCATCCATAACATAATTTTGTGCAGTCTGAGTCGAATTTATTCTTAAATTAACAGAACCACGACCGAGTGCTGAGTAACCATCACGTGCTATCTTTGACATGTAAAACTGAGTTTCTGGATCTTTGCGCACCTTAAAAAGATCATATTTGTTCTGTACTTTTATATGGCTGATTCTCATCATTATGCGACAGTCTAATCTAATGCATAAACCTCGGAAATGAAATGATCATTATGAAAGCATGTCATATTGAACTAGTTAGCAATTCATAAGAGCTGCATATTTAAGAAAAAAATAACTGTTACTTACCTTCATGATAACTTTCTTGCATAGAGTATTAATCCTCGAAAAGGAACATACTTCACGATGTTTTGACCAGTCGTACTCGCGACACTGACGACTACAATAATATGTGTAGCAATGCTTGCATGATATGTACTGCATTCGAGCTTCCGCCAGTTCTCTCGTCTGATGGCATTGTGCACACCGTACATATAGTCGTTCATTCTTCAACGGTCCATTTTCGTGAAGTTGAATATTTAGAGAGGGCAGTTTAATCCAAAAAACTTCAAATTTTTCTCCTATCGTAGAAAATATCCAAAGATTGTGTTTTTTTTTTTCATTGTTTGGTAATGCTAGCTACACGGTTGGGAATAATTATTAACAAACTTGAAGTAGTCTCCCCTTGAGGCTGCAAGCCATTCTATCCCTTACATTTCACTTAAAGTTGTTTTCTGTTGTTTTCTGATTAGAGGCAAATTAAGACAGGTCAGAGAATGTGAGACTAATTATTCCATAATTAATTTATGTTATTCTGAGACCTGAAGAAGAGCTTCAGCTTCATATGGATCTCGCACAAGCTGCTGCATCAGTTCATTGCTTTTGACATAAATTCCGGACTTTTGCACTTGCCCATCTTCATTAATTTTACCTTCCGAGAGACTGAAGTAAAAATAAAAAGAATTATCCATATATGTTAAAATAACAAGAAGGAAAATGAAAATGACATTTTGGAAGAAGAATTTATTTATATGTTGAAAAAAGATGAAATTATAAAAGTCAGATGTCATCAATTGAGAAACAGCTAGGATACAAACATGATGAGCTCAGAAAGATAATAAAACTAACAAATATCTATCCAAAGATTTCAAGCACCCATTAAACAACCATGGAACGACGCTATTAATGGTTGTCGATTTTCTTATGGTTTAGTTAATAATAGTTACACTCTATACGAATTCATCTTGACGAGCAAACAAGGTAAATGATAACCTTATTTTATGCCTTGTTGATGATGGCTTTGTACGCTGAAAGATAGAATCCAGCACTTCTTCGATTGTGACCCGTCCATAAAAACGTTGTAAATATGTGTCTGAATCTAGGAAATATAAAAATTTTGATAAAATGCATGATTTAACCTTAACGTTTAAGTCTAGTGATTTGTACAGCGTTACACAATTCCTGAAAAAAATCAATGACTGGTTTTCTCAGATAGAATAGAATGAAATCTTCACAGATTTAGTATATCTAAAATTTCAACCATTATGAGGAGAGGATGGTCTGTTCGAGCCAATAAAGGTATCTGCTACTTCCACCACTCGAGAATTCCTAAAATTTGAATTGTATTAAACCTTATTAATACATTGATTGTAAATGATATACTGCTGAAATAACAAAAAGAAACTTACCGGTCATCTGGTATATTCCAGTTGGAAGGTACAGTAGTTACTGTGTAACCGGGTAATTGCTTTATAGAAGTAAGTCCTGTTGATGACAGTTTTTCATTATTCATTGATACCTATTGTAATAAAACTTTATTGAAAAAGTAAGAAGGATTGTTCAAATTACTATTTCTTACGTATTTAGATAGTCTCAAGTGTTTTAGCATTGAGAAAAAGCCACAACAGCGTTCATCCATACGTTTCTTAATCATTTATAAGAATGTTTTGAAAAAAATCCTTTCGTTCATTTTTTTTCAAAATTTATGGTATTTTAATTTGGAGGATTAATGGATCAAAACAAACCAAGAATAACGAATTCCGTTCATTAGAAAAAGAGTTGCATTCTTGCTCCTGAAGAAAAAAATCAAATGAGGAACTTGTGATCCAATTTATAAAAATTTTTCCATTTAAACGCTGTTATAATTGAACTGTCATGAATTTAAATGAATAATTCATGCAAATATATGTTTGTCTTGCTCCGTCCATTTAATTTAAATAATTAATTTATTAGAGATTTAAAGTAACAAAAGGAACTCTAATCAGAGTAACAGATATTAACAAAAATAATGGACTCATTTTTCATAAAACCTTCACTTTCTTTTGTTGATAATTTTCCAGTAAGCTTTTCAATTTGTGAATCATGTCGTTAATCTTTTATCTGATGCGTTCAGTCTTATTTAAATTTAAACTTTTTCAAACGATAAGTTAAAATATTGTCCACAACTGATATCTCTCGATAGGTGACGATTGGGATAAAATTGATTCAAGTTCAAAATTTTCCTACGGCTTGTTTAGGTTGTATAATTAGAACTCTGACTAGCAATACATGCTTCTTTACTATCATTTATTATCAAACAAAAACAAACATTTCTACTTATTCATTTTAAAGTTGTTTCATTCCATTCCGAATTTCAACATTTGTTGTGTTTTTCCAAAATTAGGAAGAAATCCGTGCGATAAGCATGCAAGGAAAGATAGAAGAAAGCAAAAGAAAAATAGCGCATGGCAAATAAGAACTTTTATTCTAAACAAAACAGAAAATCAATTGCTTTAAATTCATCAACACAAAAAAATGCAACTTTAGGCAGCAAACTCATCAAAAGATTTTTCAATAACACATGGTACGATGTAATATGTCGGCATATTTTTCGTTCTTAATTGTTAATATGAGTTTCATTGGAAAGAAGATGAACACGCCAAGCTAAAGGAAACCAAAAGAGAAATATTCAAGATAGATGTAGCAAATTATAAATTTACGAAATAATCATAAGAAATTGATAGAAAGTGTCACAATCTTTGCATAATCGCTAAAAATAGGAAATGACAATCTTTTTGGAACTTTCTAATTTGTAATCACTTTTCGAAAACTGCTAAAGATAGAATAAATCTGTTATTACGGAACGAATCAACAGACTCCGCTTAGGTGGAATATATGAAATGTGACACAATACGTTAAACCAAAAGTACTGGCAGTGCTGAAACATAATTATTCACATACACACTGCTGATAAGGGGAAGAAAAATTAAAATGCATATTAGGATGAAAGTTATTGAGATAAAAGTTCATAAGCTGAGAAAATGCAAGCAGCAGCAATTAAGCAGCAAATAAAATTACAGAAGACATGAAGGGAAGAGCTCTGTAAATTTCAAAACAGAAATATTCTTATAAGAGTGAAGTAATCCAGAAATTTCCTCAACTTTAATCGTATAATATAGCAAATATAGTGTTCTTTTTCGTATTTTCTCAAAGGGCTTCTTATTATTTTGCATTGCCGGAGAGGAGAGTTTGAACTTCTGGATGAGCAGCTCACAGCTTATCCGCCAATAAAAGTATTTATTTTTCAATCAACCAAGAAGAATAAATTAGTCGCAATTTTTAATTTACGACTCTGGCACGTTATGCAAATCTATCGGCAGTAAGTAAAGAATACCAAACTACGAAGAAGAAAAGACAAAAGAAGAGAACCAGAACTGAAATTCTGAGAAGGCGTAAATTTAAAATTCCGAGAAAGCAAAGATAAAAGCCGACTGAAATTCCCAATTAAATAATAAGTTAATAAGTGGAATTGAAAAGAAAATTGAATTATTTTCTTTTGGAAAAGGAAAAATTTAAGATAGACTCTAGCAGGTTCCAACCAAGCAAGACAATGCTAAGCCAACATTCACTGAATTTTGCTTAATTAATAGGTCACTTAATGAAAAGTACTTCTCCAGTGATTTGATAAGGTGTTGTTCACTCTCACATTACTTCTGGCACTAGTGGCTTTCAATGTAATCTGCTGATGTCCTCTACTCTCTCTTCAAACTTTGAGTACAACATTGCAAGTTTTTTAGGTAATTTCACCTTCACTGGTGAATTCAAACATCGATTCTGACTGTAATGTAATGTACTGCTTGACTTTTACTATACAATGCAAACCTTTCGTTTATCATTGTTACTGCCAACTTGGTTAAGCGATGTTCGACTTCTACGCATTTCTTCTATTTCATGCTTATATTTGTCAAACATGCCATATGGTATCACGGCGGTGGCAGCACCGCTTGTCGACGGTCCTGAGAGAGGAACCATCTGAGCTGGAGCATTGCACCCACCCACTTCGTGGCAGAATGGAGTAATATATCGAGTTCCAGATGTTTCATACTGTGTTGTTGTTGCTCGGAAGCCATTATGTGATGCTGGCGATAAAGGGCCGAAGAAAGTACCACTCGGTACTGCTCTTCCCTCATAACTGCGTCCTATATGTCGTTCACGATACCAATCTGGCACGTGTAATTTTTCTGTAGACTTTCTAAATCGCAACTCGTGTTCCGAAACATTTGGGGTTTTTTCGCAGAATTTCTGAAGTTCATTTTCCGGTGGTGCTGATTCTTCACGCATCCTAAAAATAATAAATAAGAAACGAATACTAATGAAAATTCTTGAAAGAACTTTGTCCTACTTCTCATATAACTGATTAACCATGATCTATTATTCCTTCGAATCTCTTTTCATATGTATAGCTCACTCAAAATCATCAGATAATGACTAATCAATTACAGTTCAAACTTCCCATAAACGGTTCACATTTTGAAATGTGAACCGTTTATGTAAAAATTTTTTTTTGACCAAGCTTTTGCAAACTTTTTTTCAAAACAAATATACTTTCGATCCATCAAATAATCGGCACTTTTCGAACGGACATGTGAAACAATGCTCTGCGGTGCATCACGTCGACTAAATCGGTTGTAATCCATCACTGAACCGGAACGATGGACATCGTCCAAATTAGTTTCTTCAACCTGTAATATTTCTAAGAAATAGAATAAAAGATACCATAACAAAAAAGTTCATTATGTCTGAAAATGTTCAAACACAAAATTGATCATTAAATATTCCACTTTAATACAGGAACGCAATCGAAAATATGTGAAAGAAGTATAATTATTGAAGCAATGAAGCAAAGGAGTGATTATGACTCAGTCAGTCTCACTAACCTATCAATATTTAGATTAACTAGCAACTCACATGCTTCGAACGCTCCATATAAACTTCAGAAACAATGATATTAAAGTAATGATCATTGATTAATTTCCAACTGCCTTTGTTGCCGAAAGTTTAAAGCGTTTTAGAAATCAGAAGAAGTTTAGCAATTACTTGATTTATCTCCGGGCAGGGGAGCCTAGGTTTGAACTCTTCAGGAGAAATCCTATGTATCTCAAAGTGGAGGGAAACTCTGCATGCAGTTAACAGCATCTTATTTCATCCGTCAAGATTATTTTGCTAAATAAATGTGTTTAATAGTCCATGTTTTGAAACTTCAGTTAAATTTATATATTTAAATCGATACAGATATCGATTTCAATTTTCAATTCATGCACCATTAAAAAATCTTATGAAAAATGAGAATCAAAAGTCAACAAAGGCTATGTTAAAAAAGACGTAGATGTAAAGGAATTTTATTTGATAGGATTTACCACAGCAAATAAAGGTCGCTGATTCAGGTCGGGATACTGCCTACCCGAAGTGGTTACTGTAAAGCCTTTGAAAACAGTTAGATATCGAAGCCAAACACAAATTATCTTTATTAATGCCGAAATGAGACCCACTTCACTATTAGACCAAAAAAAAGTCTTTCGAAAAATGTCAAGATCTCCGGTAAGTTGAAAGCATTAAGCTCAGCAAAATAACATAACCCATCTTTCACCTACCCAGTAAATCATAACACAATGAAGGGACATGAAACATGTTGGCAAGGAAAGCATAAAAGAGTCAGAAAATACGTCATATATAGAACCTGTCGTTGAGCTGAAACAATGTCACCAATTCCAGTGTCGAGGTTTGTCTCAAGATAGGACGTTGAGTAACCGCGAGTTCGGCTGTACAGATTTGGTTGTGAGAGACGTTGCTTGTAAGGCATCCAGTAGCGCTCTGCTCGTTGAAACAAACGGTTGTATTCCTGCTATTGGTTTTTTTTTTTTTTCTTTTTTTCTTTTTTCATTATCTTAGTAGTATTGAATTGATTAAGCATGATGGTTTTTAGCAAAGGGATAAGGTTTCTATAAAAAAACAGAAGTAGACATAAGCATGGACCATCCAACTGTCATTTCAGAAACTTACAACAAATTTTTAAACTTGAATTTTTGGGAAATCTTTATATAAATGGGTGGAGATAGCTATAACATCCACAAAGTAATAGAGAAACACTGAAGCAGGTCTAGATTAATGAAAAAGCGGTTGCAAAGCAAAAACATTCAAGCAAAGTTACTGAATTCATCATTCTTTGAACTTCAAATGAACCTTTGCAGTATTTCCTGCTAATTTTAAAATTCCTCATTCACGAATTATGTTATGATTCCAGATTTCCGATTCGCTTCAAACATTCTCTTCGATATCTGTCTGCACTTTAAAAATTCTCTGCTCCAAAAAATTTTTATTTAAAATAAAACTTTCATTTTTATCAAGAAAAAAAAACCTGGTCATACGGACTAGGACCAATGCTATTATACGGCAATTGATTTACTACGTGTTTCGAACTAAATTCATTTCTCTGTGGTTTTTCATAGAGCGGTCCATGATATTCCGATCGTGACCGTAATATGTCATCTGATGTTTGCCGAAAACGTTCGCTTATTGCATCTGAGAATATAATTTGGTATTTAACTGGTTTTATTTGCTTAATTGCACTTCGATTCATATTATCAGAGATCTCCATCTTAACTTACGCATTTCATATGCCGTCAGCAAGAAAACTTGAAGCATTGGTTTCATTCCTTTCCTGTGATGTCAGGTATACGCTCGTCAAAAAGCAGAGATACAAAGTATTAAAGACCACCTATGTAAACTGATTGGAAGATAAAAGTACCAACCAGATGCATTATTAGCATCACTTGAAAGGAATTCTTTCCTCGCTTTCTCAAGTTTCGACCGATATCTACTTGTACGACGACTTGATGATCGACTGAAATCATCATCATCGGCGGAGCGTCGGCTATACAGACGTTCACGTGCCAACATACTTGAATCGGAACCATTTGATATATTATTTTGCGTGTATCTAAAAAATTTTTGACTGAAATTCAAGAAAATGAATAAGTGATATTGGGAAAATAAATTTGTGATCCATTCGCGGTTTGAAAATACCAAAGTGTCTCAAAACATTTCACTCCGAAACTGAAAAAACTTTGGTATATTTTTTTCCAAAAATGAATTTACAGACCATTACCTTGCTATGAAATCTCCCCACCAAATTATTTTTCCATCTTCTCTCTGTTTAACTCATTTTCACTTATGCAATATCTATATATCAATATCTCAACGAAACGGAAATATTCTGAAGACTGAACCGCATGACCACTAACTCAACTGAGTTATAACTTCTTCCAATTCCTCATTGTGGATATATATCTTTCATTGTAGATTTATTCGGAATTGTCGGAAAGTTCAAATTAGATTGCTGTTATGAGCTATCTCTGTCCTTGCTTATCATTTTAAATGTTACAGACCACATTTTAACACTAGTCATGGTTCTGCGTAAATATCCTGCATGCTTTTCTTGGTTTTCAGAAATTGATATCGTGATGGTATTTTCACTACTGCGTAGCAACTATTCGCGAAAAAGAAACAAAAACTTTATTCCATAATTTGAAATTTTGAAATCAAAGAATGCAAGTTTACAAAAGCAAAAGAGACGAGAATTTATTCGTTAGTAAGTGGAATCAGACACTATTCGTAAAATTTGGCTGAATCATGCAAGCAGCAATACCATCACGGTGTCAGTTATTTACTAAAATTACCAGAAAAGCATACTACAATACAGCATAAAAGTTCTCTTTTCTACAAAATATATTGGTCGTGTTAGTATGAACAATGAAGTGACTTTCCTATGCATTCCAATTTAAATGATAAAAATTAGCAACTTGTTTTATAATCTCACATTCTTATCCTCAAACCAAAGTCGAGATTTTTTTAGAGGCTGAAAAAAAGGTGAAATAATAATTATAGTAAAAAAGTAAAAAAGAAAGCAGTAACTGAGTTTGTGATATCCCAAATATACAACGGTGTAGTAAAGAAAGAATTAACTGAATAAAAAGCTAAAAATATCAAAAAATTGAAATGTTAAAAATTAAGGCATAGATATAGAAAAATTTGTGTCAAGCAAAATGCACTTTTGCTAAACCACTTCAAGCTGATTAGATCAGAACAATTAATTTGGACTTAACTGAATCAATTTCAGATTAATGGAAGCTTAAAACATTTTCTTCATTCTACTCCCATCCTCACTGATAACACATTTATAAAGCTAAACATCTGATCTTAATCAGCTAGAAAATATTTATTTTATATGGAATAAACCTGATTAATTGAAATGAGCTCAGCATTAAAATAATTCAAATTATTAGCCACTATTTGAACCCATATAAAGAAATGCATTCTAAGAATAGACAAATTAAAATTTCTCACAAAAGCTCTTCTCGAAATAATCAAAAAAAAAAAACTTTTCAATAAAAGTTTGAAGAATAATGCGGTGAAATCATGAACATTTCAAAGTGTCTGTTGCTCTAATAAATAATACCATTAAGTATTCAGATTATATTATTCTTAGAAAAAAAGGTAAATTTTCTATTCTCACGAAGGCAACACAGAAGTTCATACAATAATCTGTTTACAAAATATACCTAGGATCGTCGGACCAGACAGTACGATCAATACGTTCGATTACTTGTCGCTCCACTTTCGTCGTTACTTCGTTTCCGCCACTACTTAAGTTCTCTCGAGAACCACACGAAATCGCTGCCAGATTTTCTCTTGAATAATAAGGTGGTTTTGTTAATTTTTCTAAAGTCTCTCGAGATGTTAATATGTCCTTGCGGCGATCACGACTTGTTATTTGCATTAACAAATGTCGTTTTTCCATTTCCATCTTTTCTTTTTCCTCTATTTCACGTGCTATTTGATCTAACTTATCACGACTTCGACGATCTTCAAGACGACGTTGAGCTTCACGTTCTAATGCTTCCTGACGCTCTTGTTCACGCAATTCTGAATTACGTTTCTCCTGCTCAAGCAATTGTTTTAAGCGACGATCTTCTTCTACTCTAAAATGTGACATAAATTACAGAAATGTTACATGAAGTAACTTCTTTCAAACACTTAAATTTGACGAATTAACTTACCTTTTATTCTTCCTTCTCATGAATAACGAGTATAAAAGTAAGGTTGAGATATCCTTAGCATTTCAACAATTCTCCGCTAGTCAACTTTTTATTTTTTTTACGGAATCGTTTCAGTTTTTTAAAATATCAAATGATGAAACTAACCGTTCACGTTCTCTTCTTTCGGCTTCCTGACGTTCACGTTCTTGTAATTCATTAGCTTCACGTTCCAATGCCTGTCTTTGTTCATCTCGATGTATTTCAGCTAATCGCGCTGCATGTCTGCAAGAAAAAACCCAGCTCTAACAGAGAGAACAGAATATGGAACTCCTGCGCTCATCCGTTAATTTAATATTTAAGTGCAAAACGATGAGTAGTTTTCGAATGTTGTTTTCTTGAAATCGTAAAACTCAACAAGTTATTTTCTACGATGTAGAAGGACATTCATTCTTTTACTCAGTTGATATGCAAAGGATGATGCAATATAATCTAATTAATACCTTTCCTGGGCAGCACTTCTGATGGCTGCTAATTTCTCTCGTTCCATCTTTTCTTCTATTTGACGCTCACGTTCTCGACGCACCGCCTCACGCCTTTCACGTTCACGTTTCTCGGCTTCAATTCGTTCTTCTTCTTGTCTTTGACGCTCCCGTTCCTCATCCTCTCGCCTCTCCTGTTCACGTCTTTCTGCTGCAAGTTTTTGAGCCTCAAACAGTTCCTTCTCATGTCGCTCTTCTTCCTGAAAATGGAATTTGAAAAAGAATGAACCGCATGTTCTCTTTCTTTCATCTCTTCAAAGCCCATACTTCGCCTCTTTTTGAAATTACAGTATATCTTTGGTGTGACCAATAATCTATCTCATATTTTAAGAATCTATCCCTTTTCTTGAAATGAAATTTCATGCATATTTCATGAACAACATCAATTTGTCAATTTCCAGTTTCTAATTTTCAACCTCTTGAGTTTTTAAAATTTTGAACTTAAGGTAGAGACCTAAATTTTGAAATCTAAAAGTTCCATCTACCTGACGTTGAAGTTCCTTTATTTCCGCTTCTTGCTTCTCTCTATCTAATCGCTCTTGTTCACGACGCAAATTCTCTAAGCGTTCTTTTTCTAAACGTTCACTAAGCCGCCGCTGCATTTCTCGTTCTTCTGCTTCCCGCTGCATTTCAGCTATGATTTCAGCTTCTCTATAAAATTTATTAAGCTGTTGAAAAATAAAAATTTGAACTAAAAGAAAATTAATTTCTTAAGGAATATGAAGGAATATAATTTTTTAAAGAGAAAAAAAATACAAAAATGATGCGATTCACATTGTTGAGTTAAACGAATTAAGCTACAACCTTCTTTCTTCTTCTCTTCGACGAGCTTCTCGATTCTCTTCTTCAATTCGTTCTGCTTCACGCATTTGCGCTTCTCGTCTTTGCATCTCCAGTAGTTCTTCCTCTACTCTGAAAAATAGAATGAATTAAATTATAGATTAGCAATCAAACATGAAATTGTTTTGAAAAAGGTCAAAGACCGAATTTTAAAATTCCTAAAGAGGCTTGTAGTTTTTTAAAGTAAGACATCAAAAAGCGAAAGTTATTAAAACAATTAGAACCTTAAGAGCTCCTGTTTCTCACGAATAATGCGTTCCTGCTCTTGGCGCTCTCTCTCAAATCGTTCTTGCTCTTCTTTTTCTTTTTCTCGTTCCTGCCGCTCCCGTTCTTGACGTTCACGTTTGATTCGTTCAATTCGCTCAATTTCGAGCCTCTCAGTTTCTATTCTCTCACGTTCCAAACGTTCGCATTCCAGGCGTTCTTTTTCAGCCTGCTCACGTGCTAGTCGCTCACGTTCGCGCTCTGCACGCTCACGATCCAAGCGTTCACGTTCACGCCGCTCATCCTCGAGTCTAAAAAGCTTAGTTTATTTCTAAAACTTTCAACATCTCTTCAAAAAGTCACCTACAGTTATCTTTTTCAAGAATAAGTATTACGACTGCATGAAGCTCAAAACAGACTTCATATTATTTTGGAATAGAAAATGAAACAAACTACCTTTCTTGTTCCAATCGACTTTTTTCTAATTCTCGCCACCTCTGCAGCTCATATTCTTCATGTTCCCTTCGGGCTCTTTCAAGTCGTTCCCATTCCGCTCTACGCTGTAATTCAACATTTTCACGTGCTGCTCGTTCTTTATCCAGTCTCTGCTTCTCCAGTCGTTCACGTTCCAAACGTTCGCTTTCCAATTCTCGATGCTTCAAGCATTTCGTTTGAGAGTCGGATTGGAAGAAATTTCAAGTACTTTCCGTCTTCATAATAATGTCTATGTGAGTGGGAATTAAGTTTATTAGTATCTTAATTATTTTAAATAACTGTCGATAATTCAATGAAGATAGTCCTATTGTATAGAACAGGAACAAACAATTAATACTTATCAATAGATAATATCAAATATTTGTATTAGTAATTTTTATGAGAGGATGACGAATTAAATGATAAATTCCTTACAGTGATATATATCAGGAATGACGATAATTAATCTCACTTATTTTAGGAATCACTAAGGATAAATCAGAGAAACAGTCAGTACCTTTATTTCTCTCTCACGTCGTTTTCTTTCTAAATATTCACGCTCCTTTGCTTCCCACAGCCGTCGCTCCTCTTCGGCTCTCTTTCTGCGATCTTCCTCTTCACGCTGTCGTTGCTCTTGATCTTTTTTGATACGACGTTCTTCTTCCTCCAAACTTCTGTGAAGTATAACAGATTTAGGGAAGGCTTAATTAGTTCAGTTTTCAGTATAATTTGTAATTAAAATCCCAGAAGAAATAAGAAAGAAATGTTCAAATTTTCTTCTATTCCATCATTTGAGTTTTGAATTTTACTATCATTCTTGAAAAAGCGAAATATATTAAACTTTTTTACCTTAAATATTTGTAATTGTAATCAACAGTACGCTCTTCCCTGGGGTAATATTTGTTATCGACGGATGGATATCGTTCACGTTCCAAGATAATCGGTGATGAACGAGATAGCGGTGGTGCAGAAAGAGCTTCAGAAGAACGTGTCACGAAAGTTCTAGTCCGTATTTCTTTCCGATAATATTCTTCTTGATGATAATCACTAAATGGTGTTGCCGTTGAACGATAGTCGATCGGTGTTATGGTTGAAGAAGGAATGGATGAAGTGGTGCGTTGTACTGGTATTTCTCGAATTGTCCGAGATCGATGTTCTGAAATCAATTATGAATTAACTAAACAAAAAAAAAAATTGAATGACCAATTGTGTAGTAAATAACTGTTTTTCCTACTTCCTTTTTTTTGTCATTTTACCAATAACAGATTAATGAACAAGTAGCTAACAGTTGAAGTATGATCTACCAGTAATAAGAAGGCTCAGTAAATTAATTATTGAATTTCTACAGCCAAACAAATGAATAATTGAAGAAGAAATCGGAAAGCAAAAAACAGAAATAAATGTACAAAATAGTATAAGCAATTAAGCAAGTAAAAGATAATTTTCTGAAAACCATTAAATATATTAACCGGGTCGCTGTGCGTGAATATCGTCATCCCGCGACATATCGGAACTGCGTTGCTAAAAAAGAGAAAAAATAAAATTTCGGCAGTGTTATATGAATTTAAAAAAGTGTCCAAATTCATTTCAGAATAAAGTAATTAGTGAAGCTGAGTTCAGTTTTCATAACAAATGAATTTAAATAATTTTTAAATTATGACGGAGATGAGACAAAAATAAAGATTTTTCTCCTAAAAGAAAACGATTTTTAAAAGAACAAAATGAAGAAATGAAAACTGTGATTATCATCGTGAGAGGGTATATACATCAATTATTTGCAGCTTATCATTTGATCTATTTCAAGCAATCATTTTTTCCAGTTGGAATCATTTTTATCATGGTCGTCTTTGTTTTTATCATGATATCAATATTGTCAGTATGAAAGAATGCAGCTATGATAATACTCAAGAAAATTCTAATTATCGGTCGAAAAGAAATGCCCCAACATTGATATTAAGAGTTTTCTATCTAAATCTACTTTATTTAAATAATTCGCAAATAGAAGAAGAATGTGAAGACGAGGAATAACCTTGTTTCGAAGAAGAAATTAGGAAAAAAGCCATGTGAGTTTGAAAATTCCTAAATTTCCTCATACAGCACCTCATTTGATAAATTCTCGTGAAGCTATCTGGAGCATACACCTGACCACCTGAAGGATTTCTAATATCAATAGATTCATGGTTCTATGAATTGAAATATTTTTCAGAACTACGCAAAATCACTAGAACTTGTCCTGATACGGGGACATGGTCAGATAATGAATTCTTCTAATCAATGCTTGGAAGAGACTGCAGAATCCTTAGGAAAATCTACACATCACTGAGGACTGATTGATTAAATGAATAGACCGACGATCAAAACGGTGAGGATTTAATCGACAAATCACTTAGTACTCAATTGTCATTAAGTATATCGCTTAGCAGGGAAACAGTATTGTATAACAGAGAAACTTTGGCCGCCGTAAACTTTTTATATTGCCTAAAATATCTGAACAAATGGAATTTGCTGATTGTTTTAAAACTTCATGCAGTTTCCAATGTGTTTCACTGGAATTTATATTAAGTTTTGTATAACCTATAAATAAGTAATAAAAATTATCGTTTTTAAGTTTCTCAGTCCAGATGAGATATTGTTAGAGAAAAATAAGATGAAAGTGAAAGAAAAGGCGGAATTACAATTTGAGTCCGAAGGAAGAGAAAAATAAGGATATCATAAGGATATTATGAGAACAACTGAACAGTGATAAATTAATACAAACTTATGTGAAGAAAAACTAATTAACAAGAAAAAAAAAACGAATATATTGCAAACTTTTTTTTTTTATTTTGTTTTGGAGGTATCGAAAAAAGATTCTTTCTAGAAAAACAATAAGTCGTATTTTCCAAATTAGAGAATTGTTTCAATTGTTAAAAGAAGCGTTAAGCTTTATGAAACCTTCGGAAAAAGAAATTTAAAGCCATAATAAAAAATTTATCGAAAACTTTAAGTGCCAACATGCATAAAATAACCGCACGTCCTTTAATTGGATTTCCTTGGTGATGAATTTACTGACTATAACAGTCAAAAAATTAACTAGTGAGATTTCAATAAATCAATCGATTATCATTTTTTCGATTAAAGTCAGTTAGAAAGAGAGAGAATTTAATTTTGCTTTTAAAATGAATAAATGATAACAACAGTAGTATGGCATTAGAAAGCAATGATGAACAATTTTTAAATGCCATTCAATTAAACAATGCGTTATTGACATAGAGACACACTTTGAAATAGATCAAATATACGGCAATATTTCGCTAAAACAGAAAACCTATCAAAACTTAATAAAAGGGAAGAGTTCATAAAAAGGAGAATGTGTATGAAGAAAGGCTGACTAAAGGTAGTTGAACAGTATTATGATTAAAAACTAATCGCAATGGTCAGAGATGATTCATCTATAGTAGAAGTGGTAACAGTAATAGTAGAAGGAGAAGTAGACATTTATTGAAAATGAAGGTAAAAGCTTTTCTGCATTTTGCAAAACTAAATTTCTCAAAAAAATTTTACAATGGAGCAGTTTGTATCTTCCTCACTTCTCTCGCAGTTTTGGAATTTCTTCAAAAAAAAAAAAGACTTTTGGATAAAAGCACAACACTTTCACTTTCATTCCTTTCAAAAAAAAAAAAAAAAAAAAAAATATTCACAACTTGCCAACTAAAGAAGGATTTAAACTTCTTGTTTATAAAGATAGCATTTAATTAATAACTTCATATTCAGCAATAATATTTGAAAAAGTTGCTGAACTAAGGTGAACTTCCAAGTGTAAGATGAGATAAGTTTCTAATTTCCATGGACCCATCTAAGAGATGCAATGCAATTCTCATGAATTATATTGGAAATAATTAAAATTATTGGTTTCAGCTGATTAAAATATAGTAGCATCTTTCCAGTCACAGTTAATGTTGTACTTAAAAATTTCAGAAATTAAATGCATCGAATTCAGTTGACAAGATAAAAATAATTGGATCGCCAATGAAAAGCAGCTCTGACAATGTTATACTAGTAGCATTGACAGTAAGAGTTGACCGTAGTTCAGTGCAAACAGAAATCAGCAATATTACCGACTACAATGCTACAGTGATTTTGAGTTGTGCAATTTACGCGCTTTTCAATGTTTTGTGCTGAAAAATTAGTTTTCTTACAAATTCCAGTTAAAGAACCAAGAATGAAAGAAATCAAAGCAGATTTCCTCTAAAAAATTGATTTCCTGTAATCCGATCTACTTATCACTGTACATATATTAAACCTTAGCAAGAAATGTAAAACTTCTTGTCTAGGATAGTTTACAAAACTATTATTTAAACTATTAGTTTATAAAACAAAACCAATATTGAAATTCTTTCTGTGAGGCGGACAACTTTCATAAGGTCTCTCAATTTTGATTTTGTTCCTAAAAACGTTGAAATAAGGAAAAAGGAGGAATAATTTCAATTTTTCCAAGATTTTATATTTTTAAAATAAATTAACATGAGGGTATACAATTTAACAATTAAAGATAAGCGAAATCCAACCATTTTACAGTCTAGTTTCCGAAATAAAAACTTTTTAATTGCTCAACAACTACTGCCAAAATTTCCCACTGAATTCAAAACTTATCACAGCATGTTGTTTATTCATAATAATTTACCAATTAAAGAGAATCATAATAATTTGCAACTAAAAAGAACCTATAAGTAATTTTGATGACTATGCCACATATTTTATTGAATGATTGTTCGCTATCACTCTGTTATGCCAATAAATCAGTGTGGACGGGTTTTTTCTTTTTTTTTTTTTCATCAATGAGGCAAAAAATTCCATTCAATTTTCAAATGGTCGGCAACATTTCTCCCAGAAATAGAAAGGTGCAGTAATCGGCGGACCAACATATTGAATGGATTAAGTGCCAACAATTTTAAAATTCTCGAAGAAAAATATGTAATTCTGAATTCTATATGTCCAGCAATGGATTAACAAGCTTATTTTCAGATATTGTAAAATGTTGTCTATGTCATTTCACGACTTTACTAACTTTTTACTCGTATTTATTTTAGAGAATTTTACTTATATAAATGCCCATAAGTGGCTTTTTAGCCCGATAGAAGGTAGAGTTCTAAAATCATTAAATATTTAAAGTAAAAATAAACAATGAAAAAGAAAAATCAAATTCATTTCTTTTCAAAGAAATTGATGGAAGCAATTTAAAAAAAGCTCCAAACAAGGTGAATTATAAGAAGCGTAAGAAGAGGAACTTGGAATATTTAAATGATAAGCCACAGGAATAAAAAAAGAGTAGGAAAGAAAAAGAAAAGCAAAAAATAAAAGGCTAAAAGTGAAAAGTAAAATGATGAATCAGTGATTTAAATATTTTTATGATTTCCATTCACCAAACATAACGGAATGATTCTGACAACAACGTTATTAGTTGCTATTCATGGAAGAATAAATAAAAACTTTTTTCCAGCAAAAACGGAAATTTTCACTACAATGGTACTAAAAGATATGATATGAATAACTGATAGTCATGTCACCATTCTGATAAGCAGTCTGGTGAATGCAGAGAAATATGGTAGAAGTACAATTACAGATCACAACCGACAAATATTATCAAGATTCTTAATTTCGATAAGGTAGAGTTAATTATTTATCACTCAAAGTTATGAAATCAATGATTTGACTGAGGAATTTAATCTTCGAGTACAGAGCATATTTCTGCCAATTCAAATCACATGCGTCATGTTAAAGTCATGATTTGATAAATTAGATCGGAAATCAATGGGTCACTTATCATTTACTCTTCAAATCGTCCAAAACTATTACCAGAAGATTGTAACATAGCAAACAAGTATTTTGACCTGTATCTAAATGTGATAATCATTACAACGCAGATTATTTGCATAATTTTGGGATTTGATTGCTGATATTTGCATACCCTAATAAACACAAACAAATGTCTCAACAAAAACTTTCACTGTCTACGACATTATAGACATTAAATTACTTCACAGTAATAAATAGATAGAAGACAAAGCATTTTAACAGTAGCAATAAGAATAGATACAAGAATTATCAGTGACAGAGAACAGTGAGAAAATACTAAATTATTAGCAAAACTAAATTAAATGAGTTTCTAATGGAGAAACCTAATCAAGAAATATTGCATTTATAGCTCGAAACTACGTTTTTTAGATCAAAAATATTTAAAAGATAATTCAACACTAAATAGTGAGTTCCAATCTGGAAAAAAGAAATTGACTTTCAACTAAATTCTCTAACAATTAACAAAAAGTGTCTGTACGTGATGCAGATGAAATTATTTCAACTCATATGCTTGTAGAGATTTAAAAAGTGAATAAATTCACTAATCAGAGGTACGGAGCACTTGAGCAAATAGACAATTGAACAAAACGAAGGATATTTGAGAGTGCTAAAGAGTTAATGCCTGATATAGAAATGAATAATCGATCTTAAATTAAGAACTTATGTACGAATGACAGTCAGTATGTAAAAATATGGAACAAAATATAAATAATAAAAATAACAGTCACAGGAATAAACTATGAGATGAGAAGTGGACAGAAGATTGTTAATGCCAATCAGTATAGCAGTGAGGATAAAATTACAAACATAAGAAATTGATTGAAGAACGTAAAAGATATGAATAAAAACCACCAATTAAATTCAATTTCGTTTAATAAAGCAAGCTAAAGATTTACCTTTTGCGACGATAATTCCGAGGGTGTTCGTGGCGGTGGTGGTGGTGGCGGTTCTGAGGGTGGAATTGACATTCCTGAAACGAACTTGGTTTTCTCCAAATCTTTAGCTTAAGTGGTTTTTGATGAATATTAATATATATATAAGGTTTGATGGATATAATATATGAATATTTTAAAATGATTTGTATTAAATCGTTTTAAAAGATTCATATCATTTATATTGTATCGGACCAAAAATAAGTTAAGCCTCCACGATTTCCAGAATTTTTCTTTCATATCTTTCTCTCTCTCTCTCTCTTCCCCCTATAATATAAATTACCATTTCCTATTTCTCGTTTAAAAACAGTCTAAATCAAAATTAGCAAACAAACAAACAGACGAAAGAATGCGCCTCTTCGTCAGCTAAATACCTCCCTCTGTACATATCACAAAGAATTCACCTTCGTCTACCCTTCTTATGATGAAATGATTTGACTCTTCCCAGGCACTATTTTACCTAGTAGAAGAAATGTTATCAAATCTATTCGATGCTATCTCTGTAATAACTCTTCTCTATTTTCAGATTTCTTAAAGTTTCATTGGAAAGATTGTTCGAGACAAATATAATCACCCTTTCTATAGCTAACTTGTCTCCCATCAAATTAATGCCGTTTCGTTCCGGAAATGAAAACAGGTTTAACTTTACTTGACTTTAGGAACATCTCAGAAACAATCTGTAATTAACAAAAATGCTTTCCTCGATCTCAGAGGCGAATATTGGCATAATTCTCAAAATTTGTTTCTTTGCTCTTGAACTTCACAAGTCTCAGATACTCAAAAAGCTAACATTGCCATATTTAAATAATAAAACACATAAAAAATACACTGAAATTAAGTTGTCATGCCGCCCTACAATGACAACTGTCCTGATAATGAAGTTATCAATATCTACGAGCAGAATTACCGTTCTACTAATTTCTTGTCATGATTGCATTTATTGATTTCTTACTGTCATCACAAATATCAAAGTGAGACGGTCGAAAGGAATATTTACTCAGCAAACAAAATGAGAATTTAGAGTTCAAAAGGATGCTTTCAGAAACAAAAACTTTCTGTTCAATTTATCCATCTACAGCGACAATGACTTATAATTTAACGATGAAAGATGCGGACAGACATTCATCTGGCCGAATCCCTACAGTGGTCAGGGAGATAAGGAGAAAAATAAGTGGAAAAACGAGATTCCATTGCCGCTCCGCGATTGATACGATCAATAGGAGGAGAAGAGTGATTGGTATGGTCGAAAGAACCAGCCTGAGCGTATGATGTAGCGTTTTATTGTTGTTGATGCTGCTGATGTTTGCCGATAATAATCGCTTCTGCCACTGACGTCGTCATTGTCACCATCGTCACCATCTTTACCACTGCCGACTCCTTGCACAATACGTCCTCGACCTGTTTTCCTATCCTCTTCAATTCAATTTTACATCCGTAAAAGCAAAAAGCCTATTCACTTTGGATTATGTATGTTTGCCAATTGATCCATTAGTAAATTTAAGCTTTCTTATAAACTATATAAATGACTTTAACCTAGGAGATATGATAGAAGCTACAAAGAACGAATTAAAATTTAATAAAGAAATGTCAAGGGCAGTAGTCATAAGCAGAACAAGTCACCCACAGAACAATCAAATTGAGGGATCTTTTCTGAACGATGCAAATCCTGAGGAAGTCATTAAGATTTTAAATCACCTTCAAGTTAAAGAAAACTAACCTCTGAGGTCACTTTTTCTGATTTCGTTACAATCAACACTTGCTATTGAAGCTGATGCGGCATTATTTCTTGTAGATGTAATATCGCTATTTCGTTCGCCGTTAGTCAAGTCTTCGAGACTGGCAATGGGTGGTGCACTAAACAAGAAAGGTTGAAAAGAGGCTGAAGCAAAAGCAGATGAAGTTGGCAACACCGGTTGACGATTGTTGTCGGTTGTCGAGGCAACTGCAGTAACAGTGGTAGATATTGTCCGGTTCGTTAACCAATGTCTATTGTCCTTGGATACAGCAGATGACAATGTATCAACGAGTGACGGGACATCATCATTCAATTCCCTGTAATTTACCACTTCAGGTGCGCAAACATTATGAAGCGCATGCAGAATAACTTGAACTGCGCAGTCAATACTATCTATGAATAACCACTACGGAAGTTTGAGTTTGTCACTGCTTCTGTAAGCATCATACAGTAAGATGAACGGATTTAGGATAATCTTCTTTGATAAGCTTGCAGTTCTTGAACTTTCTGACATGACAATATTGATGGTCGTCAGGCACAAGCACTAAGTAAATGAATGAATTATTAGGGTAGTTACTCATGATCATATCATACATTTTTTCTTCTAACGTATATTCTGATAAGATTAAGCAAGAAATATATATCAAATGCAATAGCAAAGCATTGATATATAACAAAGAGAATTTTGAGTGGTTGAAAGTTGATGTTTGCTTTATTAAACAGAATTACGGTTAAGCGGTAAGCAAGAAATCGGAAATAAAAAATATATTTTTTGCAAAGAATAGCAAAGAATTTTGTTAAATTTTAAAATATGTCCGTAGAAAACGGAATCAGAATTGTATTTAATAATCGAAAGTTTCGAAAAGTCTCAAGAACTGTTTTTTTTTGTCAATTGTTTCTTACCAAGAGTATGAATATTAGGGTGCTTAAAAAATTTCAAACAACTAGAGCAGTAGAAGATCTTTACTTGGTGCCATGTAAATCACAGCGTATACTACTGGCAATCTACTACAGGCAGGAAGTAACTTTCGCATGAATAAAAATACCGGAACAAAATAAATCAAATTAAAATTTGTCAACCTACCCGGTTGCAGCGAGTTGCTCTTCCATAATTGCAGCTTCATCAATCGGATTAGAACAGATTGAAAAATCGAGTACTGAATCACGTGAATGATCGATGGATATGGAAGTGGAATTCAGGGAGCACGTTTCTTCGCTACAAAAAGTTGAAACTCATATGTGAAAAAAATTAATTTTATTGATTTCCTATCAATAAAGAAAGTTTCATTTGATCATTCAAAACAATCTAATCTAATAAATCAAAACAGTTGGATAGATATACTTGACGTTTTTTGTTCATATCACCAAGATTTTGTAAAATTAAATAAATAACAATCTGAAAAAGGAAAAAAATTAACAATTCAACAAAAAAAAAACTGATGAACAGTCAATAAAAACTAATCGCTATATTTAAAACTAACCATCACATTTGCAATAATCAAATACCTAAGAATGTGACAAATTCTAACTGGAAAGGAATATTCATATGACTGGTAAAATAAGTGAAAATAATAGAAATGTTAAAATTCTTTGGATGTAATTTGATAAAAAGATTAGGAAAGAAGAAGTAAATTTTATGTTATTTGTCGAACAAGAAAAGTTGTACTGATGCTGAACATTTTCATTGTCTAAATTTTTAAACGGAAAAAGGAATGAATGTTGTTTTCATTCAGTTCGGATAAAAAACTTGAATTAAAAACTGCCAACAAAAGAAAACTTTCCTCTGCAAATCATTCTCAGAATTTAATTTGTTTTTGTGTCAACATGTTACTATGAAGCTCGTCTGAGTATCAATACTAATTTGTGAATAGCTATGGAAATGATGCAGGTCTTTTCGTATAATCGAAAAATCCATCATTTCAAGGTGCCAAATTTCAGCTGCGTTCTCTTGGGAGTAAAAAATGTGAAAATGGATATCAGGGAAAAGTTGATCAACAAATGCATAATATAATTCAGTTGTGCTTTAAAATCATCACTCAGAGATTTACAGGAATGAGAATTATTATTTTACCAGCAGGGGTTATCAGACTTAACTGATGACGGATTGCAAATTCGAAAATCGTTAGTGAGTATTATGTCTTGGTCAGTAGCCTCATATTTCATTTCTACAATTATTAAAATAGTGTTTCTTATATAAAACTGAAAATCCTCATCTTTTCAACCGAAAAATGATGACCGAAAGATTGTTATAATCCATAATTCTTTATCAGAGTAGGATGACACTTCAACTCAAAACTAAATATCACTCCATTTTTAAATACTGTTTATGATTTGCGATTGATATTTACTATTTAAATAAACCATTCATTGAAATCAATGTTAGAAAAAAGCATCCAATTTTTGAAGCGAAACTTCATACCCAAAGGATATAAAAAATATAAGTAATAATAAAAAAAAGTGCTCCTAATCTTCTTCGGATATCAAATGATATTACTATGCTATGCTGTATGTTGTCACTTAATGTTTTCAAATAAGTGCAAAATACGCTATTTTATTTTTGTTAAAGAGAAGGAAAAAATAAAGTTAAACTCTTGAAGCTTCTTAGAAGCTAAGAATAAAAAGAAAAAGTTCAAAAAGTGACAGGAGATATTATAAAATTTTTTTTTTTGAATTTAGTAAAATATAGCCAGTTTAAATGGCATGAATGCTAATGTTGTATGCATAAGAAAGAAAAAAAAAAAAAAAGAAAACGATATCGTAGATTTATGATACGGCAATAACTGAAGTGAAATGAGTAGAATGAATTAATGCAAATGAACTTCCTTTCAAAGCTTACATTGATTTTCTAGTAATAAGGATAAATTTACATTATTAGTTAACGATAGTTTAAGCAAAGGTAATAACTATCCAGGCCTACTGATGCCTTCGTTGCGGATTCTGAAGACAAAAGCTCTAAAACTGTTTCACCGAACAGTTTGTGCTGCAAAATCAAAAGAACAAAATTTCAACAACCACTAAGCTTACTTCGTGATAGCATCCAGTAATCCATTAATAACTATTTCATTTTGGTCACGATCTCGACAATTCGAATGGTCTAGCAGTGATGAATTAGGAATACTACTGATTTGAGAGATAGTATCAGTAACTCGTTTCATTTTATTTTGTTGTGTGAAATTCATCAATTTATTCTGAAAAAAAAAGAAGTTACTCATCAATGAAATCCATTTAAAATGCTAATTTTTGCAGGACAAAAACCAAAATCATTGCAAATCATGACTGTGTCTTTTTTAGATAACAAGAAACAAATTTTACAAAATTATTATTGAAGTACTTTTGAGTGACTAAGAAAAGGAAAAAGAAAATTGTTTTGAAGGGAAAAAAATTTTATAACATTAAAATATTAGCTGATATATATAAGAAATTTCCCACATAACTGGATTTCAATTGGTTTCTCGACTTAACTCTCTTTAAATGATAACGTTAAAAAGAATATACCGGCATTATCTTGACAAAATTCATTTATTATAACCCAGAACTTCATGATAAAAATTTCCATAAACTATACATTTGTTGAAGAGAAGTAACACATTATTCTAATGGAAACCATTCGATATTGAAAACCTTTGAATTGATGACGAATATATGAATGTATGTATCATCGTATTATAAATGCTACCGCATGGTGCCAGTTATTGCCCTTATGGTGTTAACGTATTTTTGTTGTAACAAAAGATTTGCAAGCATTACTCTCGAATGCTTCATATTTATTTCAATATTTGTCTTATAATATAAACTGGAACTGTGGTTAGACTAATTTTTTTTGTCATAAAAAATAATTATACAAATGTCAATTGGTTGAATGGACAGAGAAAACTATTACTTCCATTTTCATTTCTGGCTTGTAACAAATAAGACTCTGATCACCATAGCACCAGTAAGTATTGAATGAATTTAATCAATTAGAAAATAATAACCACAAAAAGGAATCCATAAGATACATACTAAACACTTACCGAGTAATTTCCACTGTTGCTATTGAGGTTATAGGCAATAATTACAGTATTTATTGGTGTTTTATGTAAAATTTCAAAATTTATTTGGCTGTTATTGTCGCTATCCTCGGAATCGATTGCCGGTAAGCCTCAAACAGAAACGATTGAATAGAATTTGTGAAAAGTATGCCGGATAAAACTGACGATTTCTGCGCGAATTCTAACTGTGAAAGTTTGAAGAGTTATAGAATCATAAGCAACTTCAAGCTTTGAGTTTAAAAGAAACGTGCCATTGCTCAGCTCTTAAAAAACGAATGACAAAATTGAAACTGCACTGGATCATCTCCTACAGAAATGATGTCTACCTGGAATGTCAAATGTTAGATGTCCAGCTGTGGTCGTTGCCGCTACTGGTGACAATGGTAATGGCAGTGAAGAATTACTGTCGCAAATTTCTTTTGGTTGATATAGTGGTGAAGTTGAAAACGATGGTAACAAAGGCTTTAGCGATGAAAGCGGTGGTATTGTAGGATGTGGTACTGTTAACACAAACTTGGATGCAGGATGACTTAAAACTGTCGGATGTGCTGATGAATCAGTAGAAATGGCCTGATTTAATGAAAAGACTTCAGGGTCGGAATTTTTAATCAGATTAACTGAAGATGGATTTGAAGACTTGTTGCAATTAATCAAATCAGGAGCATGACCAGTATCAGTATCGGATGAAATAGACTGATCGGAATTTGATGATACTGATCGGATACTAATTTCCGAAACAAACTTAGTATTATGTATGTCAGTTGGAGTACGCACCGATGATAAACTGCTCCATTGGCTACCGCACAATTCGTTGTTCTCTTCCTACAAACATCAAATTATGGCTAATCAAACAAAGGTCACAGGTCACCAAGGTTACACTAAAGTTATCAATTGAGCGATGCCCTTCGTTCCTCACCTGTCCCACCTTTCTCCTAAAAATGTCTCGACCTTGACATCGCGCCAGTGTACTCGCTCATATACACAAATGTCATACAAATACAAAGCCTTTTTATGGGAATTAAAAAAAGGTAAAGAAATGATTGTTGAATTCTTTTTGGATTACTATTCATTCAGAATCAGTATAAAACTAAGGTTTCAAATAAAGTTATCATTAATAAATGATGTCATAGAAAACACGATAATGACGATTCATTAAAGATTCAACACTGCAATATGATTAGATTTGTAAAGAAGCTGACATGCAACTTTTGCAAGAAAAATTCAGGACTCCTTTAAAAACTTCTAAATGCCATTTGACAAATGGAGACAAACCCTTCACACTATTAAAACTTAAGAAATTGAAATTTCAACAAAAATTTGAGGGACACAACAACTTTTGCTTTCATCTGGTTATCTTCCAAATTATATTCAAAGTCATTGATGAGTCATCAGTGCAAATATTCGCCTATTTATCTGAAATTTCCAAATCGAGAAATCTAAATGGCAAAGAAGAATAGGGAAAGGAGGGTAAAGTGAATAGAAGAATTACTGAGATTCAAGGACACTGCCATTGGGTATAATGTCGTGTCTGAATGGAAATGAATAGTTTTTTGCGGACAGTTTAATTTCGGTTCTATTGCAAAAAAGGTTACCCACCCTATTTCCCACTCTTTCAATGATTTTTGCCGATTTAAGAAAAATTCGAAATCTTGAGTACATTTTTTAAGAAAAAAAAATATTCTGGTTCATAAGTCACAACTTTTAAAAAAAAAAGTTTAAAAAAAAAATCAATTTCAATTTTCTCAAAGATTGAAACACTTTTGAGTACAAAAAGACGATATTAAGAAGTGAAATCTTTAATATCCCGAATAAATTCTTCATGATTTTGAGCACATCAAAAAAAAAAAAAACTTCTATTAATGGTAAAATTAGGCTTATCTCAAAAATTTTCGACTTCTGCCAATAAATTTCTTGAACTTATTAATAATAATTCCACAATACAGTCAGTCCTCTACAGTTGACATCCATCAGTTATGAAATGAGGAAATTATCCAAGAAAGATTGTTTACGAAAAGTACTAAGTTTCATCACAATTTCGTGCAATGTAAACAAATGAAGTCACTCCCATTGCATTGTCAACGATAGCAGGGACATTCAATGAAAGTTAAGAATTCGAACGGTATAGGTAAAGCAGAATGAAAGGAAAAGAAAAGAAAGATTTTCTGTTTGTTTCAAAAAATGTACAGTTGATTCGAGATAGTTTTATATTTAATAAAAAGATAGTACTATAAGAAAAAAGACCGCAATGCAAATAATAAAGATGGCAATACAAAAGAAAACGAGCGTTTTTGAATTTGTTAATCGAAAAATTCACACGATTACAATGGTAAACAAGAACATGAATATTCAAAAAATTTATCCACAGATACTTAAACAGAGATACGACTGTTAACTTCATGTCCTTAGCCAGATATTACAATTCTTCATTCCTTGTTGGACCGAATGTGCAGTGGTGACAGGTGTTTGATGTTTTCTCTGTCAGCTCAGAATATCCGTCACACATCTGCATCCTTCTGTCATGTTTGTTGGCAGTATCTTATAATGTTTCGTTAATATTTCAGCTTTCAAAAGTGTTAAACAAAATATTTGTAGCATAATATTTTAATTTACAGTTAAATACTTAATCAGTGGTAGGCATACATTCCAAGTATTATTAGAGCTATTTGAGGGAGCTATTTGATAAAGCGAAATTCTCATCCCTCTTCTTCGCCAGCAGAGCATAAATTACAATCTTTTGATGTTAATCAATATTACTAAGACTTTATTTTTATAGCATTTATATTGGGGAACTTATATGAGCAAATGCATTTCTGTCAATGTAACTCAAAACTAGCAGTTAGTTCAAATGTTTGAGCTAAATAAAAAAGGACAAAAAGGAAATGGTTTGAAGACGATAACAATTAATTTAATGATCCCAAAATCTGTTGAATGGTAAACTTAGAAGTAAGATACTGCTTTGTTACGTAAACTGAATTATATCTCCTTTTTGGAAATGAATTCTGGTAGCAGTAGGAAAAGAATGCTTTAATGTCTTAAATACTTCTGTACGAGGGACATTCATTTCATCAAATATACCTTTAAATACCTGCATCAATTCGGTTCCTTGAAAAGCTGGAGTTTTATGGAATTAATAAAATTACTTCTCAAAATTAAACTAACATCGAGTTCTGGTATGGAGAGTAGACAGCGTTCCGTGTTATAAGTATTAGTGCCATAACGCAGGAAGTATTCAATATCTTGCGAACTGGAGCACTGCGTTACGAATTGTGCTTCCGTTAAGAAAGGTTGTTGGTGTCCAGTAGTAACAAGTTGGTCATCTGTTGACAGCAGCGCCCTTAATGATTCTATTGATGGTACTGACTCCATAGCAGTGGCAGCAACAGATGTCGTAGTGGAAACTGCACTAGCGCTTATACCACCGATGTCTTTGAGCGATGAACCGTGATGATCCTTCTTCCCACTCAGATCTACCGCTACTTCATCGCTTTTGGGAAGAAGCAGGCGCCATGCTAGTAGTAATGCCTGAAAGTTGCATGATATAACAAATTCATTTCTAGATTCCACATGTGTTTTTGCAAAGTGCTACACAGTCGTTATTAGGTTGTAAAACTTTTAGGTTTTTCTTTTTGCTTCTCCAATCGTTCTGTAATCTGATAAAAAATGAAGAGATGCACTATTCTCTGAATGAAAGAGCTTTGATCAGATGAAAGAGTTAAAATCTTTGAGCGAAATTTTCCAGTGAACTGTAAAAATGCTGTCATCATTATTATTTCTAACTGCTAATTATTATTGACCTTTAGACTAAATATCATTGATGTGGTAAATCTTGCAAAAATTACTTTACAAGCATCAAAGGGAATTCTGGAAAGTTATAAATGTTGTGAAATAATAAATAAAGTGAATAGTGTCAAGGAAATATAAATATTGTGGGAGAAATGTGAACTTTCACAGTTTATAACAGGAAACAAGTAGCTCAAGTTATTAAATGATTGTCACTTTCATATTTGCTAAAATATATATTTTTTCTACAAAAAGCAATATACACCAGTAATATGAGTGGATTCATACACCTAGAATTGTAAACAAAATTTACTGAAAAAAGGCACATCGGCAAAAGTGCAACTTCCTTTCTCCGTTTGCTTGAAAATTGACTGGTATTAAGTGAAAGGCATGCTGTCGTAAGCTACATGCCATGTCGTGCCTATTATAAGCTGCAATAAGTAGTACCACATGACATCATCAATACTTCATGCACATGCTTCAAAAATCAATTATAGATGTCAATTTAGCAGGTAAAGGTTTAATACAGTGGATAAATAAAGAAATTATTAATTTTCATTGTGCTATCAAGCAAGCACTAACTTGCACAAGGCATACACAAATACAAACACTCAAAAATAGTACTACAACATATAAAATTCGAGGAAAGAGTAAAGGTTGAAAGCTATCATTTTTCAACGTTCCTCCAAAATACCTTTAATTTGTTTTTTCCACATATTTTTATGGTTTGATTTTTGCAAAAATGTTACTTATATATACGAAATTAAAGCAACCTAAAAATTTTTTCAAATACATTTGCAATAAGCAATAATCAAAAAAAGATGCAATGAATTATTACAACTTAATAATTAAATTTTTAATGGTATAGAGAGAATACTCAATAAATGAGTCAAAATAAAGTGAAAACAAACTCATTTTAAAGAAATCAAATAATGACTTGCAGAAATAATTGGTAAATTTAATGAAATAATTGGAAGAGAAGGAATTAAAGCAATCTAAAAAATGTTTTTTTTTTTTTTTTTTGCAATTTATTAAAGGAAAGAATTGAAAATTTATGACTGTTAACATACAGTGATAATTGCCAGAAATTAAAGAAATGAGAAAATTTTTATAATTCCTAATGACTTCAATGGTTAGTTTCTCTTTATTGGTGGTACAATCGTTTTAGTAACATTAAAATTGATTTCACATTGGTAATGAAATGAACAATGAGTCAAAATAAATAGTCAAAAAAAAATAAACAATGAGTCAAAAAAAAAAATGTGAGTCAAAGAGTCAAAAAATAAAATGTTTCCGATCTTTGAACAATGAGTCAAAAAATAAAATGTTTCTGAACTTTTTTGAAAGGATGACATCACACTTCAATTATTTATCTTATTTTCCCATCACTTTGTTAAAAAAGCACACTATTACAATTGAAAAATAAAAAGCTTAAGAAGAATGTGTCTAGAGAAGGAGAAGGTTTTGTTATTTTTTGTTTTCGTAGTAATTCATCAATTAGAAAAGTTCACTGATTATGTGTGAAATCCTTTTATTGAAAACTCAAGGACATAAGAATAAGTTTAATTTCAATTAATGGTAATTAAAGAATCTTTCCATTATTCGAAATTAACAATAGTAAAATGAAAAATCAGTTTTAGATTTCTCAATGATTAAAAATGATCTGAAATGAATCATTCAACTGTTGCTACATTGATGATACTAACAGTGTCCCTGTATCGTTCTCTTTTTTGGCATCTGTTCTTTTTCCTTTTTTTTTTTTAAAGAATTGTTAGTTATTTTATTAAAATCGAACTAGAAATTTAGATTCTTATTCAAATTTTTAATGATCACCAACGTTAAATTCAAATCAAACTATTTTTGCGTCCTTAAGATTTCGATAAACGGATTTCACACACTTAATGAGTTTATCTAAGTAATGAATTACTAGAAAACGATGATTAACAAAACGTTCTTCTCTATGCCATTTCTCTTAGGCTTTTTCTTCTTCAATTGTAGCAGTGTACCTTTTTTTATAAAGTGATAGTAAAAATAAGAAAAGTAATTAGAAATTAAAAAAAAGGAGGAAAATAAGAAAAAATAAAGTAATAGTTTCCTTTTAAAAAAAATCGGAAATATTTCACATATTTATGAAATTCTTCAAGAACATCGATCAGAGCTTGCATACATTATAAGTTTAATAATGACTTTTTATCACCGTTGCTGTTTGTTTCATTATTGTGACAGGAAAGCAGAAGAAAAGAAAGTTCAAAATTGTCTTTAACTTTTCATAAAATATTGTAAATTGTGACGATCAGAACTAATGTTCAGCAGTAAGAAAAGCTAAAACATAACACCCAGTTTTAGAAAAACCATTAATAATAAATAGCCTTGACATTGTTATACCCATTCAATCAAAATGAAAAGCAATTGGAATTTGAATCTCTAAATTTACTGAATGGAGTAATGAAAATAACAACTACAATGTAATTGAAAAGAAAAGATAGAAGAAAACGGAAAACGAATATGACGTTTCTACGAATCAGATTTGATCTATTTTTCAGAGCATTGCAGACATGATCATTACTGTTAAAAGATAAAGTAAGTAATAGTGGTTTAAACCTTGACTATTAATTGTGTTATGCCGACAAAGACTGTACACATACAGAAAAGATAAAGAAAATGGAAATCAATGCTCCAGTTCCTGGACTAAATGGTGATTTATTTTTGTCTTTAAAAACAGAAAGGAAGTGATTCGTAAGCAAGAAATTGCAAAAAGTGATCACGATTAATTGTCTCCAAATGGAAGGCACAACACGCTTACTAATTAGTTCCTTTAAATTCTCAAACAAGATGAAAGTAAAACAAGATATTATAGTAATCTCTTCGTAGACTAGCTTACTGCTGTAGAGTCAGAAGTGTAATCGGCAATTACAGACTGATAATGTTGTTGACAGTGAGGGTTGTCAACAATTGCAGTGAAGGTTATTACAGTCATTCGTTACTACAGTTATCAAAGGTCACCAGTTCAAATTAATGTTCTTGCTTCTTCGACTCACTCGTATTATTATCTGATTATAAATAAATTTTTCGTTAAAAGCAATAAGCTCACGCAGGACTAAAAAAATTTAATAATTTTTCTCAAAATGTTCAATAAATAGGCAAAAGATTGGCCTATTCAGTAGGAAGAATTGATTCGGAAATGCAATTATGATTATGAATAATTAATAGTTAAGGTTTGAAAAAATAAAGGGATCTATAAAATGGCCGCAACATTTCTTCGAAAATACATTTCTTCGTTCGACCAAATTACTTTTTGCGAACTAAATCTAATTTATTTTCACAACGAAAATAGTGGCAGGAAGATGAAGGCATGTGTTTCCTTTTTTTCTAAATTCAGAAACTTTATATCCAGTTTAGAGCAACTTTCATTGATAATTAGAGAATACGCTTACCAATGGCAGACAGCCACTGCAAATTAATGGAGTTGAAAATTGATTTGTTGATCTTTTGCATATTCCCTAAATGTCACCACATCTTTCTCATTATGAGAAAATGAGATGTTCAGGTAACAGGGAAAAATAGAAAAAAGTTTGAAAAAAAATGCTTTTAGGAAGCGTCAAGAAATGACAGTTCTATTATACCAAAGTTATAGTTACAGTAAACTGTAAGCTAAAGTACAAACTGAATGAGTAGAAAGAAGTGTAAGATGAAGGTGGTTAAAACTGCAATCATCTCGAAAAAGTGAATAATGGCAGTATAAGGATATAATTTTCCATCATCTAACTAAATGCAAAGAAGAGGGCTTTGGTCTCAACATATTTTCTGGTTTAAAGGAAACTTTATTAAGAAAGAACAAAAAAACTAGGTGATAATTTTTTCTGTACTTATACTTTTGTTTATATTCAACAAGATCGTAGTTTCGATATTGAACTTATTAATATAACCTGATGCAAATCCAAATGGAATGATTGAACAGACCTTCTTTCCTAATGTGATTTATTTTATTGTTATTCACTGTTTCGTTTAATCTTTTTTTTCTTCTCTTCCCATCAGAAAAGAAGATTTCCAACTTGACCACTTTGTCTCATGATTTGAAAAAAGACTATGTGAAGTTTATTGGAGTATGTTATATATGTTTCGCAAGCATTTTTTGCTTTCAATCAGCAACTTAATTGCAAATGATAGGCAACTCAAAAAAGACTGACGTAATCGGACGTGAAGTGACGAGTGACTTTGCTTTTAGTAAGGTCGAGATCGTCGAATGTTGGTAGAGTGACTCTTACCGATGAATATAAGAAATATTTGCTGTTAATTTTAACAGCAAATATTCTAAAGACAACGAACTAAGCACAAGTCTTATTAGAGCCGGCAAGAAAATATTCTGAACTTCGCCAACCTCATTTGACATATTTTATAATTTTAAATTAATTTCGTGTAAAGAAGTTTAATTATCCATAACAATAGAAAAGCAAAATGGCAATAGGCTATAAATATTGCTTCATTTCTTCCTTATTTGATCTGTGTTGCTGTTTTTCTGATTAGTTTTTTTTCCAGTTTTCTATTCATTGAAATAGCAGACTTGCACTTTGAGAACACAAATTCATTTTGATAAGATCAGAAGTAGCTTCTGTAGAAAGGGTGAGAAGAACTGGCATAAATTTATGCTAAACATTTTCTAGTGCTTATCAAAGTGCCATCAAACAAAGATTTTAGAAATTCTACTGGAAAAGTCGAAAGAAGTTTTAATGGTATAATATTTTTTGGGGGTTTTGCAATGCAATTAGTGCATATTTTTTTAACAGATTTTAAGTGTTTTTCAGCAACTACCGACAACTTTAAAATATTAGTGTTTTTACACAAATTTTTTAATTCTTAAAAACTAACAACACGGAGAAATAAAAAAATTTGTACTCGAAAAGAATAGAGATATGACTGTTTTAAAAAATTTAGCTCAACAATAATATTACTAAAACTTTCCACATTTAGAGCAATTAAGATTAATTTATAATAAAATTAGAACTAACGGTGAAAGCGGCGACAATGATATCAATGAAGTTGCTGAAAGGTTTCTGAAATGTGACTGAAGCAGATTTAGTTGTTACTGTTGTTGCATGCGTTGATGATGGTAATGACCCTGAAGATTTGATGTCCTTTTTCAATAAAATAGAAAGCTTCGATTTCAAAATTGTCATTTTAAATGTGAAATTCTAAAAAAGATTTCTATGCTAAGTTTTAGTATATTTCAAACTAGCGGAACGTGTTCCTAAAGATAGTTTCACTTGAATTACAAATTGGAACAGTGTATGAATGCACGAATTACTGAATTCTAATCTTCAAATATTTCACTGATACATGGAGTCTACTTTTAAAGCCAATATTTTTGTTTACTGATTTTATTTACTGAAATAACTTGCGAAACGGAGTTTGTATTCAGAATGTAAACAGAAATATCACTGTAATAAACAGAACATATTACTGACCTGAACTTGTTGTAATTGCTAGCTCCGTAGATAGTCGTTGTTGTTGATGGGTAGTGCTTCTTGTAAGCACAAGTGGTCTTTCCGATGTTGACATAGTATAGATAGATCTATCTTACTTAAGCTCAAATCAAATCAAAACTCAAATCAAATTATCAAAACTTTAGATTCCTTCGATATATTGTGCTGTTTACTCTCGATCGTCAGGTAATAGGAAGTTGATAAGGTTGAGAATATCAAAGATTAAGTTCAGAGCTGAAATGTTATCCATAATTTCGGTAGAAAAAACAAATGAAGATGTCTTTGATATAGAAAGAAGGAAAAAAGTAAAAGAAAGGGAAACAAAGAATAAAAATTGCTGAAGCTGAAATAACATTCACGAAAAACGGTCAAATGAGTAATAACAAGTATTGTGTTTATTCCACATAGCACCTTAGTTTTAAATAAAATTATGCATACCAATCAAATCAGATGATAGTGTCCAATATCAGTGTTACTATAATCGGTATTGTCAGTATTGTTAGAAGTATACCTCAAGAATCCATTTGTCATCATTGAATATGATCCATCAGAAGTATGAACTAGAAGCAATAAAAGGTAATATCAAGGCTATCACAAAATAAATTAAATTTATATCAATTAAAATTTTCCAAACGGTAATTTAGATCTTTGCTAATTTTTTCAGTTGCTAAAATTTTTAACGAAAAGAAAAAAATTTTCGGCAGGTCACTGAGTTTAAAACAATTTCGAACGTTGGCAATTGTCAGAAATTATTGTAAGCAATACTATGATAGAGTTCGATTCAGTTCAATGGCAAATGATGCCATCGTTTTGAATTTATGATTCTTTTTGTAGATGCATGCATGCATATTCATCTGATATTTATTATATGTATGTGACACATACTATTTGTGTTTGCTGCAGGTGTGTGTACGATATGAGATAGTATTAAACCCAGAGATGACCTTGAATCAATGAGCGCAACATTTAAACGATACGTTTTATTGTCCTAATTGTATTAGGAATTTCATCTTCATCTGTTCCAAATAAAATTTAAACTTTGGTGTATTCTTTAGTTCAAGTGAAATGATTAAAAATGATTTTTTATTTTTTTGACGCATTTTGCGATTAGAAGTGGAGCACGTAAGGCAATAATGACCTATACATAGAATGATTATAGGTAAAAATGAAACTGATCGGAAATGAGATTATAATCTGGAATATGAATTTCGCTATCGCAGTGTTATACAACACTTGTAAATTAAGATTTTTTATAGAATTTGAACTTAACTGCAAAAAAAAAAGACTAAAAGAACTGATAGTTCTAAGCAGCTAAGTTTTAACAACAGCACAACAATGCATTTCTTTTCTATGCACTTCGATCGCGTGGACAGTCATGTCAAACACGTATCCCTTCAGATGTCGTCATCAGTCAGTCAGTCTGTCGCGAGCCGCACTGCAACCTGCATTGCATGTAATTCACAAGCCACGTCATCGTTAAGTGTGTTCCTTGCGGTTCAGAATTTTGTATTTGCGTTGAGACCATTTAAAACTATTGAAAGGTTTTGAAAATAGAGGCAGGAAGATTTCAATATAATATATTTGGATATTTTTGATGAGTACTTTATCAGAGTGGATAAGGTTTTATGAAAGAGGATGAATCGAAGGGCCCAGGTGAGTTTGTTACTATGTCATCACAGGGAGATAGGCCGGTTGCTGTCATATAATGTTGATAAGAAGGACGACACATTCATCACGCCGTTCTATCGTCAACTGTAATTTGTTCAGACTGTGGAACAGTTCGCCTATGTTCATGGCAATGTCGCAGAGTGTGTCATTCTTCCGAACAATACTAACCTTCTCTTTCTTCCTTTAACTTTACTTGTTATAACAGGTTCCAGGAAGATATACCAGCACCTATATTTCTTCCTTACACTTATTAAGTTGTTTGTTGGTGGATGGGGGAAATTCTAGACCAAGAAAGATAGAATGAGTAAGAATTGAAGCATAACAAACGGTAGACATGATTTTGGATCTAATCAACTATCTTGCTTTATTTTTTGCAAATATTGGCTTAAAAGAAAAAGTATCTCTGAAATACGACCCTGAAATCCTGATACTTTTATTATCATCGTATTACTCATCACGCTAATTGGTAAATGATAGGAAAACTATAAGCGTAATAAGTGTCGTTAGCAGGTAAATGCTTGAGTCAGGCGATTACGGCGAAAAAAGAGGAACGGACATTATTGCGATTGATATTGGAACGACAGCAATTAAGGCTTGCCTGTACGATTCACGTTGCCGACTCGTTAGCTATTCCAAAGAATCAGTAAGAGGAAGCTGTATATTCTTTTGAAGTGTAACAGTTCTTATTGAAGTACCGAAATATTTAAATTTAAAGCTTTGAAGTTTGGCTTTTTCCCAACTCAGCGTCATGTTTAGTCCTTCGTGAAATTTTATTATTTAAGTATAAGGAATGAAATTAACTGGATCTAGTGAGAATGGCGAACTTTTCCTTTGCTTTCAGTGGTTAACTAATACAACTGATCTTTCAAGCACACTGTCAACAAAATCGTTGTTTTGACACAAGCGCTATCAGTTTCTTTAATATGATAACACATCATTAAGTTTTTTTTCAGATCAGTGTCCAGTTTAAAGGTGCCACTGAGGATGGTCTTCGCGCAGAAATTGATCCTGATATTCTTTGGAATCAGTTGGTTACATTGGTTTCTGAACTTTGTATGGCTTGATTATTTATTGGGACAAATTATCAAGCGCTCAATGTTAGGCGAAATATGAAAAATGAATGAAGTTTTCTGGCACCAAAGAATAACGTTTTTTAAACTTCTTTATTAAATAATTTATATTTGTCTTATCAATTAATCTTGTATGTTTACTATTATTATCCAGATACATTACTGTGTTGTTAATTACTTTATCATCTTATCAATTATTACTTTATTTTATCGTTAATTTTTTATTCCTATAAAACACATGCAGGATATCTATCCACAAAAGAGGATAGGTGCAATATCGATAAAACAACAATGGGGTAGTTTTTTAAACAACGTTATTAAAAATACTTGATTGCAGTGAATAAGACAAACCGTGATGCACGAGCAGTAGTTGGTATGGGAATTAGCTGCCAAAGGAATACATTCATTTGTTGGAATAAGTAAGTTTTATAAATAAATTTTACTTTTTTGAAGTGAAAGGTTCATTTCCACAGCTTCAGGGAAAACGGAAAACCCTGTCATCGACTAGTTACTTGGAAAGATTGTCGTGCACGGGAGGAATGTAAGAAGTGGAACAATTCGTGGTCTATAAAAGTATTTATTTCATTTTTAATATAAAGTTTTTTATTTCAAACATTCTAGACTTAGTGGAATATGTGGTAACTGCAAACATTATATTATTATAGAGCTATAAATTCTACCATCCAGCAAAAATTATGATTAAACTTTTCTTGTTTTATAAACTTTGTTTTACATTTGTATTACAGGCGATAAATTTAATTGGTTATATCTTGCACAAACTAACGCGGTCTGCAAGATGTATGGCTGCTCGAATATTCTCCTTTTTAAATGCGATGGTGACTCATCGTTTTTTAGTCACTCTTGCTGAAGTTAGTAAATTTTGAGTAGTGATGTTGGTAAATTTCCATATCATTGCATGAGCGTTTAACTTGGTTATTACTATAATTCTTTAGAATGCGGAAATGCAACGACTGCTTAAGCAAGGAAAACTAGCCTTTGGTTGTCTCGATACTTGGTTAATATACAAACTTTCTGGTGGTGTCGTTTGTGTTAGTGAACCTTCTAACGCAAGTAGTACAGGATTGTTTGATCCTTACACGGTCCATTTTTTCTATTCATTTCATAAACTCTCTACTTGCTTGTTTTACTTTTAATTTTATATTATTGATTTAACTGTATAATACAATTTTCTTTATTGTAATTTCTGTATCACATGAAATATTTACCTCGTATGGTTGCAAAGTATACCCTTAAAAGAACCAAAAATAAACTTGTAATAATTCATCTTTCTTTATTATGCTGTTAAGTTGAGGGTGAGCCAACTTGCTGCAGGTAATGAAAATAATACTGATTTTATTATGAGCTGTAACAGGTTTACACTTCAGATGGAGTGGGGCTACAGCTTATTGCAATTCCTTTCCTTTCCTACATCAGTTCTTCCACGTCTTTCGTTTTCTGCTGGAGTGACGCTTGCTGTTACCGATAAGAAGTTATTTGGCGCTCCGATTATTGTAGCTGCTGCCGTAAGTAACCTTCACATACCGCTGACATCTTCGTCGTCCTTTTTTTAAAACATTAATATTCTGCGTATTTAGGTTCACTTTTTGCCACATAGCGTGACTTTTTCTACATATACTTTAGCAATATTCATTATTTTCTATTATTTATATTAATGTTGATAAGTCGCTTGTAGTTATTCTCCATTTTGCTAGATAGAGTAATTTTGTTCAAAGGCAATTAAAATTCACTAATAAATACGTTTCCATTACTAAATAATTTTAAATCTTGTAAGTTAATAAAACTGGATTGATTGGTCACGAAAAAATATGCTGAATGATACTATAATGATGAAATAATAGTATATCTTATGCAAGGCAGGTGATCAGCAAAGTGCTCTATTTGCTTGTGGTTGTTGGATAGAAAATAATATTGTAGTTTCACTTGGTACTGGATCCTTTGTCGACGTCAATACTGGCGCATCACCTCACTCTTCTCTTAAAGGTGCTTCATTTATTTATATATTTTTTTCATTTTTTTCTTTTTTATTGTGTTGAATTACTTGTTAGCTATTGAAGGTTTATACCCCTTGGTCGGGTGGAAATTTCCGAATTCAGTGAAATTTGTTGCGGAAGGATGCTCTCAGGATACTGCAATAATTTTGCGTTGGGCAGAATCTATCGGCTTATTTGAAGATATCGGAGTTACTTCACGAATGGCTCAAAGTTGCTCGATTTCTGGTAAAAACTATATTTTTTATTTTACTTTAAAAAATGTCACTGTTTAGGACTACATCTTCAGCCATCACATTTGTTGATAGCATATGCTTTGTTATGAACTAGATTGAAACTAACCGGTAGTATTTAACATAAAACAAGATGTAGTGAAACTTGGGACTATCTGATACTTGTAGCTTAGAGTCGAATTGGATCTTTCGTATGTTCAAGTGCCTTCCTTGATTGTTGTTGTAGTTGCTATAGACATTGATTAAAAGATCTGCTGTAACGATTTTATTCACTAGCAATCGCAATACATAGGTATTAATCTATAACAACAATACACTGGTAATTTCGTAGAGTATCTACGAATAAGATGAAGAGAATGAATAAATTGATGGGGACCTTAAAAGATTTAAATAAATGAATTAAATAAGAAAACTAGCCGAACTGTAACTTGTTGGTACAAGAAAACTGATGAAGACAAATCCTCATATAGTGGGCATGGACTTGCAACAGGGTATGATTTAAAGAGCTACAGATGATCTTTACCCTTATGTAGTAGGTGATGAGTTTTAATATTGTTGATTTCTCGTAAGAATGACTATTAGAAAACCTTTACGATATTGCAAGGAAATTTGGTTTGAAACAAAGGAATAATTTTTAACATATTAAACAATGCACACATCCTTTGTTAACAGTTAAAAGTTTCTAGACAAGCAGATAAGCTCAGCTACAATGGGAAGATGAGTGTTGGAATCAATTAAGACGGATTTTAGTATTATGGATTAACACAATTTTATTAAATATATTTTATAAGTTATATGGAGGTTCGCGAGATTTATTTCGAGTTTCGCGACACAAGGTGCATGCTACGGATTAAACATTAGCATCATACAAATTCCCATTTCAAATCAGTAACTGTTAAAGCAGAACTAAAAAGTGTGAGGGATTAAGCGGCATTGGTTTATTTGCAGGCTTGTACTTTATTCCCGCGTTCTTTGGTATCCAGACTCCACTAAATGACGATACTGCATGCTGTGGTTTCTTGGGCATTCGTCCAGACACTACTAAAGAGCAGATGGTCCGCGCAATGCTTGAGTCTATTGCATTTCGAATCTATCAAATATGGAAAACGGTTAACGACGAAATCGGCACTTGCTCTACGGAATTTGTTAGGTATGTCTTCCCATCATCATACAAATCATTCAAACTTTCATAACTTGTTTCAATTTCTTCAGTTCTGAAACTTTTTATAGACTGAGATTGTCGGTTTAACTGATATGTAACATAAATTTAATTTTTTATAGTTGAGTGATTGAAGGTTGTTTTGTAGATGTTGTGGTGGTGTATCGATGAATGATTTTATTTGTCAAACAATTAGTACTCTAATCAGACTTCCGTTACAAAGAATCACCAGTCCAAGTTTTGCCTCCGCATGTGGTGTTGCTATGATGGCAGGAATCACATGTGGTTTGTGGAAGAAGGATGACTTGGATGATCTGATTGATATTGAAAAGACTTTTGTTCCAGATTTTTCCATTCGCAAGAGATTACTGCACGATTTTAAAAAGTGGGAAGCAGCCATGCAGAGATGTCTCCATTTTTACGACACCTAACAGACACATGGCAACCGTTATCTCATTCAGTGAATCTAAAAAAAGCTTTCGTTTAACTCTCGAGAATTGAAAATTTAAATTCGACAGTTCTAGGTGCTCAACACATTGTTTATTGATTCATATACTAGTAACTGATATTAATTTCACAAGGGAGTTTTATTACTTCACTAGTTGATCTCTATCTGAAAAGTGTAATCAGTATTTGATCAGGAAGGATATAATTTGGGATATAGGATTCCTTTACATTGTCAGATAGGAAGACTGATACCCAGTCAGCTGGTCATTTAAATAGTATAGGTAAGCTAAGAAACTGACAATGTCTCTGATACTTTCGAGATCCAAGTTTACGGTTTCATAACGATAAGCCAAAATAATCCACCCTGATAATGATTACTGATGTCTTTGTTGTACTTGTTCGTGTTGTCTCACGAACAAAACTTTAAAAAAGGTGCTACTTTTCAAAATTTTAGTTTTCCTCTTCCAAACAAGATCTATGGAAGCGTCCATATTTTTAAGGAAAAAACAAGATATAATGAAGACATTCCTAAATCTTGATTATGGGCGTACAAACTGAATTAACGTTTCTCTTTTACATACATTGTTATCTACTGCCGTATTCCTTTCGCGCTTAAAAATATCCTATTTAACTAGTCGAATATTTGCATTGATTTATACCGTAATGTTTCCCAAAGCATATGCTTATGTTTTTTTCATCTTATTTTAGTGTAAACGATGTGGACCCTTCAGGTGCAACAGTTTTGTTTCTGGTCCTCTATGTTACCTTACAAGTACCTGTTATCGTATCTCATGCCTAGTAAGAACTTCGCATACGGTGTTCTATTGTGTTTCTGGGGAACTGCTAAATTCATTTATTGAAGAGGAAGATCTAAGAAGACATTAATCTCTGAAAGAGATTTGGACCTCAAAAACTGGCTTTCGCACGTATGTCACGCACTTGATGAGGCCTACTGCACTTTTCGCATAACTGTAATTGGAGTTCATCCAGTACGAACATTTCCAAAGCCAGTTCTTTGAACGGTTTGGTACATGGCCTCCAGCCTTAACTTCCAAAACACAGGAAAGTATCCAAATTTTACATTTTTCTTTGAATGGAAATATTGCATTCGATGATTTATTAAGCAAAACTCATATATACATGCATAGCAATATGAGATGGTAAAAATTAGGCTAGTACTTCATTACCAGTCCAGAAATATTGAAAATGTTCACTGTCAAGTTTACAAGTGATATCAACCCTTTCACGTTTACCAAGAAAACTGTAGCGATGCCAAATAACCATAATTTCGCTGTAAGCATATTTCTAGGGGCACACCAAAGATTCATTGCTGATGACTAGAATGCAAGACGGATGTTTTACATAGATGTTATGCAAGCTTATGTGTAGGAGGAATTACATGTCCAAGTAGATTAGATGAGGTTTGAACATGAACGTTAGCAAAATGTGGCAAGCGAGTATTCTAATTCCATCAAAGAGAGATGTGCTGCCCAAATTCTACAACAGGACAGTTTACCTAAGGCTTGCGTTGTGAAAAAAAAAAAAAAAAAAATTGCTGAAATAATCCATATATACCCAATTTTGTGAAGAAGCAAATAAATTACTCCAAGAGAAAAAAAGAAAAAGAAAGGTTTAACCAAAGTGAAATTGGAATGAAAATGGGCCACTGTTTTCACCAAACGAAAATCCGCTCTGAAAAGGATGATGGAAATCTCCTTGTTGCTGTTGCTCTGGATCCAGCGGATCTTCTCCTCTGTCAAATTGTGCTCTTTTTTCTGGATCAGTGAGTACCTGCAAATTCGTCCTTTGCGGTACCGTCATAACATCTGAGACAGTAAGGTTTAAGTCAGTATTTGAGGATATCACTCTAGTATAAAGGTCAGAAAAGAAAAAAAAGAACCTCTTTCGCAGCTGCAATGTCAATAAAATTCTTCTCCGCTATTTTTTTCTGCTTTTCGTCACTGAAATTGTCTGGATGCCATTTTCGTGCTTTCTTCCGGTACGCTTTGATAATGTCCATTTTATTGGCATTTCTAAATAAGTTTCTTGAAAATTCGATTAAATCTGAGCGAACTTGCGTTCATCCAGAATGATCTGGAAATTCCTGGACTTTAGGTATTGTCTTGAATTCTTTCAGCAGTGCAAGTCATAATCACTAGGAACAAATGAAATTGTTATCAAATCAAACATTCTGGAAGTTCAGCTTCTCAACAGGATTGAAAGTGAAAATATTTTTAAGTCAAAATTCATCACCTCATCCCTAAAAAAGATGGAAAAAAGTTATTATCTAGTAAACTTAACTTTTGTAAGCATGAAAAATGCCTTACTTTCTGATGCCAAGGATTTTGTAGTAATCTCTTCTTCCAACCTGTTTTTTCAGTTTCTGCGCCCTATGAAGACCTTCTCTAGCTCGTCGCGATTCTTCATGCCCACTTAGTGCTTTCTGATAATCTTCAATTGCTGAAAAATAGTCTATTCATTTTACACCAGTTTTCAAATTTAAGCACTTGCCTCAAAATACAAACATAATAACTTTGTATATTTTTTGTACACACCTTCATCATACTTTTCAAACATTAAAAATGCTTCTGCTCTATCGCAAAGTACATCGACATCATTCGGATCACCAACTTTGAGCACTTCTGAACAAGCCGCTATCGACTCAGCAAAATGCCCAGCCTAAACACGAGTTCCTGAAAAACTTGTCAACTAGGAGCCAATCGCACAGCGAAAGGCTTCCTCGAGTGAAAAACCTACATTTTCGTTGAAATGGAAGTCTTACAACTAACTATCGATCATTAGCCCCCAACTACAACTCCCAATATTGCATTTCACCTATGTATAGTAACTCTAAATATCAATGTGAAAGTTAAGGTAGCAAAAGAAGCAACGATCAAGAAACAAAAAGAAAAAAAGAACGATTCCAAATTACCACTTGAGTTGCCGGTATTATATAGAGTTACTTGCATGCTCAATCATTAAAGTTGTGTGCTGGGAAAGATAATTCTTTTCTACTTTCATGACCTTTCGAAACCAGTTTACTGATCGAAAATCTAATCAGTTAAGAGTATCGAAGCAACTTACATTTAGATTACATTTGCACGTTTGCCTATAAACATCTAGTTGGATATTTTCCACTTTTTTCTCAGTTTTCAAAATTTGCGTCGCTTTGTCTAAACAATCCATCCATCGTTCTTCTCGCACTAGCTGATTAAGTGACTCACGCATTTTTGCAAGTTTCTTTGCTTTTTTATAAAAAGGAAAACACAGCTCGTCATCTGGATTCAATTTCAAACATTCCCGTACTTGGCTGAAACAATCTTCCTGATTATATGCTACCTTTTTCCTAAGTTGGTATCTTTTAATCAAAAATACTACTTTGCTTCTAATATGGAACTTCCGTAGTATGGATACTATATCAAACTATTCTCTTTTTCTGCAATAACTGTAGTTACAAAAAATTTATCATCTTATAATTAAAATGGTGATAACTTTATTGAAACAAAATAAAAATTTAGACAATACAATGTAATGTATCACAGCTCCTCACCGTTCAAAATAGTATATACTTTTTTTCAAAGTCCAATTCAAAGTAGTGTATGCTAAGTAAAATATTTGAAATTCGTATAGCTTAAAGACTTGAAAAATGTAAATATATTGAAAGAAACATTACTTTAACGATTCTTCAACATCACCCGTTAAATAATAAAGCTGTGAGATTTTGTAGAATGTCTCCGTGCTGTCCGGCAATAACTTCGTAACAGTTCTATAATCTGCAATTGCCTTTTGCACATCTCCGAGTTTTTCTCGACATTTTGCACGATTTTTGTATAAATCCGCATACCACTGACAAACCTGATTTTTTTCTTGGGATTATCTCATGATTTCACAATACACAAAATAGCAGTAATCACCAGATCAAGCACGAAATATTTTGCTGCTTTCTAGATCACCGAATACTATTCTATCTTCCGCTGCATTAATTAATTCAGGTAACATAAATCTGTTCTGTACATGTTGTTGAAAGTCTATTTCTCTACAATAAAAATTAACCAAACAGCAAATGACATAGAGCTGAAAAAACCTTAACTTGCTCTAATTTCTGTATTTCAGGTTAAATATGAACTAATCACTTAAAAAAAATAAATTTCATATAAATTTCATGAGAACCGGTGTTGCCAGTTTTAATATAGTTTCGGCCTTACAGAACAAATCACGTCAATAAAATGTTACATTTATATCAGTTGAAAAAATTTCTAGAAGTATTATAGGTTGAGCGGTACAAGGTTCTCATCTAGAATGTTTACATCATACACCTTCATACTGCCGTAAAATGTAAATATTCAAACAAACAAACTTGGAAAGGTAAAAGTGGTTTAAAAGCATAATCATCAAATCAGAATTTGAACAACCTCAAAACTTTGACAGCCAAATAAAGACGAAGAATTACTTTTATGGCACTACTATAAAGTGGCTCTGCGGAAGCGAGGTCACCGACATCAAAATAATCATCAGCTTCCTCAATGATTTGCCTTACTTCTTCAACTGATGACAACTTTTTCGACACATCTGTATTTGAAGGATCTGCTTTTGCCTATAAATATATTTAAGATATAAGACATATCCTGTTGTAACCTGGCTGATGGCAAACAGTTACTGAAGTTACAAATTTCTGAATGAGAATGCGTTTCAAATCACAAAACCGGCACAAACGAAAGCTAAAATCCTACAGCAGCCTCGAAATCGGCCTTTGCCTGATGTATATCGCCTTGCTTCAACAGTACATTTCCTCTTTCGATGCGAGCCTTTAACAAAAGTTTGCTTAATAAAACTATATTCATTAACTGAAAGTTTATCTGATTTAAAAATTAGATATATTTTTCGATGTAAAGAAAAAATACTTACAGCGATAAAGTCTGGTTTCAGTCTAATCACTGAATCCAAATCGGGTAGCGCTGCTTTGGATTTACCAATAGCGAGGTATACTGTTGCACGACTATATAGAGTCTGATAATTTTTGGGATCTGAATCTGCAATGTATTGACGACATAAGATCTTTTTCTTTCAAAACACATTTGTGTAAAGTAGTTGGACTCAGAGTTCGATGGTAAAAAAGGGTGGTAGTAACACCAAAACAAAAATAGTATAAGAACAAACCGATGGCAGCATGATAGTGACTTAAAGCATCGGCAAACTGACCCTTAGAAAGGAACTCTCTTCCCATTTCCATATGTTTACTAGCTTCCATTCGGCTACAGTCTACTGCTGAAAAATATATTCTTGGCCTCAAATTCCAGAAATATTTAAAATTTTATCACGAATTGACTTTAAACACTGTATTACCTCGAAATACAAGTACCATGAAGATCCATATCAGATCAGCTTGCCAATACACAAAGTCCCAGTTAATCACTACCCCGGTATATCTGTTTTCTGTCCAGTACAACGGCATTATAATCTGTATAGATACAAAAATTAGAAGACAGAATTCGAATTCAACAACAAATATTGAGATTTGAATAACGAGAAATAATTTGGAATATCACATGTTGTTTTACAAGGAAATCAAAGTTTTTATGCTACTGCATATCAGCACTTCCAAAATTTCAGGAGTGCTACAATAGATTTGATTAGGAAATTAGTACGACTTCTCCATTTCTGACAACGATAGACTAGAGAACAATTTAGATACTTTCTCATTACTTGTTGCTAGACAACCACCAATAAGCAAAATACAAAGTTAAACAATTCTTGAAATAGAATTTTCAAAAGAAGACATGAAAAACGTCTCAGTAAACTTAAGAACATTGGTGCAGAAAAACAGCCAAGAAATTCAGGCTAGAATCGACATAAATCTTCAGGAAAAATATATCTCGACTATTCTACCAGCACACCCTAACTCAGTGAAGCACCATTCGTCAGAAAATTAATTTAAAAAATGTTAGGTACATATCAATTAAGCAACGTCACTTCATTCAATACCGTATGCAATACATCTTTGCAAGACAAATTGTTATTAGTTTTTTTTCCTGGGATAAAAGGATCGATTAACGGACAGTGCTATTCCTTCTGAGTGCTTTTCTTTCGAGGAACCAATTAGCTATATAGTTATTGAATTTGAAAGAAAATAAACCAAAGGCCAAAGACTTGAGTAATTCTTCGAATTGATGTTGTCGTTGGCATTATGCCAGGTTTGAGACTGTGTATTCCCTTTACCCACTAGTTCCTTATTGTTTTCATGTGTTTCTGTTGGGGGTGTTTGTACCATGGGAAGAAGACCGCGTATACAATGTAGTAGGAACTGAGTATCTGGAATGACGTTCAGGTATCTGCCGGCACGCATCTCGCAAACCCTTTACTTTTAAGAACGACGAATAATCCTTAGTTTCGTCTGGTAAGGCACTATGCCACATAATCGTAATACATGCACAAAACATTGTTCAGACTAGAATGACGCTCGTTACTGAGTCATCTTTAGTTACTGTACTTCCTATCACTTGCCTTTATTACAATATTAGTTTACACAAGTCACTGACAACTTACATCCATATCACTATCGACTTCGAAAAACACTGAAAACTCGAAATGTTTATTAATTTAATGAGAAGTTCCTTATCTAAATTTAACTGTGTTATACTTCGAGTAATAGAGTATGCTTAATCCATGTTACATGTTGTTTTGTTTTAGGTCATGGATTTTCAGAACCGTGCAGGTGGGAAAACTGGAGGTGGTGGAGTAGCATCGTGGTCCGACGCAAATGTTGATCGACGCGAAAGGTTACGCCAGTTGGCGTTGGAGACAATCGATCTGCAAAAGGATCCGTATTTTATGAAAAATCATCTGGGTGGCTATGAATGCAAACTTTGCTTAACACTGCACAACAATGAGGGTAAGATATAACTATGGACTTTGCGTGAAATATATAATTCTGCAGACGCATAAACAAAACTAGTCAAATCATTGATCATCAGAAATAGTTCATTTTCTTCAGACCTCATACTTTAATTGATATGTTCAGTTAAGTATAAAATGATTCCATCACTATTTTAACATCCTTGCTTTTGTGGACATCGTAACATTCAAACAAATCTGTGAATCTCTTCTTTCGACCTTGCATAAGATATTTTCAGAAATTTTAATTAAATTTTGCGATACAATCTATATTCGTAATAGTTTGAGTTTTTTGCTTTTCGATAGTAGCTTTAATTGAGGCACAAATCTTGATTGCGGGTTAATATTCAGAATTTTAGGCTCATACTTAGCGCATACACAGGGCAAAAAACATCAGTCGAATTTGGCACGACGTGCTGCAAAAGAAGCAACTGATCAGCCTTACATGCCTTTACCACAGCAGGTTAAAGTGGAACCAAAGAAATTTGTCAAAATTGGCAGACCTGGTTACAAGGTATATTATTTGCGCCACTTTTTGATATAATGCTTTTGTAACGGAATTGAAGTCAATTCAAGTTTACAAATTCCATTTTCTAGGTAACAAAAGAACGAGACCCAGCAACGGGTCAGCAAGCTTTGCTATTTCAAATTGATTATCCCGAAATTGCTGAAAGTGTCACCCCTAGACATAGGTATTTTTATACACTCTCCATAAATAAATGGTTATTCCTATATAATGCTGATTAATGCATAGTTATTTCCAATGCATGAGAAATTTATTTTTTAAACATGTAGGTTTATGTCAGCTTACGAACAAAAAGTGCAACCACCTGATAAACGTTGGCAGTACATTCTTTTTGCTGCTGAACCATACGAAACGATTGCTTTCAAGATACCATCAAGAGAGGTAGATAAGACGGAAGATAAGTTTTGGACTTTGTGGAATAAAGATACCAAACAGGTAAGTTATTGAATTTCTGGTAACTGTTTCATACAGAGGAGCTATTCAAATGTGGCCGGTAATTCAGTTACCATTAGCTATCGAAATTCTCTAAATTCTGCAGGTTTTATTAAAGTGCTCGTGTATTTGTACAGAACAGAATTATTTTTCAGTAATCTATTCTTTCTTTTAAGTATTGTGAACATATGAGTGATCTTGAAAAGAACTTTTAATGTTTTCTTTCGCTACAGAAAGAAATGGGTCAGGCAGATGTGAAACCGAAGTGGAGTCACGGTCTTACGTTGTCTGATTATATGAACTGAACAATTACAATCATAACTGGATTGGAATAATTCCATTAATTTCAAACTACTAGAATTTGTTGTGAGCAATAGAGTCAGGGCATCACTTTGATTGATTATATGAGTTCAATTTATGTTACTGAATTGAGCAGGGCTCAGAGAAAAGATGTTTGTGGTCAACACTTTTTCCCTACTCTTCACTGGAAAGACATTAGCAAATAGAAATCTTCTATACTTATATACAGAATAATGAAAAGAAGTGACACAAGGTATACAGTGATGCGTAACAAGATATGTGTGTTGTTTGCGTATTCATTTAAGCTGATATTGCGTTTTCATTGTCGAACGTTTTTTTTCAGTTTTTCATGCAGTTCGCATTTCGGTTCGATCGAATGTCTCAGCACGACGAACCTCCACCACCTCCTCCCTCTGCAGCTGCCGCAATGATACGACCAACACCAGTACCACCACCTATGTTTCTACCTCCACCTTTTTAAGTCTAGATCCTGCATGTTTTATTAAAGCGCTTGTTTGTTTGTACAGAACAGAATTATTTTCCAGTGTTCTATTCATTCTTAAGGATTGAGAACATATGAGTGATCTTGAAGAAAACATTTAATGTTTCCTTTCACTACAGAAAGGAATGGATCAGGCAGATGTGAAACCGAAATTGAAACGTTTGTTGCTATGCATTCGAATAACTGAAATAATTCCGACTTTTTGAAAACTTGTACTAACCATGCAGTTTAACAGAAATGCAGATTTCCTTGTTCGGAATAAAAGTTAATACGAATGATATTGGACTTGTGATGTAGATCAGTTCTTTTCACTTCTGTATTATATCATGTTAAAATCGTTTGTGAAAAGACAGGTCGATATTTGAATGCATAATGCCACATGTTTAATAAAGGTCAGGTTTAAATGTGCCATTTAGAAAGTGGGAGAGAAATAATATTTAAGCATGGTGTTCCTATAACATAAGTGTCTTTGTCGTGGTCTCTATTAGATCTATTTCTTTAGTCTGATCTTTTTTCATCTGTTGGTGGGTGACGGCTGTTTCTAATTTTAGGAGGCATCTCTGGAGAACCCAGTAATAATCACTGGGACGACGTAAGAACGGGCCACATTATCGTATTACGAATCTGATTGATTTCGGTAATTGGTCATTAATACTGATGTTGTCATTATCACTAGGTTGTAGGAGTTAGATGTGAGGAACGGTCAATAGGAAAAAATGTTCAGTCGTATCCATTCTCTTTTCTCTGTTTGGGATGTGGTTTGAATTGTTTAATTACACTGAAAAGTTAGGTTCCCAACAGCAAGTTATGGTTTGTTCTAGTAAGTTGTTAATGTTAAATTTTGGCTTTTGGGGGTTTTTATATCTTTACACTTCTCCAGAGATGCCTCCTACATTTTACACTTTGTTATCTCTTACTATTCCAGGATGTGCACAGTAAGGTCCAAAAAGCTACATCTTTAATTGTTTGAACTATATAAAAATATGTGCCGGTTTATTTCATTGTCGTCCATCCGTCTGTATCCCAATTTCCTTGTTGCTTTAGATTCGTTTCAAGATGTTTGTGTAGAATTTTGTTATCACATGCAATTAGATAGGAGACGTAAAACTGTCATTTCGTTACTTACTGTTTCAGTTGTTAAAATTTTGGTATAACAGTGGGCATGGCATCAATGTTTTTGTTGGTGTTCTTCGGTATGAATTCATTTTTTTCTAATTTTTATTTCTATCCGGATTCATATCTAAATGAAATTAATATAGTATCACCTTCTTGTATTCATAGAAATATTTGAATTTTTTAAAATATTTTTTTCATTTACAGTAGTTTATGGTCCAATCGTTGCATGTGATCATTACTTTGTCAAAGACACGGACAATACATCATGCATCATTTTGGATTCAAACATTACTGGTGTTCTTCATTATACAAAGGTTTGATTAGTTTTCTTGTGTTTAACTTAAAGCTCAAATAAAATGTGCTTTTTTTTTTCGAGATCTCTGTTTACTTTAACTCTGATTGTTTTCGACTGGAATTAACTTCACATGCATTCATATATTTATATGATTTTGAAGTCTGACAATAGCACGGAGCAATTTAAATTCAACATCAGTGGACGCGGAGATGGTTCGTGCAAAGGAACACAACACATTTACATAAGGTTTCTCTTGCACATATTGCGCTGCTATAGTAGCATTATGTTAATCATTTCAAAAGCAGAATTTATTAATGCTTAGAAGATAACATAAGCAAGCATTATTTTCCCTATTTCATTCGATCATCGAATTAACATGTCCTTGAATTTTTTCTAACATCTATTCAAATAAATCCTCATTTTAACATACGAAAATCTATTTTATCGTTCCATAATTGTCAGTTATTTAACAATTCGATTGTCTAATTTTTTTTACTTATTTTTTCAGAATAACAAGAATGTGATTCTGTAGAGATGTTAGTATTAAAAAAAAAAAAAAAAAAAAAAAAAACATTTTGCAGTTTTAACAGTCCTGTTGGTTTGAAGAACTCAACTTTAGCAATTCATTTCAAACAAAAAGATGATTCATTCTTAATCAGTAATTTTACATTGGCAGTGTATTTCGAACAAAAATTGAATTCTACAGGTATAAATGTTCTTGCTGAACAAAAAGTTCGGATAACTGTACATTTAGGAAATATTTAGAAAATTGGAGAGAAGGGAAATCTTTTCGAGAAATTGTTCACATTTGTAGTTTGATGCATCGCATTATGTAGAAGTGCGAATAAAATGAATTACAAGCATTTAGTGGTAATCGATTTAAGAGCTTATTTTATATGCAGCATATTTATAGAATCACTTCATATGTATCTGATGGATAAACATGCAGAGCTCGACGTGAGTGCCAGCAGTAACGGAGCATACAAATGTTCAGAAACAATTCTTAGCTTCGAAGGAGGTTCTGCAGTAACTCTTCATAATGTACGGCTCACTGCATACGCTCATTTCAATACTACTGAGTTTCCAGAAAACCAAGGTATGTTAAAAAAAGAACAAATTTTTGGTTTCGCCTTTCAAACATCTGACTTTCTCACAAATCACTAATTTATATTGATTTATGTGTTTTTCCATCGTTTTCCTCCCAGATTTTTCCAACTATCTTTGAGAGGTAAGAGCAGAGAAGAATAGATAAAGTGATCGAGTAATTTTCTAATTAAGTAGCTGTTACAGAATACAATATTTGCCAGCTGGATGTTCGTACTTCCGATTTAGTGCCTATAGTTGTTGGAGTATGTCTTGCCGCATTGGTGATCATTGTTTTAATTGCATATTTGGTTGGCCGAGCTCGAGCGAAACGTCAGGGTTATGCATCAGTGTGAATTCCAAATCTTTCACCTTCATTCATGTATGTTATTTGTGATGATTTCTATTTTGTTAAATTTTTATTTAAACATTAGCCTTCAATTTATTTGTACAGGACTTAACATTCCAAACTTTGGAATCCTATTTGCAAATTTTTCTATTAAGTGTACTCTTTTTCCTGGCTATAAGATGCTATTCTTTCGTTTTTCTTCCTTGCGATGTTGGAAAATATATTCATTTTTTTTCTTCTTTGCAATGTTGGAAAATATATTTCAGTTTTAATTTTAACGCATCAATTTTGGGAAGTTGTCATCTTTTAAATGTTTTACTGTTGCCTTAATGATGAAGAATTGAATTTTTAATTACATCCAAATTATATTTGTAGAGCCGTATATTCTGACACATCTTTGCAAACTGAATGCGTGGTCATGCAAAAGATTCTTGTTTCACCATATAATATTTTATACTGTTCTGATACAAAAATAAGCTAAAATGAAATGAATTGATGATCTTGTCACGGAGTATAACTTTATTTTCTGGATTTTTATGAAGGTAACATTAGATGGTGAAGAAACCAAGACACGCTTATAGAGCATGATCCCTGGACTGCTAACAGTGGGAGGGATGAAAAGTCAATGACGGAAAGATGATTTCTTCATATATTGTATCGTCAGATGTACCTTTTGCTTCACGTGCACTGGTATTGGATATATATGGATGTTAGATGTTCCCTTCATCTGTTGTAACAGCAGAGTTCGATCACTGCTACCGTATACTTTTTGAAGTTTGGCACAGTATCGTGTGCGAATCACAGATTGTTCAAAATCTTTAAAAAAAATTTTTTGCATTCATTAAAATTTTTTATAAGTTCACTATACCATGAGTATTGCAAGTCAGCTTACCGAACTTTTACCTTTCCTGATTATCGGTGCAGTACTTTCGACATTTGCACTCTGCACCTTTGAAAAATTTATTGAACAAGGAATGGATTATAATTGATTTATTTTCTATGGCACTTCATCATTTGGTATGCAATTGTTTTCAGTTAAATGTTCGGTTCTGGCATTCTAGAACTGATCTTAATTACCATTTTTTGGTGTTGAACATCATATGAGCCATAGTTTTTAAATTTCAAACAGTTTTGACAACATCGAGTGTAATCATCAGCAAGGAGGTGCGCCTTGATATGTGCTGGCTTTGTTGAAGCTTATTTATATCGTTGTTAGGAGCTCAGCTGCTGTTTTCATCAAAAAAAAGGAAAAACATGCTAAAATGAGAAAATCTAAACAGAGTTCAGAGAATCTGTGATTACTCGTTATCTTCGTATATTTTAGATATTTTTTTGTATCACTGTTAGGATTTCCGTGATAACTTGTTCTATAGGTTTTTAAGGTTTTGTGATAAGTGATAATCAATCTACTCTCAATTTTTTAGGATGTTGCCATGCAGAGCGCGATCATTCAAAGCGTTTTTAAGGAAATGTCAGTTTCATTTTCCACTGCATACAGTCAGGGTATTAGGAACGACGCAGATTGATGCACATGTAGGTGTTGGTGAGCGAGACGTGATCCGTTTTGAAACTGGGCATATAGCCCGATTAGCTGATGGCGCTGTTGTTGTTTCGCAAGGCGAGACTTCTGTAAGTTGATTTTAAAATGAAGTGATGCGTCGTCCAATAATGCGTCTTTTCAGATATTTAGTAGCTCTGGAATTGTCAATTTTTAAATACTACTTTTGTCATAATTTGTGAATTATAGTTGCTCATTAGATATATTTCACCGTCTATAGCATTTGGAATTGTTATCAAACGGATTAAACATTTATCCTTTATCCTGTCCTCATTGCAAATTGTGATGTCAAGTATAACTGGGATAAAATGAATTTACAAGGATCGCTCAGGTACTGGCTACTGTGGTCGGAAGACATAGCTCAGCTAGTGATACAGCAGATTTTATGCCTCTGACTGTCGATTTTCAACAGAGCGCATCTGCTGTTGGTCGTATTCCTATGAATTATTTGCGAAGAGAGTTGCAACGAAATGATGCTGACATTTTGGCATCCAGAATGATTGATCGATCAATCAGGCCATTGTTTCCGAAAGACTATTCGGGTGAAACTCAGGTTGGAAATTTTTTCTATCTTCTAAATTTCTATTTAACCTTCTATCTTCTTAGATAAGCACTTATGGCACTATCATATTCATGATGACTAAACGATGCATTCTTTGTTATGCTGGAATTAATATGTATATATCTTAGCATTTTGGAAAATTCAATTTAATTTTCTAATTCCTGCTACTATTATTTTTTAGAATTGCAGATGTGAAAAATATATTAGTTCATGAAAGAATAAATTTTTACGTATTTCAGATAATATGTAAGCCTCTTGCGGTAGACGATGATGGAGATCCAGTAATGTTAGGGCTTAATGCAGCCTCGGCAGCTCTAACTCTATCGGATATACCGTGGGAAGGACCACTTGGAGCTGTCAGAGTAGCTCTTATTAATAATGAGGTATCTAAGAGTTCCTTCTGCTGAAACCATTTTTCAGTATATTTTACAGTTATTCCAAAATTGTAGTGATTTTGATTAAGAAATCATTCAAACAATTCCAGGTTGTCGTCAATCCAAGTCGGAAAAACATGAAAAGTTCTTCAGTGGATCTAGTTATTGCTGGTTGTGACAATGGGAAACGAATACTGATGATCGATATGGATGGTTGTGAAATTGAGATGGAAAATTTTTCCGAGTGTATTAGAATTGGTCTTCAAGCTATTTCTCACTTAATTCAAGCCATTAATAAAGTGAAGGATTCGTGCGGTCGTCCAAAACGGCAGGTAACCCATTTTGTTAAAGATGTCTTTGCATAACAACTGATTTTCTTTATCTTTCGTCGTGTTAGCTAATTTAATTTGCTGATTGAAATATACTAACTTTTATCTTACTATCCATCATAACTTTGATGATGATCCTGCTCCTATATATTGTAGTCAGTGAACTGAAAATAAATCTTGCGTATTCACATTATGTCTGTCATCCATCGTCTCTTATCCTTTTTTGCTTTTTCTTCAATATTCATTTCCTTAATATAAGCTTGCACTAATTTTTATACTTCTAGAATGTTCAGTACTCGACTAGTTAAACACTTCGGGCTATTCATGATCTTCGTTAATGATTGCACACTTATTAATATAATTTTGTTATCGCTCCCACAGATTTGTGAGAACTACGTTGTAGTCATTTCACCTGAGTGCTATTATACAAATGAATGCTAACTAATAACAGCATGCAAGTTTATTAGATGACTATTAAATACAGTGAACAATGATAATAAATGCAAGCTTAGGTACCAAATAACATGTTGATGTTCTTCAATAAGTATGTAAAAGAGATTATCAAAATGAAGCTTACCATAACCAGGTATGAGACATTTGTTTTCCTTCTTCATATCTCGTTTCAATAGCTTGAGGACTTTTGTTTTAGAATGGTAATGAAGAAATTGATATTGATTTGATAGCGTTAACAGAAGAAATGCATGTCTTATGTGGCGACCAATTATATCAGATTTTAACGAATGCTAAACATGATAAGCTATCACGAGATCAGGCTGTTTCTGAACTTGGTGATCGTCTTTTTGAAAAATTCAAAGAAAGGAGTTCTCCGCATAAGCTTCGTCATACTTTCAGAAATCTTCTCAAAAGATCATTGAGGTACCTATCCCAATTTTACCAAAAAAATGAACTTGTGTTTATTTTATTTATATTTTGGATTGATTTATAATTTTATGAAAGCATTTTTATTTTTATTTATTTATATTGTGAATCGGCTTATAATTGTATAAACTTGAACAATGTCAGTTCATTTTGTTTAAGTTGTAGCTAAGGAAGCGCGTTTGCTTTGGAAAATTATAATCCGCAATGTTGAACAAAAATTAGACCAAAGAAACTTCAAATCACTACCAAACATCATTGATAAGGATTTTTATTTGAAAAAAATGTTTTCATTTTATGCTAAAATTTCTTAAGAGAAGTATTAAGAAATGTAGGGTTTTGACGTAGGGAAAATCCTGAGAAAGCGTAATATACTTCAAAGTATACTTCTTGTTAAAAAAATTTTTACGTGCATCGTTCTAAAATAATTCTGTAGGGAAGCGTTGTTCAAAAGTGAAAAGCGATGCGATGGACGGAAATTCGATGAACTTCGTCCGGTTAATATTAGAATGGATGTTCATAAAAATTTGCATGGATCAGCACTGTTTCAGCGCGGTCAGACCCAGGTTTATTTTCTGTTTGTAAATATTGGTTTGAAATCAGACGTGAAAGAAGACCAGGAGTGCTGGATGTAGAAGTTATCTATAGTCTTTCAGCATATTCAAATGCTATATCAAGTATATTTTTATGATGTTAATATTAGTATATATTATAAATTTTAGGTGTTTAGTACAGTGACGTTTGATGCTCCATCGGCCGCATTTCAGCCAGATGCACTGTCACAACTACTTGGTGCCCAACAAAAAAAAATGTTCATGTTGCATTATCAGTTCCCGTCATTTGCCACTACTGCTATTTCTTCCTCTGCACGAACCTCACGCAGAGAGCTAGGACATGGTGCTCTCGCTGAGAAAGCTCTAAAGAGGCTTATTCCAGATGACTTTCCCTACTGTTTGAGACTTGCCTGTGATGTTCGTGCGGGATTTTTTTCTTGGAATTTTTGAAATGCGATTTAAGCGTTTATACCTGGAAATTTAATAATAGTCTTTCTTTTTTTTTTTTTTTTAAATAAGTCTCTATTTCTTGATTGGATAATATTAACGGATGATATTAAGTGAAATACTAGAAAGTAGTATTAATGTTCAGTGAGTTCTCACCCAGAGTTGATCATTAACTTCGGTTAGTAGTTATTTTTATTTATGCTGCGTTTATGATACAAGTAGATTAATAATTACATTTTAGGTCCTAGAATCAAATGGTTCATCTTCGATGGCATCAGTTTGTGCTGGTTGTTTGGCTCTTCTTGATGCAGGAGTACAAATAAAGGCACCGGCTGCCGGTATAGCAATGGGTTTGATTATTAATGAAGAACGAGATGATTATCGTATCCTGACAGACATTAATGGTTTGGAAGATTTTGCTGGAGATATGGATTTCAAAATAGCGGGTAGATTTTCACTCTTTGTGTACTTTCCTTCTTATGTAGAACTAATTTTTTGATTCACTAATTTAATAAGAAATGGGGATATCTTTAGAAGTTTGGTTATCGTCAAATGAGTTTAAACATTAATCTAAAATTTATCGCCACATTTTCTTTGTTTTAAGGAACAGTGCACGGTTATACAGCGATGCAGTTAGATTTGAAAGTGCCAGGCATAACGCCAAAATTAGTTACGGAGTCTTTAAAACAGGCGAGGAATGGATTAGAACAACTTCTGCAGCTAATGAAAAAAGCGCAACCTGTGTCCCGCGACCAATTTAAAACTACGGTCCCGGTTCATGAGACAATACCTGTTGAAATCTACAAACGCCACATCATATTTCGTAGTGGAGGCTATAATGCTAAGCTAATCGAATCAGAAACCGGTGCTAAGGTTACTCTGTTTTACGGTAGCTAGGACTACTTTCCTACTATATTTTCATTGCAATATGATCAAAAGAAATAAATATTTTATATAATCAAAAATAATAAATATTTTGTATTCTCCTACTTAAAGCAAAATTAATTCTACGGTAATCCATTAGTTTGATATAACCGTCGGAACATCATTAATTTAAAATCTTTGTAGATAAGCATAGAGGATGATACGAACATATCTATCTTTGCTCCTAACAAAGTGAAGCTAGAAGAAGCGAAAGTGATGCTAAACAAGTAAGTGGGGACTAAAATCTAAATTTATGTATGCAACTTTTTTGATATATACTAAAGCTGTTAGCCAGATTTATTTGATCAGTCTGTTCATACTGGATCATGGCGTGCTGGTAATGCTTCACAAGGATATGAAACCGATCTTACTGAAATTTGTATATACCTTTTTTTTTTTTTAGAATGTTCGAGAACGAAAACGAAATAGACCTAGTGTTCGGTGCAATGTACAAGGCGGAAATCACAGATTTATTGGATCATGGCGTGCTGGTAACACTTCACAAGGGTATGAAACCGATCTTACTGAAAAACAGGTTTGTTAATGAACGAAGTTATTTTGAAATTATCTTCCGAATCCTAACAAAGGTATATTTTAATCTTTCGGCACCTTGCTTTTTTTTGTATTTCCTTATAATTGAGAAATGTGATTCCTGAAGGCAGGTTTTAAGGATATCAAATTTGATTGAAATTTTGCTTTCTTACAGCAATTTGGATGTGAGGAACGTAGCTCATGCCAAGGTGCTTGGTTTCAAGGTTGGTCAGAAAATAATTATCCAGTATTTGGGACGAGATCCATACACTGGGTACCATAGGATATCAAGAAAAACGTTGCAGTCTGCATCGTTACCTGTTCAGAATGTACATCACAACACTTAGTTGTCTATTCGTGAAAGATTTTGGACTTCGAAATTGCCTGAGGATGCAATAAAATAATGTTCTGTAAAAGATTCGATCAATACTGGGAGTGTCCTGGTACTTTGACTACCATTTCATTTTTTTGTAATCACTAATTTTGTTGGTATTTTAAAATATGGATAAATTTTTTTCTCTTGATGTTAATATCGTTATTTTCTACACAAAAATTAGTTGCTTTAAAAGTTTTTAGTGTGCCGTTCAAGCGGTCATGCAGACTGAGTCTAGTGAGGTAAATCATGCAAAACATTTGAATAAAGTTCTTAAAAACTGCTAACTAAAGTCATGTTAATGTGGGACTCGAAAGTGAACACTCGTGAATTGAGTCAGCTTAAAGTTTTTTTTTTTTTTTTTTCTTGTATGTCCACTTAGAAACAGGAGAAACTTTTATTCTTTCTATTGCTATTTAGGCCCAGCTACTGTAGGATCCCCAAATTTACCAGTCCCTCGTTTAAATATAACTATTCTTTTTAAAAGCTGCTCACTGAATCTCTAATGTCGTTATTTAAAATGAAGTTTACAGAAGGATCTGTAAACTTCATTTCCGTTCTGTAAATAGACTTCAGCTGTTCCCTCCGCCTAATTATTTGGTAAAATTTTAGCTAATAAGAAAATAACATGAATTCAGGACAGTGCTAGTAACATGATACCCAATAAATAGCAGCATCGCATGTGAGAAGTTTAATTCCACAACAAAATTGTCCACTTCTCCCTGCGATTCTAAATTTCATGACGGCAACCTCAAAGTGTCGTAGGTTGAGTAACTCAACATTGGCATGGTTTCAATAATATTACAAAATTATTGTTTTGCGTATGCTGTTCCAGCAAATAAACGTTTCAGTTTTAGATGGTGCAGGAGGAAGGAGCGACGAAGGGGCCGTATCCAGCAGATGTTCCAGCCACACACATCCTACAAAGGCTTTCTGATGCCCTTTCTTCCTTTACTGTACCTGATCAGGTTCGTTATGGGTGTGTTGTTGTTTGCTAAGAGAAGGAAAGCATCAGGTATATAGTAAAAGTAAAGATTTGACAAACATATCTTCGTGTACCTCTCCTTACGTTGATCTGATCATTTAAGAGTGGCGAATAAAACAGAAATTGCCGGTTACTTTCCGTTGGCGATCTGTGTTGCTCATATAACTATTCTTTTTAAAAGCTGCTCACTGAATTTCTAATGTTATTTAATCGTGTTACAGAATGTTCTAGAAAGGACTTCAAAAGGGTTTTCGAAGTCTCCAGTACAGGAAATTGATGAATATTTCGAGCTTGTTGCTAAACTCGGTCGACCACTTTTTAAGTGGGATATAATTCGATGTGCTTTCCTTTGGAAACTTGAGGCACTTCTTTCTATACATTCAACTCATTTGCAATCTCTGACAATTCAGTTATATGTTATATATATATATATATATGAAAATAAAAAATGTATTACTCAGTATGCTGATTTCTAGTCAATCTATTATATTAGTATTAATATACATAATGAGTGAGCAGCTTCTTTGTGTATGCAAAACATCCGCACTTTTTTGGCCATACTTGCTACCTAACCCATCGTTTTATATTTACTTTTGCACATTTCAAAAGACGTTTATCGTTAAGAAAGTCATAATTCTCTTACTACTTTCTTACTAGATATTACGTTATTACTCACTGCTATTATTTTTTATTTTAAGCAAACGATGTCAGAAATGCTGTGTATCGAGACAGAAAATGTAGTTACGGAAAATGAAAAAAAAACGCTCGTATCAGATGATGATTTGTATCAACAACGTCAATTCATTTTGCGAAAAGCTGCGGAATTTGATGGAACACCTTTTACTTTCCAGAGGTTGTTTTTGTTTTTTTATCTTCTCCGTGTGCTTTATTTTTTTTATCTTACACTTTTATTATAAAACAACTGTTTATTATAATTAGAAGGAAGTATCTGTAAATGAGATCTATCTGTAAATTTTGGTAGCAAAAAAGTAATTTAAGGCTATGTGAGCTTCTGATTAGTCCTTCTCGACACTACAAACGAACAGACAAATATCTTCGGGCTTTGGAAAAGAATATCAACGTGGTGACGACAATTACAGAGAGTGGAGAACGCATAACAGGCGTAGAGCCATTTCCGGGAGAACTAGATATTAATTCTACGGCTCGCATTGAGGAGCCATTTTTCGTCCAGGTATATGATATTACAGTCTATTAGACGCTTTGATGTATCTCCATTTATTTATGCAATTATCAATTACTGACTCTGTATTTCTTGAATGCAATCAGCCATTTTATTGTTTGATCAGTGTGGGATACATGTTTCATTTGTTGTCAGCAAAAAATTTAAAGCTATGTTAATCTTTTTCCTCTCCAACTTCATAATCCATTTAAAATCACGATTGTTTATTACAGGTGGATGAATGTGATGCTCCAGTAGAAACGAAAGTGATTGCAGCTGGAGACCATGTTAGCAGAGTACTTGACTAATTTACGAGTTCCTCTTTTTTATTTAGCGGTGTGCTAATTGCCTTTTTAGCCTTGCTTATTATAAAATGGAACTTTATAATATAGCGGTTATATGCTACAACTTTGAAATTTTAAGTATAACTCGATTTGTTTATATGAACCGTGTGTTTTTTAATTTCATACAGGCTATGCAAAAAAATACATTCATGTGCTACTTCTCTAGTTCATAGGCTTTTAAAATCTATCTGCCTAGGAAACATTCAAATTGTAAGCAGTGGTGCCATTTTATTAAGAAAACAATCAACGAGAATTAGTGCGCTTTAATTTTTTAAAGACTTTATTAGCAGTGAATATACTAAGATTAACAGTTTTTCTTTAGGAGGAAAATGTTTCATCGCGTGTGCCATCATAGCTAACTTATGGCCTGGTCATTGGCATACATTTTATGGTTCAGCGATGCTTCTGATTTTCTAGCTATATATTTAGAGATATTACTTTATGGACACTGGTGATTTTCAGGAAAACAAATCCCCAGAAATAGTTGCAAAAGAACTAGCAATTGGCGACTGTGCTCCAATCAATTTATCTTCATCGCGCGATGCTAAGGACGAGCTGCCTGAGATTAAGGTGAATAGTTTGTTCTTTATTTGGATGTCATTCTCCATTAATGTAAGCTGAGTCCCGATTGAAGGGTTGTGTATTCTTACCTCTCCAAATTTCTTCTATTTTTGATTTTTTGGTATTTCTAAATTTCCTCGGCAAGATAAACAAATAATTTTGGTTTCGTTGTATTGTCCTATGCTACATTATGGCATTTTATTCCGAAATTTTGTGGTGAAAATCTGAAAGGCTATGTTTGCTGAAGTTATAAATACTAATTGTCCATGTAATTTAAATTTCTCATAAAAAGTAGTTATTTGGAGCCTTAATATTAATAGCGCCCCGGTCTGACGAAATCGCTGTAATTGTTAGTACCACCTACTAAAATGTTCTAGCGAATATATTTCCGTACGTTTTTTTCATAATTTCCTTTATTTACGACAGTGTAACTCCGTCAACTAAGCACTCGGTTTATTTCTAGCAAGAAAACTTGGAGCACGAAACAGAACGCAATAGTTTATTGAATGAACCGCTGAGAAAACCAGAGACGCACAATGTCAAACAAGAAGAGATGAAAGTCGTCAATTAGCGCTTGTAAAGCTGCACATTTCCTATCTGACAGCCAGTGAATTGTACCTAGTCGTAGAAGTTTTGGTTCTGCAAGATTGAATTGTATGCAAATAGAATTCAGTGTTACGTCTCGTCACACATCATTTGGCCTTTAGGATATATGCACCATCCCATTTGCGTGATTATTCGATGTTTAGAGAAATACACTCGAAATATTCTACGTTTATTTGATAATTTGCATTTTTAAGTCCAGCTTTATGGCTTTATTATATTATTGGAAAGTGTTGCTAAATAAACTATTGGATCAACAATATAGCTGTTTGATCGATTCAGATGGGTTTCATTGCCGAGTCAACCGTTGCTCTATATCTGGCCAACACGAATCACTTCCGTCTTTTTGATGCCACTCCACTCTCTGCTTCCGGCATGCGGAAGATTTTATCAAAGACAAGAAAGCATTGTTCACAAAAGTGGGAAGTACTCGTATGATAACTTCATTGAATCATTGAACTATGAACTGATTAAACATTACAATTACAAATGAAACCTATTTCCAGCAAAGCAACGCAAGCCACCATGTCTTTGAAAGCTGTTGCACATTCCTGTTTTAACATAATTAGTCCACCGAAAACTAATGATGTCAGATAATTCGGTGACAATAATACTCTAGCAGCGAAGTCTCACTTGATATAAGAATTCATTTCCCCGCTCAACTGTTAACTGAAGTCAGGAAATATTTCTAGACGAAAAGGCGATGATATTAAGACAAGTGTTATGTCCGCCTATATTGTCGCACCAAGACTATCTCAAACGATCCGAGTAGCAAGCAGTTCCATTGTGTGTATGTCCTTGTGAAAGGATAAAATGAATCAAATAATTACGCGAATTATATATATATATATATATATAATATATGAATCAAATTTCCTGATTCTCATAACAGATTTAAACAAATGACTGTATTAATTCCAAACCCACCAACATTGCTTTCACTTATTTTGCTTTTAAATTATGCTAGGAAAAGTCATTCATAAGCCGAAACAAAGAAAGGAGTGCTTTTTCCTGCTAAGGATTACTGTTTTTTGCAGCAAAATTGAAAGTATCCGGTACTGGTGCATCCACTTTAAAGGCGTATCCTCCCTGCTGCTCTACTTTCTTACTTTTCGCCAACGACATTCGCTGTTCACACACCCGCAGTACTCCATCCAGTACTACTTGTTTTTCCGAATTAGTACACGTTGTCATAGAGAGTAGTAACTTCTCATTACTTGCTCTCAGTGCTAAAATCTGGGATTATACTTCAATAATTACTGGAAATGACTATTTCAGCTGATACAGTTCCACCTCTTAAAATAGAAACTTTGATGGGCAGCCATCAAAAAAGTCCAATACCTATCTATGAAGATGAAATTATCTCCAACATGAAATAAACTGTTATGTAAGTATTATAACACTAAAGTAATACAAGATGTAACTAATGTAAACACGTATGCTACTTCAATATTGTGTACTGCTCCTAAAGCCAACATATTCAAAAGTGCCACTTTATAGAATGGAGAACTAAACAAACCATCAAGTGTTTCTTTATAGAAAATAAAAACGTCCGCAGTTTCATCGTTATCGATGGGAGTAAAATATGCTTCCATGGAGTCTTCGTCCCAGCTATCTGACGTTGATGTAGAATCTGACTCAAACGTTTGTGCGTCACTTCCAGTCTAAATATAATTGCTGAATCAAACAAATCTCACAAATTAGAAAAAAATACAAAGAAATCACTAAATATTATGAAGAAATTTCTGGCTTCACTTACTGCTACTAGAAAGTTCAACATACCCTTTCTTTCTTATTCTGATGTTCCGCCAAGGTTTCTAGATATTCGAGAATATCTTCATCTATTTCATCTTCGCTATCTGCCAAGTCTTCATCCCGTCCAACTTCCTCCTGCAAATATCATAACATCCTGAACAACATCATCCGATGTGTTCTCAGAATTAATCATTTAATCACAAAGTTATTAATTTGACAGCGATACAACTTTATAAATTTATAAATTAAGTCGATTCACTGTCCATGAATTACTATAATGAATACCTCAGTTTCTTTAATATCAGATTCCTTTTCGTTGGCTAAACGATTTTCCGCTTTGATTTTCATCGCTTTCTGAAGACCAATCAAAAGCGTAACAAGTAATTCATTGATCTATAAACTGAATTTTTCAGATTTTATATGGAAACTAAGACAAATACGACTTTATTCATAGAAATACTAATATTTAAGTTCCTTTTCCAGCTCACAACAGCAGTATTTTAAATATGAAAAACGAAAAAACGGATTACCTGCTGCGCTTTCTCGTCAATCAGAGTAGGTCTATGGATAGCAGATAGCCTTGCCATGGTACATAAACCTATTATAGCCATTTTACGGTCATGAACACCTTCCAGACAATGTGCTAATGATAAAAGCTCGTTGACCAAGTAATTTAATGTATTGGTTCCGTGAGGTTGCAATTGAGGTAACAGATTCACAAACATATCTGTATCATAATACAAACCGGCTATCACTACCTGAAAGACTTTCTTACTCCTTCATATCACTTTTAAGCAATACATACAACTTATCTATGATAAAGACGTGACTAACCAAAAGAAGTGCGGGTTTTAAAGTTTTGCAATCTTCAATTGGCTGATGGAGCCGAGTAAGGATCAGCTGAATGAGATCTGGTACTAAATTGTTGATTTTACCCTAAAAATGTTTTCATTATATTTAAAAAATTCGAAATTTAAGACAAAAAGACTTGAACTTTCAACTTTGTTTATCCTACCCATTATCAACAGCAAATTAAAACATACCTGACATTCCAAAATAAGGCACTCGAGCAGTTTAGCTGCATGTACCTGGTCATTTTCCTCCGTATCTTCATTAAACATATTTACGGCAATTTCTACGAAAGCTCTAAGACGCTCTGGACGGGCTAGAAAGCCATCGGTATCCACCGTCAAATATGAGTGCAGTACGGGCATCACATCTACACATAAAAAAATACTTCCATATCACAGATTGGTACAGAAACACGGGCAATCTCAATTTCACTCCTCTTCATTATCAAATCATTATTACTTAAAGGGCAGTAGACCAATCTTGAGAGTTTTCTAATAGGATCGGAAAATCAAAAAATTAAAAAGCAAGGCCTGTAGAAAACTAAAGATTATTTTGTAATTCTATTGAGCATGGATGAAACGATGATTAAGAATAATGATTAATACTTACCAACAAAAACTATCCCGTCCTGACTGATTGCTAGTTTATGAATATCGAAGAATATTTCCCACATTGGTTCACTTATAGAGTATGTAATCACCGAATTTGCTAATGCCAAAACTTCTTCGTAGTAATCTTCAACGAAGTAGCAACCATATTTAAAGATTTTGATAATATACAAACCTTGTAATTTGATAATACAAAAACTTCATAAGATGCTACCAAATCCTATTTGTCGGTTGTAGTTTTAGGAGAGAAAGAAAGTAAAAGAGAATCGTATATACAGTAAAAAAAGTAACCGATCTGTCCGCGGTCCAGAACAGACTTAATCACTCTGCGCACTTGCTCTTCGATATGATAAAGTACATCTTGATTGTCCTCTACCATATCTAGCACTGAACCCAAGGTAGTCAAGATACCCATCACAGTCACTGTGCGGTCATCTTCTTGATTCTCCGATAAGGAAATTTGCAAGAAAATGTTTGCCTAAATAAGAATTATTATTCAGAACATCATCATTTTTGCTTATTCTTCGTAAAAGATCAACATCATGACCAATGAATAGTCTTCACAAAGAATATTTTGTCCAGATTCCTTGAAATTCAAAAGAGCTTAAATTTAGATCATAGGTAATTAGCTCTACATCGTCAAACTTACTGTATTAAACAATACTTTCACTTATATCCAAGCGATATGATTACATATACATTTCTCTCACAAATGTACAAAATGAAATTAGGTCTATTTGATGTCATTGTCAACAACTTGCCAATTCAGTTGCAACATTAACGGCAATAGGAATAATATCTTCAACGAAATCTTCCAGCAGTACTTCCATAACGTTCGTCATTTCTTCTATTTCAGCTCGAGCAACAAGTCGCAATACTTCGATGATGACTGAATGAACATGAGGCTTCAGTACCGAACGATCTAAAGTTTTTGATTTCATATGTGCTAGTTTTGTTTAAACTTCGAAGAAAAAATACGTAAAACTTGTTCAATTAAAAACTTCAAAAAGGAAAAAATTGCATTTTTGCTACTATATTATAAAAATTATGAAACTAACATTTTGTCTGCGCTTCCAACATGTGCTGTATAGCCATCGCAGCTTCCACTTTCACGGGTAATTCTTCACCAACGTCAGCTAACCTTTTTACCAATTCTTCATAAATATGTGTTATTCGGCTACCAGATAATTTACCACTAGCAAACTGCTGTAATCTTTGTGATGCAAAACCAATGCAAAAAACAGGTTGAACTTTCAATCAATAAAAGAATGGAAAGAGTAAACATAACAGCATACCCTTATAGTCCAGCATGCTCTGCAGCGTATGAATCGCATTGGATGAGCAATTTTTGAGATTATAAATCTCTCTACTAATTCATCAACAGCACATCTGTATTTCTGAAAAATAGTTCTCTACTTAAAAAAAAATGAAAAACAAGAAAAAACAAAAGAAAAAAAGAAATAAAAGTATGTGATGCACCGATATGAGGAAAATATTAAGTAATAGTCTTCTAGAAAATTCCATTACCGAAGTGAGATAAAACCAATAAACAAGCAAATATGACGAAACCTTGCTTTTCGTTAAAGCAGCAAAAAGTTCTCCCAGAATGCGTAGAGCGCCTTCTTGATCACGTGGATTTACATTCGAACCATTAAGCAAGTTTAACGAAAATTCCAATATGGGTTGTAGCATATCTTTTCTTTTCGCAAAACCAGTTAGCACGTTTGCTGCTGCAACTGCCGGATTGTGCAAT